CCGCTAAATTGGACTCAAATGCAACACAAGTACTCAGGCAAACAAAGTCTTATTTAAATAACTGAAAGTGTCCTATAACAGGAAATGTTTATTTTATTTATTTATTTATTTATTTGAGACAGGGACAGTGCACAATTTTTGCATTAACCTTGACAGGAGAGATGCATTGCACATCAGGTTGTAGCATCAGTGCTAATTTCCACCTGTCGTCCCTGGACAGGTTCATTGATTGATTGTATTTAACTGACCTTGACTATCAACTGTTCTGGAGACCTGTAGCATGTTTTGGGTTTGGGTTATAATGACAACTCGGACTGAAAAGAGAACAGAGGAATCTATGATATTAAATGTGAACGAAAATATCTTCCAAGACTGGGAAATACACTAGTAAAAAAACAGACTGGGAGTAAACGCAGGAACAGGGACAACAACACAGATTTGCAGAAGTCGCAAACAGAACAGATTCAGGGAACAGGGTTTTCAGATTTCAGGTTTTCAGGAGCTTGAATGTCTGTCTTAACAGGATGACAATCTGGCAAAGACTGAGGGAGAAGAGGGAGTATATACAGACTGGGCCTGGGCTGATTACAGAATGAGGGGCAGCTGTAGGGAAAGGAGGGAGGTGGCAAAAATGGAACTGGACTGGGGAAAACAAGTAAACAAAAGGCAGAACTGTGACACTGGGCCTAATTGAGAGAAAAGAGAGGCTTTTTTGTTAGTTTGAAAGAGTTTAATTTATTTCCTTTAAATTAGAGCTTTGAAATTGCCCCTTTTATGCAAATATGTGTTTTTTATGCATTTATATTTATTTTCATGTGAGCTGTTTATTTTTAAAAGGTACCATTTTTGTTGGTATCTGAAAATCTGCAATAATCTGTCATTTTGTAGCCAGGCTGGTGCCAAATAGTGTCTCCGCTCAATTTCATTTCTCTCCAGTGACTAGGTCAGGAATCAGAATACAGTAGACGGTTTGCAAGAACCCTGGAAGTTGTAGAGCGCACACTGGCCAATCAGAGAAGAGCTGTGAATCCTATGAGGTCCTTGTCCCCACCTGATATTAAAATAATTTAGCAGAGGTGGAAATATCAAAAGCAGAAGAAGGAAATCCCTCCTACAATTCACACCCTGAATATATGTGTGAACTGATTCCAGAACGTAAAAATATTTTATAAACTACGCTCAGTGTTGGGGAGTGTACCGGCGTTATGTAATCAGAGTACAAATTATGAGTAACTGTATTCAGTTACAGTTACTTTTTCAATGAGTGGTAATTGGATTACAGTTACTTTGCTGAAATAAATGGATTACATGGCAGTATTTTCCTGTTTTCACATTTTGGGCTAAACCAGGACTAAAACCAAGTCTAAACCAGGACTAAACAAGGACTAAAATCAGGTCTAAACAATATGACACTAACAGTAGGTGGACATAATTGAAGGCAGCAGTGACCTCATATAAAAATCATTTCTCTATCAATAATATTTTTAAGTTGGTTAAGGAAAGTCTGGGCTTTTTATTGTCTTTAAGCAGACAAAACATCTTATGTTAAGATCCTCGTCTTTGCTTCTCTACAGTAAACAAAAGTCTGTTCATGGAGACTTGGGCTCAGCCAATTTGAAGAGAACAAACAAGAATTTTCAGGATGTGGTTGTTACATTCATGTAGTTTTAAAAAGCATGACAATATCAAGTAATCCAAAGTATTCAGATTACATTACTCACTTTAAGTAATTTAATGGATTACGTTACAAACTACATCTTGGGATATGTAATCTGTAATCTGTAGGGGAATACATTTTAAAAGTAACCTTCTCAACACTGTTTACACTACACAAAAAACACATCAAATCAAGTGCAATGTTAATTCATTATTAATGATTAATTAATTAATATATTTTATTATTAATTAATTAATTTATTAATCATTACATTTATATAGCGCCTTTCAAGTTCCCCAAAGCACTTTACAGATTCATTCACTCAACACTCAGCGGTTGTAAGATAATACTGTAGCCACAGCCGCCCTGGGGCAAACTGATGGAAGCGAGGCTGCCAATCTGTGCCATCGGCCCCTCTGACCACCACCATCACACACACACACACACACACACCACTTTCATACTAGGTAATGTGGGCGAAGTGTCTTGCCTAAGAACACAACAACAGTGTGTATGTATGAAAAAGAAAATTAAGTTGTTGCACATAAATGTGAAGATTTCTGTTTATAATTGATGAATATTTGTGATTGAAATGAAAAGTACTGATTTGAAATGTTTTAAAGTAACTCTCAGTGTTGATGTTTTGTCTAGAAAAGGGAAAAATGGGCAGATAACATAAGAAGATTTTTCTTTCTGCACCTTTTCATTCTTGTAAGTTTAATATTTGGACTCTGTTAATGTCATTTTATATTTTATGAATGAAATAAACAAATAAATAAAAATAATAAGTGACTGAACAGCTTCATATGAGTAAACGTTCAAACATTATGAGACATTTTAGGCCAAAATCCACCTGTAAATATTCTTATTACATTATTACAAGATCGTCAAGACTCCTAATGGTTGGAATGTGTAATTTAGGTTAATTGTCAGTTTTTTTCGTTAGTCTCTTTAAATCGATGCTGACAAAATGTAACGAGATGAGCAGTAAAAATAAATAAATAAATAAACATCCAATTACTCAGCCAAGGTATCAACTCAACAACCCGATATCATGGGACCAGTACCCAAATACAGCATTTTTTTCAGTATCTATGGCAAAAATTCAATACCAGTATCAATATCTTGTGCATCCGTAGTAAATCAGACGCATTTCTTCTAAAATATGGAACGACTTGTTGTGTGATACTGTAGGTTATAAAACTCAGATGAGCAGAAGTGCGCACTACATCATGGACACAATATTGGTCCTGTCTCCAGATGAGAGTTATAGGCTCATTTCGAAAGCGCAGCGTTTATATTTTAATATCTGAGTAGTTCTCTCTTTGTGATTTGTTCTTTTCTTTTCTTTTTAAACCAGTTTAAAATTCACACTCTTGAGCGATCGTGTTTCTCTCTTGTGTAAATATGGTAAAACACTGCCGCCTGCTGACAATACTGTGAAAGTGCAGGCAACCTCATCACAATTTCAGAATATTTATTATTAAAACACACATTTTGGAGAGTAAAAAATGCTTTTGGACTTAATATGTATAAGCCAAAGTCACGGAACAGTTGATTAACCAATTTTGAGCTGTTCAGGATAGTCCAGTTTGGAATGGATTTGCTCAAGATCCAAACCAGGTGCAGCTACAGTTAAAATTAAACTTAAGTTAAAGGTCCACTATGTAACTTTTTGGTTGGGTCCGTCCGTCATTTGCTTGTTTCAGTGGATATGTCATTGCTCTGCCTGGAATGTTCCACAGTGTGACATTAAACAGCTCTATCTTACTTTTATTCAATTACAGGTGGTTTTATAGCTCAAAAATACTTTAAAAAACAGACATTCTGACTGTGAGTGGGGTCGCCTCTCCACAGATCTGACCTGTAACATGGTCTGGTTTGATCTCAGTGAAGATAGAAAGGTTTAATGCCATACTGTGAAATATTCCAGATAGAGGAATAACACCTCCACCAGAAAACATTACAAAATCCATTTATTTAGTCTGTGTTCTTAATAAAGATTGAATTGAGTTGAACTGAATTACACCTGAAAAATATTACGTTTTATTTTAATGTAGGACGAGGAGGACGTGTCTGGGGTGAAGACAGTCTGGGAGTCCCTGCTTAGGCTGCTGCCCCCGTGACCTGGCCCCGGATAAGCAGAAGAAAATGGATGGATGGATTTTAATGTATTTATTTATTTATTTATTTAATATTTGGAAAAGTGATAGTGACAGCGTAGTTTCCACCTGTTGTCCCTGCACAGGCTGATAGTGACATTCAAATCACATTTAGCACACACAAATAAACAATAAAAATCAAATCAAGTCAAATCAAATCAAATCACAAACACTAGGACCACAGACGATTGCACATACTGGGCTTATTATTACTTTTAATTACTTTTTAATGGGTAATTGTTGAACTGAAGTCACACTGTTACAGAAACATAGGGTGAAATAAATACTTACACCCAGTGAAAAAAAATAATAAAAATTCAAAGTAAAAGTACAAATACCAGATAAAAATAAATAAATAATAAAATTAAATAAATAAATAAATAAATACATACATACATACATAAATAATACTGAAGTAGTCTAAAAGTGAAAGTATCACCTGAAAAAGTATTAAAGTACCCATTTAAAAATGTTTTTAGTAAGTTTATTGTGCAAATGTTTAGATCTTTATGTAACAGATAATACTCCCTACAACTGTACAACAACTTGTCCTTATGCTATTTATTTAGTAATGATTATTACCATTTATATTTTTACTCTTTATTATAATATATTGTGATGTGTGAGCTACTGAAATATATTTCCTTGTGAATCAATAAAGTTTGTCTAAGTCTAAATTTCTAACAGAAACTATTGAATTGATATCTATATCTATCTATCTATCTATCTATCTATTATATTAAAACTTTAATTTCATTTAATAATTATTCATGTTTGTATATTTTGTTTATTCAGACAATGAAGAAAAATAAATAAATAAAATAAAAACTCAGACAGGTCTCAAATATATATAAAAAATTCTTCTACTTTTCTATTCTGTCCAAAAATGCAGGGAAGTAGAAAGACTCTCAAATGCAGTGAAAAGTAAATAGTATCCACTTTAAAGTATAGTGCAGCTACTTAAAATGTATTCTTAAGTATAGTACTTTAATACTTTTACTTCGTTACGTTCCACCACAGCTTCCTCCACCCAAAGCAGCAGCACCACACCAGATTCTCTCTGTCGGTCGGGCTCGATGCACGATTCGCGACTCCACTCCAGTCTGTGAGCGTCTGCAGTCACTCTCAAACGCGCTCTCTGATTGGCCCTCTTCCCTACCCCCGCTCTGCTGATTGGCCCAAACCCAGGAGGCGGGTCGAACGAGGCGGAAGTGACAGCTGTTTCAGAAACCACAACAAATCTGGCTGCTAGCGTCGGCCATCACCCTCCGATCCGCGACCCAGCCTCGGCCTGGATTGTGGGCGGCTTGTGCGCGGGTCCGAGCGGGTTTGAGGGGCGTCATGGCGGTGTGGAGCGATGCAATGGAGGAACAGTTCGTGATTATGGTACAGGAGAGGCCCGCGCTTTACGATAGCACCAACAAAAACTACAACAACCGCATCGTGAAGGCGCAGCTGTGGGGCGACATCGAGCTCAAACTGCACACGACAGGTACGCCGCGGTCTGGTCGCATCGTTTGACCATGCGATTGGTCTGTACAGGCGATTAAAGGTCCTATATTATGCTAAATCTACTATAGCTGTGTTTTGCTTCATTCACATATTAGTAATCCTTTATTATTAGTCTGTTTACATCTCTGAAGCTCAAAACGCTCTGTTCCAATTTGTGATGTCATGAAGTTTTCAAATGTACGTCCACCTTTTGGTCAGTCAAGATTGGCAATTCCAGGGCTGATCCGAATGATGGTGAAGTAGTGAAGGTGTGTGGAGTTTAACAACACAGTGACACACTTCCTGTATTATCGCATCACGAAGTAGGACAAAGAGTGTTTTCTGTTTGAGAGAAGAGCTCCAAATCTGCAGGTTTTGTTTTGTTAAACATGTGTGAATTAAGCAAAACAGGTATGTTTGTGATGAGAAAACAATATTATAACATAGATCAGATAATGGCATCATACGAGCCCTTTAAGCGCTTATGGCAATGTTATTTATTGCTTTTGCACCAAATTGTGTGGATTAAATGCTACTCATGGTGTTTTCCTAACCAATGCTGCAAGAAGTATTTAATTTCAGTATTGCATTGGGCATGTAACTGAATGCAGGTACCGAAAATATTCTGAATAGTAATCTTGAGGAACTGTATTCCAGTACAGTTAGTTTTTCATTTGGTGGTATTCACAGTTACTTTTCTAAATTAAAAGGAATACATGGCAGTACCTTATCACGTAGTTTTGGCTTTATACTGCAGTTGTGGAGAGATGTGTGTATTATTATTGGCTACATTCTCTATTTATTAAAAAAAAGTTTATTTTTACAAAACAAAAATATTAGTTTAATCATTTAACAAATTCATATAAGCCTACAATATTTTGGTATTAATAAAGTCAGATATCTCTATTTCTGCAATTTTGTAGCATTCAAGTTCAGAATTATATCTGTCTGTAAAGTAATAATAATAATAATAATAATGCATCGGTTTTATATCGCACTTTTGTGGACACTCAAAGACACTTTACAGAGCATTATTCATTCACTCCAGACCCGGTGGTGGTAAGATACTGCTGTAGCTACAGCTGCCTTGGGGCAGACTGATGGAAGCGAGGCTGCCAATCTGCGCTATCGGCCCCTCCAACCACCACCATCACTCACACACACACCATTTTCATACTAGGCAATGAGGGTGAAGTGCCTTGCTTAAGGACACAACAACAGTTTTTACAACTGGCGCCCTCCTGTGGCACCTGATTTTCCCTGTGGTCTCCCATCAAGTACTGACCAGGCCCGGCCTTGCTTAGGTGCTTAGCTGCAAAGTGTTTGACAAGTGTGTATTCTGGATCCCAGGCAAATGATTCTGATGGAAATATATTCATTTAAATATGGCCATTGACATGCAAATAACAAAAAAAAAACATGCTACTCTGAGTACATGTGTTTCTACCCCTCCCACTTTGAGCTTTTCAAATACCACAATTTGAACAATTATATCCAGTTACATTAACGAACAATTGAATCAAAAGTTGTACATTCAAAGTGACTCAGTAGCTGTAGCCTGCTTGAGTTATTTTCCAAAGACCCCAGAGTGACCCGGGCTGAATGTGCTCGCCCTGTCCTCCACAGAGAAGGAGATGAAGAGGAGGTGGGAGTCCCTGCGCACACAGTACGTCCGATACCAGAAGCTGCCCCCTACGGGCAGGACGGTGCGACAGCAGTGGATCCTCAGCAAGCTGCACTTTCTGGAGCCCCACACCACACACAAGACCAAAGATATGTCCAACTACTCAGACAAGGTAACAGGAATCTCACATGTAGATAGGACAGACTGATTTCTGTTTTAAGGCTGAAACAAGTCTGGAAATGCATACAGTCTTTTGTAGAATAAATTGTAGTACACTGAGAGAAGTTTATCATTATTATATTATTACCGTCAGGATGGACCCACAACCCTCAGAACATTGTGATAATTGCCCAATCATGGCAATAAGAGACGTGTTGTGGCCCTGACGCAGTGCTTTCACCATAGACTGCATATATAAATGGACATATCTAACTTGCAGACCTCTGCGTTTCAAACAAGAGGTGAGCATGGGCACATTTCTGGCTCCTTTGGCTCAAATTCATTTTGTATTGTAGAAACGTCACTCACCTCTCTGAAAATGCTGCTGTTAGGCTCCTCATTTTGTTCTTAAAGGGACAGTCCAGAATTTTGGACATTGGACCTCATTTCTTAGTGAGCCAGAGTGTTGGAGGCGTGTGGAAACACTTTTTAAAAATATTCCATCCAGTCCTTGTATTTGCAGAGGTCGCTGGTGCTAGACTAGTGCATGTCAATGGCCATAGTTATCCTGCCACTAAAACAGTCTTACCCACTCCACAAAACACCTGAAGAAAATCTATTATTATGCCACACTGTCGATGTGAATGTCTGTGTCGATAGAATAAAATAAAACTAACCTTGCATCGCATGAATCGTCGCATGTTTAGGGACTATTTTCTCAGCAGCAGCGGAATTTTACTTTGCGGGTAATATGGGTGCTAAGTGATATCAGTTTGCGGCTGCAAAGCTTTCTATCAGGAAATACAACTCACTGTTGCTCAGACATAAATCCTTCAAATGCAAGGCTGGTTTTACTTCTAAAATGATTCTATCAACACAGACATTCACATGGACAGTCTGGTGTAATAATAGATTTGCTTCGGGTGTTTTGTGGAGTGGGTAAGACAGTTTTTAGTGGCATGAGAACTATGTCCTATGTCCAAAATTCCGCTCTATATGATCCTGGTGTTTATTTCGTTGTTTTTTCTAGAAATCAATTATTTCTAAAATGAAAGTCGCCGCCAAAGTTGCCCCACAACTGCTAGTCTTGGTGAGCCTCATTTGACTAACACTCCGTCAGTTCACGTTTTATACAGTCTATGGCTTTAATGTAAACAAGAGAGCAGTGCCTCCTAGGGATGGGCATGATTAGTCGATCAATCGATAATTGATCATTAAGAATTTCATTGGTTACGTTCATTTTAATCGACAAACCGAATGTAGGTTGCTGTGTGTAGCGTGATTAACAGGTCCGTACTGAAGTCCAAATGCGAACGATGTGCAACAATGACTCGTACAAGAAATTCCACGCTTTCTGGTCGGGGCAAGTGTGAGTCCATGTGCACAGTGTATAAAGCAACACATATGTTTCATTGTCCAGTGGGAAAAGTTTTACCAGGTGAGAGTCGCTCAATGTCGATGACGAGTCTCCACCTTCCAGAACCCGTACGGTGTCCTGGTTTTGACAAACGCAAATCTGGTCACACTAACCTGTATTCCACTGAGTCGTGTCTTTTAATCCGACAGAAGTTGAACCACATCAGTGCACAAGAGCTGTATTTTTATCTTCGCTTAATTTATGCAAATTAGCGATGCGGTTTTAAGTTTCATTTCTGTGAGAGTTGACGCAAAACTGAATTAAACACATTATAATGTCAAACGGGCTGATGTGACTCTAGAGTCGTTACAGTTTATATGTCGTAAAGTTGAATTTATTTATGTAGATTAGTAGTGCAGATAGTAATAATAATGATGATAATTTTAATATAAAAACGTTAATGATTAATCGATAATCGATCGTTAATTCTTCCGACGATCGATTAAGAAAATTTCATGGAATGCCCATCCCTAGTGCCTCCTCTTACTGCCACAGGATTGGCTGTAGACCTGTCTATTAAAATACACTTGTCTTATTGAGATCAACCAAAGTTTACATCTTGTCTTGTCTCTTCTCTTTATGACTTTACTCCTCCTTGTGTCTTTCACCACAGGATTCCTTCGGGGAGGACTTTGACTGCCAGTCCGAGCCCCACAGCGACGCCCCCTGGACCAGCCCGCTCTTGGACGAGTGTCCCCAGAGCCCCACGCCAGAGACCGCCCCCCTGGACTCCCCCGGCCTGCCCATGCTCGAGTCCACCCACCAGCACACCGCTGAGCCCCCCCCTCCGCCGCCCGCCCCCAGAGAGGGCACGGGGGGCCGGGCCAAGCGCTTCCGGAGAGAGGAGCCCATCAGCGAAACGGCCGCCAACCTCATCTCCGTGATCAACCGGACTCTGGAGCAGCTGTCCCAGGAAAGGGAGGAGAGGGCGGAGAGATGGAGGGAGGAGAAGAGGGAGAGAGAGGAGAGGGAAGAGAGGGGGGAGAGGGAGGAGAGAACGGAGAAGTCGGAGAATCAGGACGGTATCTCCATCTATCTAAAGTATTTTGAACACAGACTGCGCGGGCTCCCTCCACACCTCCTGCCCCGAGTTCAGAGGGACATTGAAAACCTCCTCTTCTCGTACTCAGTGGAGGAAATCAAAATGGACTTGTAATATATTTTTTAAGTGCACATGACATGTTGTGACTTCTCATTTGACAGTTAGAGGTGCATTGTGTAACTTTGCTGGTGGAGGGTCTGTCAAACGCTTTTCTACATTGAGATGTTACTGCTTTGTCTGGAATGTTTCACAGTATGGCATTAAACCTTTCTGTCTCCATGGAGACTATGGCTGCGCTCACACTGCAGCCTGAAGTGACCCAAATCCAATTTTTTTGGCCCCTGTGTGACCTGTATCTGATCTTTTAATGACAGTCTGAACGACACAGATCCGATTTTTTTCAAATGTGACCCAGGCCACTTGGATATGTGCTCCTGAAACCGATACATATCTGATCTTTTCACATGTGACTTCAGTGTGAACGGTTAAGGCGCATTCATCCGACCTACACTTTATCAACAAGCCACAAATGTACACAAATGTTCTTGTTAATGAAATTGTTAATGAACTCCGTGTCACTGAAGCGAAGCACATCGCCACTCACCACTCTTGGCTACGTCTCCACATTCACACGTTTCTTTCAACAGACTGTCCCACAAAACACCATGGCCAAAAACCACGTCCTTCTCCTTCTCAATCTCCTCTTTACAACAAGTAATTCGTACATGTTCTGGCTCCGGTACGAGAGGAACTTTAAAATCTCCAGGTGCTCAATGCTGCGTCCATGTTTGGACAACTTCTGTAAACACAGAGACGCTCGCTGTGGTTGAAGTGTCTCCAGTGTCACATGTGGGACACTTTTGGGCCGTTTAATGTTCACACTGGAGACACATACAAGTCACATTTAATTGGAAATGTGAACGACCTCGCAAAAACATCGGATTTCACAAAAAAATCCGAATTGAGCATTAAGCCCTGCAGTGTGAACGTAGCCTTAGTCACAGGCCAGATCTGTGGAGAGGCGACCCTGCTCACAGTCAGAATACCAGTTTCTGTAGCTATTTTTGAGCTATAAAACCACCTGTACTTTAATAAATGTAAGGTTGATCTGTTTAATGTCACACTGTGGAACATTCAAGGCAAAGCAATGACATCTCCATAGAAACAAGCTGGTGACGGACCCCCAACCAAAAAGTTACACAGTGCACCTTTAACATTATTATATTTAAGAATTTTGCCTAATTTTGGCGACGTTTATAATTTTATTATTGATTGGACCCTGGCAGAAGAGTAACTTTTTAAACTATGAACTTGTCATAGTAATTTTCAAACGCCATACTTTTACTCCAACTTGAGTAAAATATTTGACAGTGTAGCAGTACTTTTACTTGAGTAAAAGTTTTACTTCCTCTTCCCGCTGTGAGCAAGTCTCCAAGTGACAAAATCTTTGTTTGTGTTTCTTTTACTGTGTTATTTGTATTTTTTTCATTGTTACGCTCTGTCCTTCAAAAATGTATGTGCACTATTTAAAGATGCACTATGGAACTTTCTGGTGGAGGATCTGCCATGTGCTTGTCTTCGTGGAAATGTGATTGCTTTGTCCAGAATGTCCCACAGTATGGCATTAAACGTATCTATTTCCATGGAGACAAACCCACAGTGTCTCCAGGGCAGGCCAAGTTACAGGTCCGATCTGTGGAGAGGCGAGCTCACTCACTGTAGTATTTTCGAGCAGTTAAACACCTCTAATGGAAAAAATGCAGGATATTATGATTTTAATGCCATACTGTGAAACCTTTCAGGCAAAGCAATTAATATCTCCATGGAAACAAGTTTGTGGCGTATCCCCTACCAGAAAAGTTACACAGTGCAGCTTGAAATTACGAATAAGATGTTGTGTCCAAACATCTGCGTAGTAGTAGTTTTACCAAATACTTTTTTACTTCTTATTGAACCATTGCTTTGCACTTCTACTTGAGTATTATTATTTTGAAGTAACAGTATTCTATGACGACATTTTTTACTACTCCCAAAGCGTTTACAATTTAGACTCCTGTTTGAATCATTATTTCTGAAGACAGCTCAACTCAAGTTTGACATTTTGAAAGTGAATTATTATATAAATTTTGATTACTGTAATAGGAGGATTTGGGAGTACTTTGTATTTGTAGTACAGCTTTAGAACTGTGCCTTTCGTTAATCGAGTCACCATTAGGCCGTGTAATCTACTTAAGTGCTTCAACTGAAAGTCTGTGAGTAATTGAATCATTCTGGACCTGATTTATTCGGTCTTCTTTAAATCTGAGTCTTTCCTCTGTCCGAGTGGAAAAAGAGACTTGTGCTGTTATGACCAAAATGTGAAGTAACATTTTAGTTTGGATAGCTGGAAATACTTCAACAGTTATCTCATGTATACTTTAGATTCTTATGTACAGACCTCTTATTTCAGGCCCGTTTAAACTCATTTGGAGTTACAAAATAAACATATTTTATCATTTTGCCTCATGCATGGACTAAAGCTGCATTACTTTTGTTTTAGAGGTGGTTTTAAATGACATTTTTTGTAAGGCAACCTCACTTTTTCATTGCTTAGTCATAATATAAACTCTTACCAGTCTTATCAGCTCGTCAAAACAAATATTTTTACATCTTTTTTATAAAGAAATACAATTAACGTGTTTTTCGGACTATAAGTGGCACTTTTTTTCCATGGTTTGGGTGTTTCCTGCGTCTTATATTCCGGTGTGACTTATATATTAAAATTTTCAGACTGACAGCCGCAAGAGGCTCTAGGGTCGTGTGTCAGTATCTAGTACTACTATTACTCCTGTACCACTGTCACTTCCCACTCTACTGCGCATGTCTCCTGTTGAAATAGCCTCTGTTTTGCTGCAAATAGAAATATTCAGCCGAAAACAGTAATTGAGCAGCAGAAAGAAAGTCTCGAGTGAGCGAGAAACTTGTGATTGACTGGTGGAAAGTGGGGATGGAGAACACAGCTTCACAGCAACCGGGCGGGTGCAACATCCAACTTTCCTGGAAGTCACTGGATGAATCGACAAAGCCTGGACTTCAGTGACAACCGAAACCATCCTGTCGGGATTCAGAAAGGCTGGAATAATTCTAACTGGAACTGATGCTGAGTCTGACGACAGCGACACAGAAGAGGAAGTGGCGCTCTGTTTACATCATGGATCTATGGTTTATCTCAGGAGGTCACGCAAAAGTGACACAAAAGATGAAGAATTCAATGGATTTAGTGATTTGGAGTGAGATCGTGAGTTTGGTAAACTTAGATAGTTTATGCTATAATTATCTGAATAATATTATTATTATATTAATATTAATAACTATTCAGTCTGTTGTTCTCTGTTCTAGTGTTGTTACTAGAACTTGCCTTTCAAGATGAAATGTCGGTTCCTGGTCTCTGATTTTACAAATTACATTTACCCAAAAAGTGCGACTTATAGTCCGGTGCGACTTATGTATGTTTTTTCTTCTTCATTGCGCATTTTTTAGCTTGTGCAACTTACACTACGGAGCGAGTTATAGTCTGGAAAATACAGTAATATTATGAAGAATTGAGTTAGCATTTTGGCCCGGCTCTCCACAATAGTTTCTGTTTCTAATGTGGCCCCATAGAAAAAAGAATTGCCCACTCCTGTCTTATTTGTTATATATCTTCACTCTGTTTCTTTAATACAGAAAACCTTAAGGATGCACAGATACCAATCCTTGTATCCAGGTCAGTAGACAAGGCGGGTGTAGGGGTGCAGAATCAGACCCTCTTCCTATTAATTTATATTAGAAAGGGGCCCACCTGAGGTTTCTTGCCCTGCGCACCCAAATTTTTGTCGACGGGCCTGCTTGTATCTAATATCTGCGCAGCTCCAGGTATATTTATTGTATTGGGTATGTGTTCCATGATATCGGCTCAGTCGATACTGGTTGATTCTTTAATTGGATGTAATAAGACTTTTTTACTGATTGATACATGTTGTCAAAGTTTTCAGCTTGTCCAAGAAAGGGTGGAAGTAAAAGGCTGGAGACCAACTGGACGTCTTACACAGGAGAAGTTTATTTACCATCAATAATACGAGCCCGGGGGGACATGAAAAGTCAAGATAGTATGATTTCAAAAGAGAACATGGTATGATCTTTGAGTGTTCAAGCCCCTTGACTATGCTTCCAGAGGAGGAGGTTTATTAAGCAAATGGTGAGACTATGAAGTCCAGTAGACACCGGTTAGACAGCAATATGCCACAATTTAGATAATGGTATGGTGTGCCAATGGTGTGCCAATGGTGTGCCAATGGTGTAAATATAGCTTTTGTGTGTCAATGTTAAACTGAAATTCTCTTACAATATAGACCCAGGACCTTTCATAATGTTGAAACTTTATACACAAAATTGTTGAGTGGTCAGTGGACAACTAAGTGACATAATACAATTGGATCAAATTTGTGTATTTAAAAAAAAATAATAATAATAATCCTCTACTGGAAATGGGTAATGTCGAATGTCGGCAAATAAAGTCATAGTATTGATATCAGAACTGAAACATATGGATAAGTTTAATAGCTGGATAGAGAGAATTAATTCTAGATTTTAACTAAACAGATATTTGTACAACTGCTTACTGTTGTTTATTTATTTTTTGTTTGTATGACAGGATGATTACACAGTAAATGTACCGCTGAGACCAGATTTAGCCACAAGCTCATTTTCATCTAGTCCCAAGACAGCAGCTCAATATTGTGCAGGTACTTATAACGACCAGCAGAGGGAGCTCCTAATCAGCACTCCAAATACAAATGAAACACAAACTTACAAATTGAAATGTTGGCATGTATACACAGTGTTGGGAAGGTTACTTTTAAAATGTATTTCCCTACAGATTACAGATTACAGAATACATACCCCAAAATGTAGTTTGTAACATAATCCATTAAATTACTTAAAGTGAGTAATGTAATCTGAATACTTTGGATTACTTGATTTGCGGTAGAGAAACAAAGACTAGGAAATCTTCACAAAAGATGTTTTGTCTGCTAAAAGACAATGAAAAGGCTGAGTTTTTACTTAAACCTATTAAAAAATATTATTGATAGAAGAGGCACGGTCCGTGCAGCATGATTTTAGTCCTGTTAAATCCTGTTTTAATCCTGGTTTAGACACATGATTTAGGCCTGATTTAGTCTGGGTTTAGTCCGGGTTTAGTCCTGGTGTAGACCTAGTTTAGACCTGGCTTTAGACCTGGTTTAGACCTGTTTTATAGTGTCTTGCAATGAGTGGAATTACCGAGAAAAGAAAAAAAAAAAAAAAGAGGATATAGCCCCAAATGTGAAAACAGGAAAATGCCACCGTGTAATCCATTTATTTCAACAAAGTAACTGTAATCCAATTACCATTCATTGAAACAGTAACTGTAACTGAATACAGTTACTCATAATTTGTACTCTGATTACATAACTCCGGTACATGTAATCTGTTACTCCCCAACACTGTGTATACATAATCCCTACAAACAGCAGGTCAGTAATAAAACTACAGCTCTGACTCTCTTTAAAACACTTTTTAAGGTTGAATTTAAACTTTTCTTGCAAAGGCTTAAAATTTAAAGGGTGATACGCTCTAGGTTTTGGGTTTAAAGAGCCCGTATTAATCCATTTTCTGATCTCTGTTGTCATGTAGAGATACAGGAAGTGCTCCACTGTGTTTTTAAACTTTCATACACCTTCACTAGAATCATTTGGACTAAAGATAAAATGTAGCTAATTTGAAAACCATCACTACATGACATCACAAGTTGGAACAGAGCATTTCGAGCTTTGGAGATGTAGGCAGACTAATACTAAAGGATGACTCTAGGTTTGTTTCGAAGGAGTTAACAACATTTTATAATGACTTAAAGCTCAGAAGAGTCTGTTTTGCGTCATGGGCCCTTTAAAGGTACAATGGTGTGTCTGTGGTCCTGTACATGCTGCTGTCAGGTGACCACATTTTCCAAGAAGCTCTGGTCTGTCTCAGTTCAGCGCCTGCAGACTGGGCCAGCGCGAACGGGGACTGAAGTGGGACAAAGTTTACTGACCTACACTCTGAGGAGGAAGAGGCTATTTATAGAAGTGGACCAAGTCTGAGAGCTGAAGAGAAGCCTCAAGAAGTAAACAACATCAGGACAAATACAAACATGGTGATTGTAAAGTTATTTGAAACATTGAAGAAGTCAGTGTAGGTCTACTGTGTACACTTCAAATATTTGTTTATTTGTTAGGACTAACAGAAGGTATAAGGGAAAATTACAATTGTGCTGTAAGTATTTCAGAATTATTATTGTTAGGTTCAACTTTTTTGCAGATTTCTTGTAAGAAGTACAGAAATCCTAGCTGAATCCCAATTTGAAAAGGGCTCTTTCTAGAAAATATAACAAAATAGGTGTAAATTTTAAATTATTTTTCTTATTTAATAATACAGTAAGATGCAGAAACAAAGCATATAGATAATAATAAGCCTACTAATACTTCTAATACTATTATATAATACTACCATTATTATTATTATTTTTTTTTTTAAAGCCCAGGACAGTATGAGCTTATGTACAGTTTTCTCTTAATAATAACGATAATATCAGAAAATTACAATTCTAGCCTGGCTGAAAAACACACACACTGAAGTCAAAATAGATAATTTACTCAACAAACCTTTATTTATTTTTTAAAATTGTATTTAGTGAACCTACACATAGCTACAAATGTAAATAAAATACAATATATATGTATGTGTGTGTACATATGTGTGTGTGTGTGTGTGTGTGTGTGTATACATAAGTGTTATAACTCAGGAGAAGCACTGATACAAACCTAAAACCTAGAAAAAAAAGTCTAATTAATTTTATAATAAATAAGTCTTAATTAATGATATAACAATAATAATGCTCATAAACCAAAATAAATAAGGTACATAAATACATAAATATAACAAAAATACAACAAGACATGATATAATGATATAATAATAATAATGCTCATAAATAAAATAAGGTACATAAATACAACAAGACAAATAAAATTAGCTTGTAGAACATTTATAATTACATCAGTAGACCAGTTATGACAGGGCTGTCCAACCTGTAGCTTGGGAACTACCAGTAGGTCTCCTCCCCCTTCCAAGTAGCTCACCAAGGGATTTCTGAATTACACATATTGTCCTGAATAACTCAAATTTGATGTATTAATACATTGTTATTATTATTGTAAATCTATCATTTAGATGCCTGATTTTGTACAGTCATAAATAAAAAATGGGTTGTAACTGTGTGGCTCTTATGTAGACCCCCACCCAAGACCGAAACATAGGTCTTGACATCAAAACAATGCTATTTACTTTTTTTTAATAAAGAAATACAATTAATTTAGCTTTTTTTTCTTTTCTTTCTTTTCTTTTTTTTTCTTCCATAATAATTTAAACCTAGGTCTTGACTTTAAGCATGTATTTTTATATTATATAATTCTATAGATTAATTTTCGGAGGTTGGACGTGCTCACAAAGCCCTCGACGTCAGTTTGGTCCAATCAGAGCGCGGGGGGCGTGACCAATTTTATTCCTCGCTCCTGTGAACCATAATAAACACAAGCTCCATAGCGGATCACTAAAACTGGATATTTTTACTATTTTATAATCACAAACCAAGGTAAGAACATATTCATTTAACAAATCATACGCTTATGTAACGATGCCAAGCTCCAGATGGCACCGTGCGTAATTCCCTTGTATTTCGCTCCGACATTCTCGACAAAGATGGATTTTGCACTGTTAAAACTAAATGTCTTTGAAAGAACGAAGAATCCTCCAGTGCACAGCGAGTTGGATGTTAGATCCAGCCGGGAAAGTGTGCTCCAGACCGGGGTACGAACGCCGTGTGCCGCCGGTTGGTACGCGGTGTTCCATCTGTGAGTGTTGCAGCATGGCGGCTGTGTGTTAATACAACAGCAGAGCCATGAGGCATCTTCTCTCAATGACAGCTGCTCCAAGAACTCTCACCTGTGGATCCAGTTTAGTCCTGGTTTAGTCCCGGTTTAGACCTGGTTTAGATCTTGTTTATTACTAATCTAGTCCTAGTTTAGACCTGGTTTAGTCCTGATGTCTTTATGCAACAGCAGGCATGAGGAATTCATCTCTCAGACCTGGGTTAGTCCTGATGTAGTCTTAGATTAGATCTGGTTTAGTCTTAGTTTTGAGTTGTTTTAGTTCTGATATAGTCCTCATTTAGACCTGGTTTAGTTCTGATCTGATGTAATCCTAGTTTAGATCTATTTTAGTTCTAATTTAGAGTAGGTTTAGCTCTGATGTAGTCCTAATTTACACCTAGATTTGTCCTAGTTTAGACCTGGTTTAATCCTAGTTTAGTCCTGCTTTTAGTCCTGGTTTAGTTCTGGTTTAGTCCTGGTTTAGTCCTGGTTTTAGTCTTGGTTTTAGTCTTGGTTTAGTTCTAGTTTAGTCCTGGTTTAGACCTGGTTTAATCCTAGTTTAGACCTGGTTTAGTTCTGATGTAGTCCTAGTTTAGACCAGGTTTAGTTTCGAATTGGTCCTAGTTTAGATCTGGTTTAGTCCGAGTTTAGAGCTGGTTTAGTTCTGATATAGTCCTAGTTTAGACCTGGTTTAGTCCTAGTTTAGACCTGGTTTAGTCCTAGTTTAGAGTTGTTTTATTTCTGATATCATTCTAATTTTGACCTGGTTTAGTTCTAATCTGATGTAATCCTAGTTTAGACCTGGTTTAGTCCTACTTTATACCTGATTTGCATCTGGTTTAGACCTGGTTTGGACCAGGTTTAGTCCTAATTTAGACCTGGTTTAAATCTGGTTTAGTTCTAGTGTAGACATGGTTTAGAACTGGTTTAGTTCTCATTTAGACCTGGTTTAGATCTTGTTTAGTCCTAGTTTAGACCTGGTTTAGACGTAGTTTAGACCTTGATTTATTTCTAGATTGGTTCTGATCCAGTCCTAATGTAGTTCTAGTTTAGATCTGGTTTAGACCTGGTTTAGTTCTGATGTAGTTATAGTTTACATTTTTAGTCCTAGTTTAGACCTGGTTCAGATCTGGTTTAGTTCTGATGTAGTCCTAGTTTAGAACTGGTTTAGTCCTAGTTTAGACCTGGTTTAGTTCTGATGAGGTCCTAGTTTACATCTGGTTTAGTACTACTTAATACTACTAAAAGTTTAGTACTACTTTGCATCTGGTTTAGACCTGGTTTAGACCAGGTTTAGTCCTAGTTTAGACCTGGTTTAAATCTGGTTTAGTTCTAGTGTAGACATGGTTTAGAACTGGTTTAGATCTTGTTTAGTCATAGTTTAGACCTGGTTTAGACTTGTTTTAGTCCTAGTTTAGACCTGGTTTACTCCTAGTTTAGACCTGATTTAGTTCTAGATTGGTTCTGATCCAGTCCTTATGTAGTTCTAGTTTAGATCTAGTTTACACCTGGTTTAGACCTGGTTTAGACCTTGTTCAGACCTTGTTCAGACCTTGTTCAGACCTGGTTTAGACCTGGTTTAGACCTGGTTTAGACCTTGTTCAGACCTTGTTCAGACCTGGTTTAGATCTGGTTTAGTCCTAGTTTAGTTCTGATGTAGAGTGCATCAGAACTAAACCAGATTATATCCATTTTTGAACACTTTACTCTGAAGAAGACACTGCACAGAATGTGACAACCAAAATCCCATATCGATTTCTAAAAAAATGAAGCTCCATCTTTTACTAGTATACACTGAACAGTAAGTTGAGACAGTAATTACTGTGTCGGGTCAAGTGAACTCACCGTATTAGGTAGAAAATTGAACTATTGACACTTCGCAGCTGATGTCGTCAACATTCCCTTGGGGTGTGACTCTAAATGTAGGTTCTGCTCACATTAGTCGGTACTTTTTCACTTAGTCACTCTCTTCAGTCAGTCAGCTCCAAAACAGGACCCTGAACGCTCCTATTGATCAAAGACTCCTGAAAATGTGTGCTTTAAATCCATCTTGAGTTTTTCAGGTGAGTCTGCAGATTATCTTAAAAGTTTTTTGACAGTGTTTGCTTCTGTGTGCATTGTGTCACCGTTAGAACTTTAAGGTGCATCTTGTACGTTTTCTAGCGGAGGGTCCAAATACTCAAATACTTTTTTAAATTTCTTTGTCTGGAATGTTTCACAGTATGATATTAAACCTTTCTATCTTCACGGAGACCAAACCACAGAAAAATACTGGTCAGATCTGTGGAGAGGCGACCCCGCTCACAGTCAGAATGTCTGTTTTTCTAGGTATTTTTGAGCTATAAAACACCTGTAACTGAATAAATGTAAAGTAGAGCTGTTTAATGTCACACTGTGGAACATTTCAGGTGGACATCCGTAGAAACAAGCAGGTGACGGACCGCCAGCCAAAAAGTTACATAGTGCACCTTTTTCAATTCAATTCAAGTTTATTTTATAGCACATTTAAAACAACTTCAGCAACCAAAGTGCTTCACATACATGTCAACAAAATAGAAGAAACAGTTACAAATACATATATACAGAAAACATGTGAAAACTACAGTAAAAACACTAAGATAACCTGACTCACTCGTACTAAACGTCAGGGAGAAGAGGTGAGTTTTCAGTCTAATCTTAAATTGCGTTACAGACTGAGAGGATCTGACAGGAAGAGGAAGGTTGTTCCACAATTTGAGCGCTGCCACAGAAAAGCCTCTGTCATCTTTCGTCCTGAGATTAGTTTTGGGTTCGACCAACAGGAGCTGCTCAGCTGATATCAGGGCTCTGGGTGGAGTACAGGGCTGCAGTAATTCATTCAAATAGCCTGGACCCGTGGTGTGCAAACATTTGAAAGCAATTAATAATTTTAAATTGCACCTGATATAAGACGAGAGAAGATAAGAAGCAAAAGAGGTGTGCTTCACTGGGTCATAAAAGATTAAAAAATAGCAGTAAAGGTGCTCTACGAGGGTTAAAACAGTAGTCTTTAAACAGAAAGTTACCCTTACTGGAAAATGGAAAAGTGGGCAAGGTACAAACCCGAGGCACTCCGACTGAATATATTAAAAGTCCTTTATTACATGAAGGGACGACGACGCGTTTTGACCAGCAAGATGGTCTTGGTCAGGGCAAAGTCCTGGCATCCCTCAAGTTAATAAAGGACTTTAAATATATTCAGTCGGAGTGCCACGGGTTTGTTCCTTGCCCACTTTTTCATTTTCCAGTAAGGGCAACATTCAGTTGTTTTTTTTAAAAATCCATCATTAGACACTTTCATTCATTTTATTAATTTACTTGTTTGAGCCAGGTACAACAAAATTCAAAAACAATAATATAAATAAAGATATGTACATGAACATATTTGGGACCTGGTGAACAAAAGGAGGAGGATGAAGTTTAAAAAACTTAGAGTCCTACCCCAACTGTTTTACATAATCACATGGTTCACACTTTTATTTTTTTTTAAACATATATACAAAAACATATCCACACATACATACATACATATACACGTACACACTTGTACATACATACATAAATACATACATACATGCATACATATACACATCATAGATATCCAGTACATATACTCAATATAAATGCTTATACACATATACATACATGCAGAAACATATTTTCGTTTAGTCGTACATATACTAATAATAATGTTGTTGTAGGCACAAAGTTTATTGTTTATGATCGTATGAAATAAACAGTAATGAGAATGAAAAATTTAGGAATTTTTTGTTTTCATTTATGATCGTACAAACTAATAATAGTAATGAAGTAGGCACAAAAGTTTATCGTTTATGATTGTACAAAATAAACAGTTAATGAGAATGAAAAATCTAACAATTAAGACACTTGTTTTTAATTTACTTTTTTATTGATTTTTTTTGTATTTTTATGTATTTATTTGTATATTTCTCATTAGAGATACACGCTGAACACGTGATGTGCAAAAATATCAAAATTTATATTGTATCATTTAATGCGATGATACAGTATCGATATCGAGGGCTGCTGTATCGTTCTATCACCAAGAATATTTTTGGTATATTTTAGTAAATTATTTTGTTACAGCACTGCAGTTTTGTTGCTTGTTTAGTGAAAGTAAAACCATTTATGCAACACATTTGACATTTTCACTGTTTTGATGAGTAAAATGGGCGTGTTTCAAATGAACTTTGCACAAGAAGTGGTTTAACAAAGACTTTTACTATCACAGCCATGACTTAGTTGTTGTTTTTTTATTGAACCGTATCAAATCAACTTGAACTATATCGTATTGAATCAAAAGTGAACTGTATCGAGATATGTATCGTATCGGCGACTTCTTAATGATACCCAGCCCTACTGAACACCCCCAGAATCATTTGCGTAACACCAAAAGCAGCCTGTGTATTGTCAATTGTGCACGTACTGCAGTTTATGTTGTGAGATTTTTTTAGTTTTGGATTTGACAAAAAAAACGTTAAGGTTAAAGTACGTTTCATGAATTGCTGTAGATCCAAAACACAGAGCTTAAATGACAATAAAACAAAATAAAGTAATTCAAATGGGACCAAAATTGTGAAATGAAAATAAATTAGGTCAAAAGTTTGTGTTATTCTTGTGGACCAAACCTCATTGTGTTACACAGGTGAAGAAGTGTACACAGTGTAATCTCCCATGAGTCTGTTTGAACAAGATTGTACTGTCAGCAGGGACAGAGCCAACAGTGGCACCCATTTCTCTTTCTTCGCTTCCTTCTCCTTGATTCCTTTCCTCGACTCTGCAGGAAATGGGTGAGGAAGTCCCGCCCACAAAGGAGACAGAGAGGAGAGAGGGTCTAAAAAGTTTGATTCTTTTCTCCGGTGTTTGTTTACTCCTTCATTCTGTGGTTTTCTTTTGGAGGACACCTAACGTGACGCATTTGATTGACAGCTGAGAAGTGGAGGATCGAGGAGAGGAAGCAAGGAGAAGGAAGCGAGGAAAGAGAAATGGGACGCGGCCCATGAGTCAGCTTTGCCTCACACTTCTCTTTGTCTGTGTGCAGTCAGAAAACGCTGTTTAAGAACATTTCAAATAAGAACAGGAACAGAAAAGGTTCAGTTCTGATGTAGTCCTGGTTTAGACTTGGTTTTAGTCCTAATGTAGTGCTAGTTTAGACCTGGTTCAGTTCTGATGTAGTCCTGGTTTAGACCTGGTTTAATTCTGATGTAGTCCTACTGTAGACCTGATTTTGTCCAAGTTTAGACCTGGTTTAGTTCTGATCTAATCCTAGTTTAGACCTGGTTTAGTTCTGATGTAGTCCTGGTTTATGCCTGGTTTTGTCCCAGTTTAAACCTGGTTTAGTTCTGATTTAGTCTTTGTTTAGATCTGGATTTGTCCTTGTTTAGACCTGGTTTAGTTCTAATGTGGTCCTAGTTTAGACCTGGTTTTTGTCCTAATATACTGTTAGTTTAGTCCTAGTTTAGTTCTGATGTAGTCCTGGTTTAGACCTGGTTTTGTTCCAGTTTAGACCTGGTTTAGTTCTAATGTAGTCCTAGTTTAGACCTGGTTTAATTCTAATGTAGTCCTAGTTTAGACCTGGTTTTTGTCTGAGTTTAGACCTGGTTTAGTTCTGATGTAGTCCTAGCTTAGACCTGGTTTAGTTCTAATGTGGTCCTAGTTTAGACCTAGTTTTAGTCCTAATTAGTGCTAGTTTAGACCTAGTTTTGTTCTAATGTAGTCCTAGTTTAGACCTGGTTTTGTCCCAGTTTAGACTTGGATTAGTTCTGTTGTAGTCCTAGTTTAGACCTGGTTTAGTTCTGATGTAGTCCTGGTTTAGACCTGGTTTTGTCTCAGTTTAGACCTGGTTTAGTTCTGATGTAGTCCCAGTTTAGACCTGGTTTAGTTCTGATGTAGTCTCAGTTTAGATCTGGTTTTAGTCCTAATGTAGTACTCATTTAGACATGGTTAAGTTCTGATATAGTCCTAGTTTAGATATGGTTTTGTCCCTGTTTAGACCTGGTTTTAGTCCTAATATAGTGCTAGTTTAGACTTGGTTTAATTCTAATGTAGCCTTAAATTAGATGTGGTTTTGATACAGTTTAGACCTGGATTAGTTCTGATGTAGTCATAGTTTAGACTTGGTGTTAGTCTTAATGTAGGGCTAGTTTATCTTTTTTTTTGTCAGTTTTTAAATATATAAACAGACCTTGTGTTTCTCTTATTGCTAATGATGCCAATGAGCAAAGCACTAAACTCTGTGAGAGAAGTGCCATTTTGTTCCATTAGTTCCTGTCTTTACACCTCTCTCTCTCCTGTGTGTGTGTGTGTGTGTGTGTGTGTGTGCGGTGGTAGACGTCGCCATGGGGAAGAGCCAGTCCCACTTGGGTAAGAACAAAGACGACAGCCAGGAGGCGCTCACGGGCTCTGACGCGGAGAAAGAGGAGAAGAGTGAGGACATGTCACAGTTCCCCTACGTGGAGTTCACCGGGAGAGACAGTGTGACCTGCCCAACCTGCCAGGGCACCGGCCGCATCCCCAGAGGTAACCCACCACGCACGTTATACTCAAAAGTAGAAAATAATCGATTCTAAAACTAGTATGCAAACTAGATAGTAATTTGAGCAGGCCACATGGGAATAGAAATTAAAATACTACCAAAAAAGAACGATAATCACATTCTATTATATTAAGAAAGTGTTTTGTTTTTTTTTTTTTTTTTTTTTTTTTTTTTTATTATCACATCATTTCATATCATTTTTATCATGACATCGGAATCCAGAGTATACGCTTTATATTATTTTTTACAAATTTTAGTATTGTGATAGCACTACACCATTTGTTGTTATCTAAAAAAATTAGACCAAATATAAAATAATATTTGGGCCAATTTCTATTTATATATAAATATATATCTAACATCCACAAAGCTGAAATTTTAAACTTAATTTCAGTACTAAACAATAAACTTGATACCACAATGATAATTAAAAAACACTCTTTTTTTAAGACAACAGAATGTGATTTTCAACATTAAATGGTAGTATTGTATTTTCCGGACTATAAGTGGCTCCAGAGTATGAGTCACACCAGCCAAAAAATGCATAATGAAGAAGAAAAAAACATAAGTTGCACTTTTTGGGGGAAATTTATTTTATAAAATCAGACACCAGGAACCGACATTTCCTGTTGAAAGTCAAGTTCTAGTAATAACAATAGAAGAGAGAACAACAGGCATGTGAGATATATCACATAGGCATGTCAGATAACTATAGCATAAACTAGAAAAGCAGTCAGAGAGCGCAGACCTCCGCCAAGGACTACAGTCCCCCTCATATTAATTGTGTTTTCCATAAATATTTGTCTCGTATCTTTCAATTTGGAATATGAAAGGAGGATCCGATTGTCCATCCCTGAGTCAAATTTCATGGGGTTTGGTCAATAATTAACCGAGATATTGAGAAACAAAATTTTTGGCCCCATTTACCACAATGTTAACTAAAATTTCAAAGTGATCCAGAATCCAGGATTTCTTCTGGATCACCCCCAAAATGAAATCAGTTCTTCCTTTTCACATTTCCAACAAATCCTGAAAATTTCATCAAAATCGGTCCATAACTTTTTGAGTTATGTTGCTAAACTTATGTTGCTGTTCCCTCCTTGGCGGAGGTAACAACAGAACAGAACAAGTTTACCAAACTCTAAATTTCACTCCAAATCACTAAATCCATTCAATTCTTCATCCTCGGTGTCACTTCTGAACAACTCTCTGACCTCTGGAGGTAATCAGAGAGCTGCTTCCTCTTCTGTGTTGCTGTCATCAGACTCAGTTCCAGTTAGAATTATTCTGGTCTTTCTGAATCCCGACAGGATGGTTTTGGTGTCACTGAAGTCACTTAAGTTGACATTGACATTTTCAGTGGTGCAGAAGTAACGGTGCGATCGACTGACATGATACAGACAGGACAGAGGCTCTTTCTGCAGGAGACATGTGCAGTAGAGTGAAGTGACAGTGGACAGTCGCAGCTTCAGTGTCAGAACATTTGAATATAAAAGTCGCATTGGAGTATAAGTCGCAGGAAACACTCAAACCATGAAAAAAGTGCAACTTATAGTCCGAAAAATATGGTACTTTCTTTTCTATGCCCATGTGGTTTTATATGTGTGTAATCCTCAGTGATCCAGTAGGTCCATAGTGTCCATGAGCGTATTCTAGTCTATGTGCTCTTATACTTGTTCTGGTACAGCTCAAGATCATTCTAAAACTCCTGTAAATGTGACTTTTTTTTAGTACTGATACCTGATTTGATACTAGTTTTATTATCGATTAGTATGCGGTTTCGATACTTTTGACAATCCTAGTCTTGCTTTAATTACACTTAAAATAATGACCTCTTTCATTTTTATTCTCAGGTCAGGAGAATCAGCTGGTGGCTCTGATCCCCTACAGTGACCAGCGCCTCAGACCCAGCAGGACGTAAGAACACGTGGTCATATGACTTTAGATTTAGACTTAGACAAACTTTATTGATCCACAAGGGAAATTATCTGGACACAGTAGCTCACACATCACTATATAATATAATAACAAAGTAGCAAAAACAGCAAGAGACAGGTGTTAAATAAGACACAATTATATAAATGCATATATACAAGTCAAAATAAAATAGAAAAATAAGTAATAAAATATAAAATCTCAGCTTTATACAAGAGGTAAACAGTGCAACAATGATATGATGATTGACAGAACACTGGGTTATTGGTTCCATAAGGGTGTGTTGTTGCACAGTTGTAGGGAGTATTATCTGTTACATAAGAGTGAGTTGTAGTTCAGTTGTAGGGAGTATTATCTGTTAATAAGGGTGAGTTCTACAGTTTGTAGGGAGTATTATCTGTTCCATAAGCATGAGTTGTACAGTTGTAGGGAGTATTATCTGTTACATAAGAGTGAGTTGTTGTTCAGTTGTAGGGAGTATTATCTGTTCCATAAGCATGAGTTGTACAGTTGTAGGGAGTATTATCTGTTAACTAAGGGTGAGTTCTACAGTTGTAGGGAGTATTATCTGTTCCATAAGGGTGTGTTGTTGTACAGTTGTAGGGAGTATTATCTGTTCCATAAGCATAAGTTGTACAGTTGTAGGGAGTATTATCTGTTACATAAGGGTGAGTTGTTGTACAGTTGTAGGGAGTATTATCTGTTACATAAGGGTGTGTTGTTGTACAGTTGTAGGGAGTATTATCTGTTACATAAGGGTGAGTTGTTGTTCAGTTGTAGGGAGTATTATCTGTTACATAAGGGTGAGTTGTTGTTACAGTTGTAGGGAGTATTATCTGATTCATAAGGGTGAGTTGTTGTTCAGTTGTAGGGAGTATTATCTGTTCCATATGCATAAGTTGTACAGTTGTAGGGAGTATTATCTGATTCATAAGGGTGAGTTGTTGTTCAGTTGTAGGGAGTATTATCTGTTCCATAAGGGTGAGTTGTTGTTCAGTTGTAGGGAGTATTATCTGTTCCATAAGTGTGACTTGTTGCATCTGTGTGTGTTTTTTGCTCTTTAGAAAACTGTACGTGACCTTATCCGTGGCCCTGTGCCTGCTGCTGTCGGGGCTGGCGGTCTTCTTCCTCTTCCCTCGGCCCATCGATGTGTCCTACGTAGGCATCAAGTCCGCGTACGTGTCCTACGACCAGGACAAGCGCATCGTCTTTCTCAACATCACGGTGAGACATGACTCCTGTATCCTACACCGGTACTCACAGCTATATAGATCGATATACAACTAAAGCACATAACAGTAGAATGTCCCACGGTATGGCTTTAAACTAATAATATTTCCATGGAGACAAGCAGGTGACACCATCAGGTCAAGTTACAGGTCAGATCAGTGGAAACTCAGCCCTGCTTACTGTAAGAGTGCTTGTTTTTGTGACGGAGCAGGCCCGTCCCTAAGAACGCCGTCCCTGGGGAGAGCACGTGAAGACGCGCGCGCCCGTTTCAGGATTCACTGCACTCCACGCGCCAAACCATTTCTTACCAAAACCACTTATTAAAATACATTTTCCCAACACCTCCTGCATGTCTTGCCGCGACTAAGGGTGCACACTTAGAAGCGCTTGTTCGGTCCATCAAAATCACGCTAAACCAGACAGTCACTTGCCCTCTCGCCACTGCCTTCGCGCTCTTTCCGTGGTGCGTTCTGGCAAACCCAGACACATCCGCGCTGGGAGCTTAAATCCTTCTGTTGCGCGGGTTCAGGGGATCAGGTGAGCTACGATTCATGTGCATGCTCAATTAAACGGATTGTCTGTCTCTTGGAAATTATATACAAGACCTGTTCATTCTGGGTGAAAGGTATTACAGGTGTATAACGGTCGATATATGGAACGTAGGCCATTTAATAGTAGAAACGGTGCAAATCACAGTTATTGGGGGAATTATGTAATGTGGGAGGGGCAAACGGGGGTATAAAGGTGCGCTCTCCAGCTCTGCCAGCAGTTGTGACCAGGTTACAGTGGAGGTAACGTGTGTGGAGAGAACCAGAGCGAACGAGCGACCGAGAGAGTGAGAGAGCAAACGCTGCGGGACTTAAAGGGGAAGTCCAACAAAAACTTTTTTTTTGTTTTTTCACGCAACCACTGTAAATATTTTACCACTCACGTTTGGCACCTTTTTGCACTGTTGGAGAGCACAATAAATCACCTAAAAGCATTTCCTGACTAAGCCTGAGTTTTCTGGAAGAACCCCACCACAGTTTTTCTTTGTATTTTTGAGCTATAACACCAGCTTTTTGGAATAAATTTAAAAGAAACATTTAATGCAACACCGTGGAACATTCCTGGCAAAGCTGTAACATCTCCACGGAGACAAGCCGGTAGCGTACCATCCACTAGTAAAGTTACACAATGCACCTGTAAAGAGGGGGTGTTATGCAGTTCGACCATGTTATTAACTTTCCTTCTTCAAAAACATGCCTGAAGAAGTTTTAGATGTCGTCCATGCATGTTTGAGTCATTTAGCGATCTCTCCCGAGAGTTCCACCTTGTGATGTCATGTGGTAATACAGGAAGTGCTCCACTGCGTTTTTAAAGGCCCCATCTCATGCAAAATAACTCTTTTCACATTGTATCTTCTGCACATAAACAAGCAAAATTTGGGTTTTGGAACATCCATTACACAATAGTTCTGAAATCTTACTGATTTCTTGGAGACAGTCACAGACCAGGAACTATGAAAGTCCGACTATTGCTCATCCCCCCGTATGTCCTGAGAAAACACAGGCTCCGCCCTCCAAACGTGACATAGACTGAGTGAGCCGCCCTTCCTCCGCCCATCTCAGGGAGGGAGGGGGAGACAGACGTGCACCCTGATAGTGGTAGAAATAAACTTTTATTCATCATGGAGATACAGCGCGTTCAGCCGCATGTGTTGGACCTGGAATCGGACGAGGACTTTGAGGTGCACGAAGCTCAAGCACCACGTCCACATCAACTGAACATTACTGATTGGTAAAGTATTAATAAACACTAGTTATTATATTATATCGTGTTCACTGCAGTGTGGAACAATGAACTTATGCTGTCACTTTTGTTTAGATGTTCATGTGGGAATTGTCAGTCGATGCGGGTTGGAGGTGGTGGAGCGGTGGAGGGGGGCGAGTGTGAAGCGTTTTCTGCTACATCAAACTTGTCATAGGTGTATCTGCCGCATCATCGTTGTAGCAGCTTTAGTTCAATGTCATGTTGGAGGGTGGCAGAAATACGCTGCAATTTGTTTAAAAAAAAACACCTAATCAATCTAAAAACCACTTGGGCGACATATACAAGGCCCACACATCACTCTTAGAAGGTAGAAAGCGCAGAAAAGTTGATTTTGCATGAGATGGGCCCTTTAAACTCCATATATCTTTATAGAATCATTAGGATCATTTCAGTGATGGAATTGCCCATCTCTACTGAACTGAAGGTAAAAGGAGCTGTTAACTTGAAAACTGCCACTTCATGATATCACAAGGTGGAACTGAGCATTCTGAGATTTGGAGATGTAGACAAGACTAATAAAAAAGGGTTTCTCAAACATGTGTGACTGAAACAAAACACAACTCCAGGTCTGTTTTTGAGAAGGGAACAAAATTGAGCTTAAAGGTGCACTACGTCACTTTTTGGTTGGGGGTTCGTCACCTACTTGTTTCTATGGATACGTCATTGCTCTGCCTGGAATGCTTCACAGTGTGACATTAAACAGCTCTACCTTACATTTACTCAATTACAGGTGGTTTTATAACTCAAAATACTTAGAAAAACAGGCAGGCTCCACAGATCTGACCTGTAACTTGGTTTCATTTGGTCTCCATGAAGATAGAAAAGTTTAATGCCACACTGTGAAACATTCCAGACAAAGCAATAACATTTTAATAGAGAAAAGTGTTTGTCAGACCTTCCAGAAAAGTGACACAATACACATTTTAATTTCACAATAGTAAATTTTGTGTAATATAGGACCTTTAATACTCTACTTTAATACTGTGGTTTTTCCTGTTTCCTGTTTCATGCATTCTCATCTCTAACCTTTTTAGCCAATTAAGTTCTAAATGAATCAAATCAAGACTTGGAGTCACTTGAGTTCCCAGAACAATGTGCTGCTTTGTAATGGACAAATTGAAAATGACAGTGTCAAAGAATCTTAAGAACCGTTTGATATATGACTGATAAGACTACTTAAAGATGCACTGTGGAACTTTTCTACTGCGGGGTCCATCAAATGTTTTTCTCTATGGATGTTCTTGTTATTGTCTTGTCTGGAATGTTTCACAGTATGGCATTAAACCTTTCTGTCTTCATGGAGACCAAACCAGACAAAGTTACAGGTCAGATCTGTGGAGAGGCGACCCCGCTCACAGTCAGAATGTCTGTTTTTTCTAGGTAGTTTTGAGCTATAAAACCACCTGTCATTGAATAAATATAAATGTTTAATGTCATACTGTGGAACATTCCAGGCAGAGCAACGACATATCCATAGAAATAAGCAGGTGACAGACCCCCAGCCAAAAAGTTACACATTGCACCTTTAAACTTTCTACTGGCAGGACTCCCACGGTGATGGAAATCCTGGAAAAGTCATAGAAATTGAAAATGTCTTTTTCCAGGCCAGTCATGGAATTTTAGTGTGCCTTTTGTTTAAAAGAGACGACAATAAATGCACTGACAGGATTTTGAATGTTAAAAAATTATAATCCCTAAACCGTAAAGTGAGTGGAAAGAGTTTACATTTCATATTTAGCCCTAAAAGTCTGATTGTAGTGGACCAAACAGAAAGGCAAAGACAAGGTATAAAAATAAGTTTAAATTTAATAAAGTCAAAAAAGATATAATTTAACAAAGGCTCAAATTAGGCAAATTATTACCAAAAAGAAAAGCCGGACCCAACTGGGGAAACTCAAATCAAAGTGAACAGAACAAAACTAACCCAAAGTGACAAAGGAACAGGGCTGTTTAAATACTCGAGGACCAACTAAAGCTGAACACAAGAGGGAGGAATTACACTAAATAATTAACTAAACTACTAACCAGGTTTGTCCCGATCTGATCACGTGATTGGAAATCGGCGCCGATCACGTGACTGCGGACTCGATCCAGACTCGGACATTATGTTCAGATCAGGTATCGGATATATCGTAATATACGTAGATAATACACAGCACACACAGGACACAACAGTTTTTCTGAGGCGCGGGATTTACTCAGGGACGTCCGGTCTAAATCAGATCTAAACCAGGACAAAATCCAGGACTAAAAGCAAGACTAAAGCAGGACTAAACTAGGACTAAAGCAGGACTAAAGCAGGACTAAACCAGGAATAAACTAGGACTAAAACCAGGACTAAACTAAGACTAAAACCAGGACTAAACCAGGACTAAACCAGGAATAAAAGCAGGACTAAAGCAGGGCTAAACCAGGATTAAAAGATGGACTAAACTAGGACTAAACGGGACTAAAACCAGGACTAAACAATCTGACACCTAACAGTAGGGTGGACATTAAGGAACTTTAAGGCAGCAGTGATCTCATATAGATAATTAATTTCTCTATCAATAATATTTTTAATTTGGTTAAGCAAAGACTGGGCTTTTTATTGTCTTTTATCAGACAAAACATCTTATGTTAAGATCCTAGTCTTTGTCTTACGCTCAACAAACAATTTGAAGAGAACAAACATGAATTTTCAGGATCTGGTTGCTACATTTTAAAAAGCACGACAATATCAAGTAATCCAAAGTATTCAGATTACGTTACCCCCCTTAAAAAATGTAATAGATTCCGTTACAAACTACATTTTGGGGTATGTAATCTGTCATCTGTAGGGGAATACATTTTAAAAGTAACCTTCCCAACACTGAGCATGGGCACTTTAATCTGTCCAGTCTGACTAGGAAATAAGGCACTTGAACAAACTGTGCGCCAAATCACAGAAAAATCTTGCACGTTTTTCTCAAATTTTGTGACTATACGATTCAAATCATACAACTTCTTCTTCTGTATTGTCCTCCACAGAGCACCTTGAACATCACCAACAACAACTACTACGCCATCTACATGACCAACATCACAGCCGAGGTGCAGTTCTACAAAACAGTGATCGGAAAAGCCAAGATAAACAACAGCACTCTGATTATACCTCTGGACGAGAGACAGGTCTGTGCTCTCACCACATTCTAACAACAACAACATTCTAACGCATGTCCAGGCCTGTCACCAGCATTTATTTTCATTGAGGTGAAGTGTATATAAAGTGTATATGAAAACTACAAATACACTTAGCCATACATGTTTTCAGAGTATCACTTTATTGGCACAAACCAGAGTCTGTGGGGGTTTCTCAGTTGTCAGGATCCTCGGCCTTCTGACAGATCCTCGTCCTCAGAGCTCCGACAAGTGGTTCTCCAATTCCCGCAAAGCCCTCTCGTCCTCCGCGCCCTCTGCTTTTACCAAGGATGCACTGGTGGATCCTTGGCCACCTCAGAGTGCTTGAAATTACCCATAATGCACTGCAACTAAAATTTTTACAAACTCTATTTAAGCAGTAAAATGCATTTTGATAAAATAAAACTCATTCCACAGTACAAAAGAAGTAAATATTTTGCTATTTTAGGCACATTGCTGCAAATAACACTATTATCAGATCAAATTAATTCAAATCAGGACAAATGCAGCAAAATCTTTTAATGACGGGGATTAGGAATCCAATAAGCATCTATCATCTGAAAATATTTTGGCCTCTGTATTTATTTTTGTAGGGTAATTATCAGCCTAAATAACACAATCACAATAAAACATACACCTCAGAACACTTTATATTTGTGGAAGCAGTGATGTTTATTAATACTCGAGTTTTTATGAGTTTTATCGCGTTTAATTTGGTCACATGACACGGTGCAGTACCTCTCTCAGGAACCTGTTCCAGGTGAGCTCCAGGAGCTATGAGCAGGACACTTGGCTCTGCTTCGGAGGAGCTACAAAGTGATCTTTGGAAGAAGGATTGAGAAACACCCTTTATATATAAATGGACATAGCTAATGCACTAGCCGCTGTGTTCCAAGTAGGAAGTTCGCGTGCAGCTCTTCCGGCTCCTTCTGACTCTGGCTCCTATTGATTTACATTGGAATATTGAGCCCCCCCCCCCCCCCCGGAACTACTGACCTTCGTCATTTTGGTCTTAAAATGTTCGTATTAATCCGCTCTGCATGAACCTGGGTCTTTTTCCACTGTTGCCAGTTTAAAAAATCCTTTTCCTAATATAGAACCTGGCTCCAAATTCAGTCTTGTTACTGTTAGCATCATGAGCCTCATTTGAGTGCAGCCGAAGGCTATGGTTGATGTCAGACTCATTTAATCCACTTATTACAAAAACAGGTACATTTAGTTTGGCAGTGAATCAGCTCATTCATTCATTCACACTCAAACTCTGCCTCTAAAAAGTGACAACAGTGCATAGTGTGGCTAAAAGAACTAAAACTCCATTTGAAACAATAGATTAAAAACAAGATACAAATACGTCATATGTGCAAAGGGACATAAATAAGATAAATATAAAATCACTTGTTCAGAGCACTAATGGCTGCTGGAACAAAGGTGCTTTTGTAACACTTGGTTTTACAGAGGGGCTCTTTAAACCTCCGTCCTGATGAGAACAGTTGAACTCATTATTCAGAGGATGAGAGTCATCTTTTAAAATAGCCAGTGCAGCCTCTGTTCCTGCCTCGAGTAGAGAGACACAGGATAAAGCTGAGACTCCCCGATCAACTTACTCGCCCATTTCACCACCTGGTTCAGGCCGTTTCTGTTTTTAAAGAGCTCATCTCATGCAAAATAACTCTTTTCACATTGTATCTTCTGCACATAAACAAGCACAATTTGGTTTTGGAGCATCCATTACACAATAGTTCTGAAATCTTACTGATTTCTTGGAGACAGTCACAGACCAGGAACTATGAAAGGCCGACTATTGCTCCTCCCCCCACCCGTCCTGAGAAAGCACAGGCTCCGCCCTCCAAACGTGACGTAGGCGACGAGTGAGCCGCCCTTCCTCCGCCCATCTCAGGGAGGGTAATATTCAATCAAATGAGGTTGTCATAATCTGTACAGGTGACCACTAAACATCAGTGGTCATAATGACTGAGGTGTAATCGCCATTTTGTTATCATGCAGAAGCATTGAAGACGACTCACTAGAATAAAATGATGCCCTAAGTCTGTTGTTAGTATCAATGTAATATCATTGGACTATGTAACCTTTGTCAACTAAAACAAGTAGAACAAGGGAGATGACGTGCAGATTGAAATGATATGTAGGATAATCTCAGATAATCTGCATCTTGCTTTTAGTTCTCTTCAGTGGTTTACTAGCCTTAAACTTACAGATCTAGGATCGCCATCACTGGACCCTGGTATCCTTTTCTAATGTGTCGCTTCTGTTTCGTTGTAAGTCCAGTTTTAAAAATACCCGTAGTTCTCGAAGCAGTTTTCGGTGAAGTGTCGCTCGCAAACAAAAATATTCTTGGGGAATTTATTTCCCAGAAATAAACTCCAGCCACTTAGCACGCCTTGTTTCTTCTGTCGACATGACAAATCATTTCGACTTGCCATCGCAGCCAAATACGCACTTTCTCCATGAGGACATGGTTACAAAAAGCGTGTTTGAAGCGAAAAAATAAAGATAAATAACGCAGAACAGCAGACCTGTATGGTGTAGACGCAGGACGGTGTGTGAGTGGGGGGAGGCGGGGTGGAGGCGGTGGAATCGGGGGCGGGTGTAAAGCACTTTCTGCTACGTCAAACGCGTCATAGGTGTAGCTGCTCTGTCATCATTGTAGATTTAGTTCGTTGTCACGTGGGAGGGTGGCAGAAATACGCTGCAATTTGTTAAAAAAAACACCAAATCAATCTATAAACCACATGGGCGACATATACAAGGTCAACACATCAGTCTTAGAAGGTAGAAAGCTCTGAAAAGTTGATTTTGCATGAGATGGGCTCTTTAAGAGACAATTTTCCAAACCATGACAACACAACATTCTATAGACCAATGTTATTTAATACAGATGGGGGACAACTAAAATGAATTTGTTATTATTGATTTATGTTGCAATACAGCGGTGGTGGGTCTAGTATCTCAGAGAAATGATCAGGTGCAACATTGGTGCATATAAGTTTTAGATATTTTATGGCAGCTCCTGTAAACGTCTGTTCTGTTTCTGTTGGTGCTTTTGTGACTCGTTCTTCTGTTTTCAGGTCGACTACACAGTTCCCACCATCATAGCTGATGATATGAGCTATATGTTGTAAGTGCATTTTTAAAAATTGTATTTACACATTCCAAATATGTGCATTTTTAACATGTGTCTCCTTTTGCACAGCGCCTACTGCACCATGCCCACCATCAGAGTGCACAATATAGGAGTCATGATGCTGTAAGTCTGTTCTTTTGTCAGAACTATTCATCTATTCCATCATCATCTATTCTATTCCATCACTTCTTTCACAAAGTTAGGCCTGTCACAATAACAGTGAAGTTTGATACATTACCGATCAAAAGTTTTAGAACACCCTCATTTTTCCAGTTATTTATCGCAATTCAAGTCGTGCAAGTCCAGTGAAGAGCTTGAAATGGTACAAAGGTAAAAACTGAACAGACAGAGGTTAAAAAAACGACAAAAGTACAAAACACAAGTCCAAGCTCTGCCAAAACTACCTCTGGAAAAAAGAACATGATGGTAAAACTTGAAAACAAGGAGTGTCCAGCAGCACAGTGTCCAGACTAGGGATGGGCATGATTAGTCAATTAATCGATAATTGACCATTAAGAATTTCATCGATTATGTTCATTTTAATCGACAAACCGAATGGAGGTTGCTGTGCGTTATGTAGGGTGACCAAACGTCTGTGTCCCGGGACAAACAGGGGTCCGTACATGTGTCTCTCTGCATCAGAAGGAGTGAGACACAGACACTCAGTCCGCCTGCAACGTGCCGAAGTGCAAATGCGTATTTAACGTCCACGCTTTCCGTTCCAGTCAGGACAAGTGTGAGGTCATGTGCACAGTGTACAAAGCAGCAGATATGTTTCAGTGTCCAGTGGGAAAAAGCTCATCAGGACACCGAAAACATGAAAAAGTTTTACCAGGTGAGAGTCGCGCAATGTCGATGACGAGTCCCCACCTCCCTCCCCCCGTACGGTGTCCTGGTTTTGACAAACACAAATCTGGTCACACTAACCTGTATTCCACTGAGTCGTGCTGCATCAGCGACACAAGAGCTGTTTTTTTTTTCTTCGCTTAGTTTATGCAAATGAGCCATGTGGTTTTAAGTTTTGTTTCTGTGAGAGTTGCGCAAAACTGAATTAAACACATTATAATGTCAAATGGGCTGATGTGCCGCTAGAGTGTTTGTGGTTTATATGTTGTAAAGTTGAATTTATTTATGCAGATTAGTAGTGCAGATAGTAATAATAATGATGATAATTTTTATATAAAAACGTTAATGATTAATCGATAATCGATCGTTAATTCTCCCGACAATCGATTAAGAAAATTTTATTGCATGTCCATCCCTAGTCCAGACCTAAACCCCATCGAGCTGGTTTGGGATGAACTGGACAGAAGATTGAAGCAACAAGTGCCACACATTTATGGAAACTTCTGCTTTCTGAACAATATTTGATTTCTGTTGTAAAAAGAACGAGCCACGAGTGTGTTCAGCTGTTATATTTGACAAAGGTGGACACTTTCATGAATCAAAAGTTTAGAATACATTTTGGTCAACAGTAAACAGAAAAAAAAATTAAAAAGTGTGGTGTTTTAAAACTTTTGACTGGTAGTGTATAAAAGTACAGAGATATACTGTGATGAACTCTAATACTGAAACTACTTTGTGACACAGTGACAAGAATGCACCAAAACTAGGGCTGAGTATTGTTAAGAAGTTGCTGATACGATACAAACCTCGATACATAGGGCACGATACGATACATATCACGATACAGTGCAGTTTCGATTCGATTCGATATATTTCAAATTGATTTGATACGGTTCACTAAAAACAATGGTAAAGTTAATATGAAACACAAACATTTTAATCCTCAAAACAGTGGAAATGTGAAATGTGTTGCATAAATGAGCTTCTTTCCACTAAACAACCAACAAAACTGTAGCGCTGTAACAAAATAATTTTGTAAAATATACCAAAAAATACTCTTGTCGATACATCGATACAGCAGCCCATGATATCGATACTGCATCATCACATTAAATGATACGATACATCAATATTTCAATATTTTTGCACACCCCTAACCAGAACTCTGTCAGAACTGAAGAAGCCACTGAGAGTCCACACCTATTCACTCTTAAAACCTTTATCCAGTTGACAGAACTCAATTTGAATCTGAATTATGAAGCAGTAGAATGTTGTCTGCCCTGTGTCGTGTTTTGACCTTAAGGGACTTGATAACCCCACATATAGCACACTTGTACTTCTCTCACGGTGTAAGTGTCTGAGCTCAGATCTAAAGATAACCTTTCCCAGGCCTGTGTGAAGAGCAAAGTCTCAAGTCCAAAAGTCAAATGTGAAGTCAACTGAATGTGGTCTATTTGTTGCTATACACAGGGCAGCCGTGAGGTCTTGAAAGTCTTTTGTCCTAAATTAAGCCCTTAAAAAGTCTTTAATGATATTGTCCAAGTCTTATTTTTTTCACAAAGGTCTAAAATTTCATTAGCCTATTTTTTTGCTTACTCACTCGGACTGCAGTGCAATGTTAAATGGAGGGAGGGTAAAAAACGTCTAATTTGGAGTATGAGCAAACAATACTTTAGATTTTGGCGTTTCGTCTGCACTGCCCAAGACGCAAAACTCTGGTCAGATCTGCTCACGTCGCGTACGTGATGTATGTGACATACATCACCACCGAGCGTCACCACTGAGCCGCCTGTCATGCATACACAATCAAATTCCACACACTTTTGCGTCGCCATATGCACGCAGATTTCCTCCCGAAAACACTCGTCTAAACGCAGAATAAAAAGTAAAGACACTACGCCACTTTTGTGTCTTCTGTTATGACGTCATATAAACGTAGCCTTAGATTCTAGATATAGTAGCGGTAGTTGGCTGGTCATTATTAGAATTAGACCTGGTGTTTTTCGCCTGCATAATGGGTGCAACGTTGGTCTTAATTTTCACTCTTCAGTTTTAAAAAAGTCTTAAATTTAAGGTAGTCAAACCTGGGGATACCCTGATACAACAATAGACTACACATGAGTAAAAGCGACTTAAAGGAACAATATGTAGTGCACTCTTACTGTTACTGAAGTCACAATTGAAAAGGCCGTGTTTTATGTGAAAGCTCAGAACCTCCAGAATTCCCTCCCTGAGCTGCAAAGGCTGCACTAGCACTGGCTCATGACTGTCTGCAGGTTCTGGGGTTTAGGGAGTGACCATTCAGATCTGAGACAGTTTTAGGTTTAAACCAACTGGATTTCAGCACTGAAACTGACAACGCAAACGAGAGATTCATGTGAGGCTTTGTGAATTGGATAATTGTCCTGAAAACACCAAATTACAACATAAATAATATGACCATCATGTTTTGTGTAATTAAGAATAAATCAACATTATAATTTTCAGTAAATATTTGATTTGAACATGTTGACCTCGTATCTGGGGACACTGATCGGTCATGTGTATGAAATTTAAACTCTTAAATCTTACAGTGTTCCTTTTTAAAACAATTTACTCAAAACAAAATAAATACAATCAAACACTTCCTTTTAAACTTTCTCACATGGTAAGCTATTTTATCCTCTTTAATTACTAATGCCACTCCCAACTTACATAAAAACAGAATGTAAAAAACACCTGACATACTATATATAGTCAATAATAATATCTCCCTCATGCACTCATCCTGTCTGACCTGTTGTTGCAGAGTTACCGTGACGACGTCCTACTTTGGCCACGCCGAGCAGGTTTCCCAGGAGACGTACCAGTACGTGGACTGTGGCGCCAACACCACCACGCTGCACTCCGCACACACTCACGTCTACAAAGAGTGAACACGCCGTGGATCGAGGACTGAGCTGCACTGAAGGGCTCCCCCTGCTGGCATCACTGTGCCCGGCAACACAAGTCACCACAGCAGGGGAGTTTGTGTATGAGTGGTGAGCCTACATTCCTGCGCGGCCTCTAAAAAACAAACTGAACATGAACTACGACGAGGCCTGAGCCATTTCAAAATGTCCAAGCTCAATTTTCGTAATAACATTGCAATTATGATTCAATTTGCAATGTTATTTTTAGAAGCTGAAATTCAGATGATTTCAAATTTGGGAGAAACATCAAATTACAACTTGGAAGACATTGTTTTCTTAAAAAGTGACCTAGGTAAGAGGAATTTTGATCTATAGTAAAGTTTTTGACACTTTAAGGTGCATATGACTGGTTAGCGTACTTTTTCACCTCAACATAATTCTATTTTAATATATAAAATTATAATTTTTAACATTCTGGTTAAATTTATAATTTTACTTCCTGGTTAGACAGCAGATCTGAAATACATACAATTCTTTTGGCACCCATGCTCTAAACAAGGGTCAAAATGTGTCCAAATTACACAACAGTTACAATTATACAAATAAAAATAAATGATGACACCTTTTATTTTGTTAAATGAAGGTTTAAACAGTCAGAGAAAATGCTTTCCTCGTGCGGCAATTGTCCTGCATTTTGGATAGATTCATAATTAGAAAAGCATGAACCTCCCATATGCACTTTAAGATACAAGCCCTTATACAGTGACCACTAAGCATTACTGGACCACTTTTAACAATTAGGGCACGAACTTGGGCTCCCTCTTGATCGTCTCCATGCAGAAATTACGATATTGCTTTGCCTGAAATGTTCCACAGTATGGCATCATCTATATTCTCTATGGAAAGACACATATTTTTACTTTTTTTGAGCTGTTAACCACATTAGAATATTGTTCCTTCATTAAAAACATACCTGAAGCTTAGACTGTATGAAGTAGTGGATTAAGGCTTCGTTCAGACTGCAGGACTTAATGCTCAATTCAGATTTTTTTGTGGAATCCGATTTTTTTGCGAGGTTGTTCACATTTCCAATTAAACATGACTTGTATGTGATCTCCAGTGTGAACTTTAAACGTCCCAAAAGTGTCCCACATGAGCACTGGAGGACACAACGACGTCACACACACTGAGCATGCTCGCTTTTTACAGAAGTCGCGTAAACATGGACGTGAGCATTGAGCACCTGGCGATTTTGAAGTTGTTCTCGTACCGGAGCCAGAACACGTACAGCTTATTTGTTTTAAGGAGGAGATTGAGAAGGACGAGGTTTTTGGCCGTGGCGTTTTGTGGGGCAGTGGCAGCAACGTCTGTAGAAAGGAACGTGTGGGTGCAGCCAAGAGTGGTGGGATTGCAATGTGCTTCGCTGCTTCATTGACACAATCAGACACAGTTTTCATGAGATGAGAAGAACGTTTGTGTACATTCGTGAGCGCCTACTTGTTCCACTCTCGCAGGAGGAAACACGTCTTTGGCGGCCTATTTCAGTGAGCAAAGGCGTCGGTGTTGGTCTGTATTGGCTCACAACAGGTGCTTGTTCACTGTTGTTATGACTTCCAGGTGAGATGAAAGCGACCTGACCGCTCAGACTGAAGTTGCATGTCAAAAGATCAGAATGTATCGGTTTTAGGAGCACATATCCAACTGGCCTTTTGAAAAAATCAGATGTGTCATTCAGACTGTCATTAAATGATCAGATACAGGAGCATAAGAACCAAAAAATGGGATCTGGGTCACTTCAGGCTGCAGTCTGAACGTAGCCTTAGTGAGTGTGATGTTGCACATAGTGTTCAACTCCAGTCAAATGAAGCTCACTGAGGCTGGTTTTACAAACAAAAACAAATTTGTGAGGAAAGAAGGCACCTGATTTGTCTGTTATTAATGTTCACATCCTGATTTATGGACAAAAGAGAGCACAAGAGATAACTTTATTGATCTTAAGGGACATTCAAGTTTTGCATTTACACAGCGCGTCTGTTGCCTTTGTGTCTCCGTCAAAATAGTGAAATTAAAACATCAGGATCATGTAGAGGGTTCATGCTCACTTCATATTTAGAACATAGCAATTAGAAGGCTTCAAGCTGGTTTCAGTAATCCTCTGAGCCTCACAAAACGCTTGAATTTTCCCAGGATTGTGATGTCATAGACGGACATCCTGTGCAGTTTTTAAGTTTGTACATCATTGTAGCATTTGTGCCACCAAATCTTGCTCATTACTGCTCCGTGCTTATATTAACATGTTTCTTTTAAGGCAGTTTAAGTTTTTTCTGTGGCTATTCCCTTTGTTGCCAGTAGAGGGCGAGCTCCACCAGATTAGAGTACAGAAAGCACGGAGGAAACTGAAATCATGTCTGTATTTTTAAGTAGACATTATTTTAAGTTGTAAATCATGAAATTCAAAATGAAAGATTATGTTTAAAGACAATAGCAATTCAAGTAATGCATAATATTTGTTCTTTAATGCCGTACTGCGGAATATTCCAGATTCCAGAAGCAATAACATCTCCATGGAGAAAAGCAAGTGGCAGATTTTTCACTAGAAAGGTTACACAGTGGACCTTTAAGGGTAAACTGGGCAGTAGATATTAATGTTGTGCAATAAGATACATTCAGTTGCTTTTTATTTCAACATTTTTGAAGAATTTAATCAATTTAGTTTTGATTTTTATGTGAAAAAAGGGATTGTCAAATAATGTACTTGTGTGTATGTAGAGATTGTTTTATGTTTTTGTAACTTCTGCTTTTAATTTCAACATTTTGGCTTTTTAAATGTTTTTTGCTTGTGATTCTTGATTCAAATGATCATATTTCAGAGATTTAAAAAATTTCAAGATTTCAAAATTTCAAAATGGCAAAGGAAAGAGCTGAAATTTCAAAACCCTCCCCAAATTTCACATTCTTGTTTGTGTTTTATACTTTTTTGTTGACTATTACCTGCTGGTTGTAATCACTTTTTTTCTCACTAATTGAATTTGTTTGTGTGTTGCAATGCCATGTCTGCGCTCTAGGTGGTGCTGTGGGATAACTGCTCTGACTTTTACCACGTCTTTGGAATGGAACTCAAAATAAGCAATAAGCATCTTTAAAGTTATAAAGATTATGGTGAAATAAACACGTTGTTAAAAAGTTGTTGTAAATGTTTTGTTTCTGCGTATCTCATTTGAACAGAACATGACAAGCCCAAAGAGACCAACAGGCTCCACTTTTATTGGTGAGGTTACATAAACTGGGAAACACAAATATTAGAAAGCAATTTTATGTTTAACTTATAGTTTAGTAGTAAAGAAAGTAAAAGTATGTACGTGTATAAAAGTAATATAAAGGTGCACTACATATCTTGTGTAGTAATGTAGGGCTTGTACTGGATTTCCAACCATGTTTTAGTTTGAACTTTTAGCTCTGTTTACACCTTGACACAGAAACTACTGACTGGGATAGTGTCATCATGTTGTGTTGTTAATGTTGGAGTCGGCTCAATGGCAAGAACAAAACCCAGACAATAAAAAACTATTAAAAAAAAAAAAAAAGCCAGTGCTCAGATTCTCAGAATGAATCATACACAGACAAAGATACAGACCACAGATGTTAAGACATGAAAGCTCCTACCACCCTGAGACTGTATGCGAGAAATAAAGAAGGAGACCAAGGACTAGTGAATGTGAGAACCACTGTCCAGGATAAAACATCTAAGATCCATAAGTACATTAAGGACAAGGCTCTGACAGATGACGTTCTCAGAATGTCTCAGACAGTGGGGTTCAGAGGAAGAGGAGCTGGAGGGAGCATCATGTCAGGACAAGGCTCTACACGGGTGTACCACCGAAACATAACTGAAGTGGCTGAAATCAAGAAATCCTACCAATGTCTTGAGAGGGCTGGTCTGAAGGACAGCACAGAGTCACTGATCCTGGAGCACAAGAGCAGACCCTGAGCACCCGAGCAACAGAGGCCCAGATCTGCCACACCAGACCAGAGCCACGGTGTAGACTGTGCAAAGAGGCTCCTGAGACAGTCCAGCACAGAACTGCAGGTGTAAGATGCTGGCAGGGAAAGAAAAACATGGAGCAACACAACCAAGTGGCATAGGGCAGAGTGTACAAAAACATCTATGCAGAGTATGGGCTGGAGACCCCAGAATCAAGGAGGGAAACACCTCCAAAGGTCGTGGAAAACGACCGAGCCAAGATCCTGTGGGACTTCAGATACAGACTGACAGGATGGTGATCGATCCAGCCAGACATAGTGGTGGTGGAAAAGCAACAGAGCAGAGCCGTGGTGGTGGACATCGCAATACCAAGAGATGGTAATATCAGGAAAAAGGAACATGGGAAACTAGAGAAATACCAGGAGCTTAAGGAAGAACTGGAGAAGGCCTGGAAGGTGAAGGCATCAGAGCACTCAGGGCAGTGATCCCTAAACCGGATTAGATCCCCGGAGAAAACATCAGACATAGCAATACTACGAAAAGCAAAGATACTGCACAGAACTCTAAAGCTCACAGGCCTATTTTTATTTCAAAGCTAAATTGTGACGCTAAACACATTTTCTTTTTTCCAAACCATGCAGTCCTAATAGGGTTATTAGATTATGTTTATTGTTCATCCTTCAACCCTTCTGACCGATTTCCTCATTTTCCCTGTGCAGAGAAACTTGAGAGTCAAAACAGTGTGTTAGTGAGAATATTGGAGCCAAGTTCCATATTAGGAATAGAAATTGATTCATGGGCAAAGCAAAATAAAAGCACCAAAATCATATGAACATTTTAAGACCGAAACCTGAGGAGTCTGACAGCAGCGGTTACAGAGGGAGGGGTGATGTTTATTCAATACAAAGTGAATTGGAGCCGATGGAGTTAAAGCTCACTTCCTATTTGAACACAGTGGTTAAATATGTCCATTTATATATACAGTCCAAACTTTTGACTGGTAATGTATCTATAAAGTTACAACAGTGATGCGTTTTGGCTCCTCCACAGCTGAGAGTGCACAGATGGTGATGGCTTTTGCAGACTCTCGCCGCCAGTGTCCAGGCCGATGGAGCTGAAGATTTACGAGCGGCCTGTCTGTGGTCCCAGAGCTTCCCACAGACACACCGCCCGGGGCCTGCACAAGATTCACTGAGGCGTAGAACATAATATAAAACCATGTAAAAAGACCAAAGGGAAACTGACTACAGGCCAACATTAAAGAGCTCATATGAATCGATGTTCAGATGATCATGTTATAATGTCGTTTCCTCATCACAAACAGACCTGGAGTTTTGTTTCATTCACACAAACCCTGCATGTTTTGTCTGAGTTCTTCTCTCAAGCAGAAAACACACTATTCCACCTTGTGATGTAGTTATACAAGAAGAGCTCCACTGTGTTTTTAAACTCCATACATCTTCACTAGCATCATTTGGATCATTTCAGCCCGAAATTGCCAATCTGTACTGAACTAAAGGTAAGTGTTGTAGTACCCGAGACCGGTCTTGGTCTCGAGACTGGCCTCTACCGTGTTTGGACTCGGTCTTGTCTCGGCCTTGAAGGGGCTTGGACTCGGTTTTGTCTCAAACTCACTCATCCGATGGTCATCGAGTGCAATCATATTTCATCATGTGATCATATGTGGCTGAAGTTTGCAGATAAAAGTGCACAAATGCATCTGGTATTTGTCACGGTGTGCATTTGGTAAATGCACAGGGGCTGGTAAATCCCACTGCAAACCCAGTAAGAGAATGTAACTCCAGACTGTTACTGGAAAATAGGTATAAAAATTCTACCCACTTTCTTCACTTTGTTCATAGTTTCTGTAAAGTGCCAGAGGAAGTTCTCTTAAAGGAGAGGTTCTCAAACTGTGGGTGAGGATCCAAAAAATGAGCACAGAGTGTTTCAGTGCAGTACAGTTTGCTTGGCTTATTTTAACCTTAAATGAACATTAATAAGATAAAAGATTCATAAAACACTGATATATATGTGCCAAAATAACTGTAAAATACAAATAAATGTAGGAAATGACAAAGATGGTCTCGATTTGGTCTCAATGGGCTGCGGCCTTGATTTAGTCTCGGTCTCAACTTTTAAAAGTCTCAGTCTTATCAGAGGTCTTGGTCTTGTCCTGGTCTCAGGACCCTGTGGTCTCGGACTGGTTTTGGTCTTGATTAGTGCCGTCTTGACTACAACACTAAGGCGAGGAGAAAATTCAGTTTGTCGACTGGACAAAAGTTAGTTTGGTTGAAGACGTCAGCTGAAGAAGCAGCTTGGATCAGCTGTGAAACGTCTTCAACCAAACTAACAAACCAACCAGTCAACAAACTGAATTTTCTCCTCGCCGTGGACGACTGAGGGATTCTTCATACAAAACTAAGGGTAAAATGTAGCTGCTAACTTGAAAACTACAGCTTCATGACATCATAAGGTGGAACAGAGCATTCTGCTTTGGAGATGTAGAGAGACTAATAATAAAGAGTTACTCAAACACAAAACAAACAACTCCAGCTCTGTTTTTGAGGAGGTAACAGCTTTATAACATGGCTTAAAGCTCAAAAGAGTCAATTTTGTGTAATTTCAGACCTTTAAAGAAGACCTATTGTGCTTGTGTCTGCTATAGTTATAATCTATCGCACTTGTAGACCATGGAAACAAACAAAGTGGAGACCCTTCTCCAGGCCAAGTAAGAGTCAGGTTTGTGTAGATGCCAGCTCTTCACAGTAAGGTCTTTCTAATTTGCAATAATCACAACCAAAATGATGAAAAAACACGCCTTTATTTTAGTCTATGTTCTGGCTAAGAAGTTACTTACGGTAGCTTTAAAACAGTCATATCCTCACATGCTCTAACATCCGTGATCTGGTTTGAAATGATCTGTAACTGTCTGGAAACAGCGGCGAATGTGATATGTCCATTATCAGACGTCGTAAAAACCAGGTCTAACTGTTGCTCTTGGAGACTTGGAGAGCTTGAGGACCATCTGTGTTTGTAGTTACATGTGATAAATGTAAAGTCTTATTCTCTTCTCAGTTTTCCTTGATGGGTGCAGTGTTCTTCTTTCCAAATCGTTAGAAATGATGAAAACACAGTCTGGTACGGCGCGTTTCGATCCAAGTGCATGTTTGGCTAAGATAAACACAGCCGTTTGTCCGGAGCTCCAAACAAAGACAGTTTATTCCACATTTGGGTCAGATGAGTGAAAATATAAAATAGAGTTATCAAAAATATCGAAAATCAGATCTAATCGATACTGAAGCTGTTTGTTGAAAGTAGATCCTCATTTGTGCAGGTACTGATACTAAAAAAAGTCAGATTCACATGACACAAATGATTAAATGTCTAAAGAAAGTGTGTTTTTTTAATCACTGTGGTATCGGTATCGAGTATCGAGTCTATTCCTTTTAGTATCGAGATCAAGTTTGATATTTTAATAACCTAAAACTCGACACAGTATTGATTTAGGCCTATTAAAAGTGCATTGTGTAACTTTTCAAATGCTTTTCTTCCTCCATGGAGATGTTTGCGTTGTCTGGAATGTTTCACAGTATGGCATTAAACCTTTCTGTTTTCATGGAAACCAATTTGGGCGAAGTTACAGGTCAGATCTGCGGAGAGGCGACCCCGCACACAGTCAGAATGAATGGTTTTCTTGGTGTTTTTGAGCTGTAAAACCACCTGTAATTGAATAAATCTTAGGTGTTTAATCTCCATCGCCATAGAAACAAGAAGGTGACAGATCCTCCACCAGAAAAGTTACACAATGCGCCTTTGAAGGAAACGATATTAGACCTACTCATAGCTTGGAAGTCTTTCTAAAATAGAGAATTGACGTTGTTTTCCTACAGTGACTCATGAAAAGTGAGACAGGATTTGAACGAGACCTAAATATAGAAAAAGGGCCAGTGTAGAACAGGACCAAAACAAGTCTATATCAGGATTAAACTGGGCTCAAACCACCAGGACTAAACTGGGAAGTGTGAACGCATGTACACCAGGGTGACCACATGTCCCTGTTTTGAGCCTGTGTCCCCTGTCCCAGAACATTTATTATACAAAACCAGTGATTTGTCCCAATTTTACACAAAAACATTTCCCAGGTGTCCCTATTTTTAACCAATTTGAGCTAAACCAAGACTATATCAGGGCTATTTCAGGTCTAAACCAGGTCTGATCTAGGCCTAAACTAGGCCTAAACCAGTACTAAACCAGGACTAAACCAGGTCTATTTCAGGTCTAAACCAGGATTAAACTAGGATTAAACCAGGTCTATTTCAGGTCTGAAACAAGCCTAAACTAGGACTAAACCAGGTCTATTTCAGGTCTGAAACAAGCCTAAACTAGGACTAAACCAGGTCTATTTCAAGTCTAAAACTGGTCTAAACTAGGACTAAACTAGTACTAAACCAGGTCTATTTCAGGTCTGAAACAAGCCTAAACTAGGACTAAACTAGGACTAAATCAGGTCTAAAACAGGTCTAAACTAGGATTAAACCAAGACTACATCAGGCCTAAACCAGGACTAAACTAGGACAAAATCAGGTCTATTTCAGGTCTAAAACAAGTCTAAACTAGGTCTAAACTAGGGCTAAAATAGGACTATATCAAATCTAAACCAGATATAAACCAGAGCTCTCAGATTAAACACTGACCCACACTTGAGTTGAGAATGGACAATGCTACATGCTTTTTTCCACAATTTTATTTATACCCACCATCCCAACCCGGGTATGTCCCAGTTTTGAATTTAGAAAATCTGGTCTCTCTGATCTACACATTAGTTTAAAGGAGCATTGTGTTACGGTTGTGGTTCTGTCACCTGCTTGTTTCTATGGTTCTATGGTCATGGCCATACCAGCTTGTCAAAGCCTGACCCATCAGACCTCAGAAGCTCAGCAGGCTGGGTCTGGGTAGTACTTGGATGGGAGACACAGGGAACAGGGGAGCACCAGTGGCAGAAACTCTCGTTGTGTCCTTAGGCAAGACACTTCACCCACATTGCCAAGTATGAAAGTGGTGTGTGCGTGAGTGATGGTGGTGGTCGGAGGGGCTGATGGCGCAGATTGGCAGCCTCGCTTCTGTCAGTCTACCCCAGGGCAGCTATGGCTACAACAGTAGTTTACCACCACTGAGTGTGGAGAGGCTGAATAATGAACTGTAAAGCTCTTTGGGTATATTGAAAGGTGCTGTATAAATACAATCAATCAGTCAATCTATGGTTATGTCATTGCTGTGCCTGGAGTGTTTCACAGTGTGACATTAAACAGCTCAACCTTACATTTACTCAATCACAGATGGTTTTATAGCTCAAAAATACAATACCTAGAAAAACAGACATTTTGACAGAGAATCAAAAATCTGGACACCCCTAGTTTGTGGTGTTTGGTAATAAAATAGTGAAACGAGAGCATAATTAAGAAAAACTGTTCTGCACTTGGCCCATTCATGATTAATCTGCAGAGGTGGGATCAAGTCACTGTTTTGCAAGTCTCAAGTAAGTCTCAAGTCTTTGACCACAAGTCTGAGTCAAGTCCCAGGTCAAATACAGGCAAGTCCAAGTCGAGTCTCGAGTCACCGCCCGCACCTGGAGCTCCAGACCCCCGCAGCACAGGGAGCTACGTACCGGGGGAAAGCAGTGGGACTCAGGTGGCTAAGTCAAGTCCAAGTCGTCTGCTTTGAGGTTCAAGTCATTTCAAGTCTTTAAACCAAAGTACTAAATATAGGTTATACTTTTGCAATTTATATGAATTTTAAACTAAACTGTACTTAAAAAGTAATTGTATATTTATATATGAGCATTTATAAAGTATATAATTATTATATATTGTATTCATTTAGTTAATCTTTCCTTTTTAAATGTCTTAACAAGATCTTACTGTGAAACATATGGTCAGAATAGAAAGAAGTCAAGTCCAAGTCAATTCCCAAGTCAATGGCCTTCAAGTCCAAGTCATGTCCCAAGTCTTAGTCTATTTGATCAAGTCAAGTTCTAAAAATAGTGACTCAAGTGTGATTTGAGTCCAAGTCACGACTTGCAAGTCCCCTCCTTTGCTGACCCGAGTCAGTATAGTCACATTTGTGCTTTGGTCATTTTAAGCATGCAGTTTGGAGCCTGTGTCCTCTGTCCCAGCAGATTTATCCAAAACCAGTGATTTGTCCCAGTTTTACACACGAAATGTCCCCGATGTCCCTATGTTTGACCAATTTGATCCTGCCAACAGTAAAGAGAGGCATAAAGTGTCATTTAGGTAAAATATAGAAAAACTGCATAAAAATGACCAAAACACAATGAAAATGTGACTATACTGACACATGTTAGTCATGGATTTTCTCTGCATAATTAAATAGGAACACCTGTGAAATTTCTTGTATAGAACTTGGACAAATCAGTGGTTTTGTATAAATCTGCTGGGACATGGGACACAGGGCTCAAAAGTGGGACTGTCCTGGGTAAATAGGGACTTCTGGTCATCTTTCCCTCCACAGATCTGACCTGTAACTTGGTCTGGTTTAGTCTCCATGAAGATAGACAGTTTAACACCACACTGTGAAACATTCCAGACGAAGTAATAACATTCCCATGGAGAAAAGCATTTAACGAACCCTCCACCAGAAAAGTTACACAGTGCACCTTTAAAGTGCAGCTGATCCGGCTGCAGTGCGCCGTGTCTGGGCTCGGTCCTCCTCCTGTCCGCGCTGCGCCTGTGGAGCTGTGGAGGCGGAGGTCAGCGGCTGCAGGAGGCTCCACACACCGCGCGCCCTCGCCTCTTCTCCCCGCACACTCAGCCCCTGCGCGCCCCGCCACCGGAGCTCCACACCCCCGCAGCAGCACAGGGAGCCGCGCACCGGGACAAAGCAGCGGGACACGGGTGGCTCTGTACCGCGGACTGGCCCCTGTCTGTGGGACAATGAAGCGTGACGTTTCGGTTCTTCAGCTCCTCGTGTTTTTGTTTGCACATGCCCGAGCAGGTAAGAACACCAACAACAACATGAGCTTACTCACAGACGTGTTTTGTAGCAGCTAACTCATCAAGAAACTGTACTTTTACTTCTACTTGAGTATTTTTATTTGAGTAAAAAGTAAAAGTTGTGCTTACTCTTTCTACAAGTGACAAAAGCTTTATGTTTCTTGCACCTCTCCTTCAAATATGATTTATTTTGTCCTTTGAAAATACCAAACTTTAACTTCTAATTCTAAATCAGATCTTGTGTCTTGACAGTTACTCTTTAAGTTACCTGAGTAGTACTTTTCCCAAATACATTTCTACTCTTATTTTGAGTCATTTCATGGACCACTAAGCCTACTTTGTACTTTTACTTGAGTAATATTATTTTGAAGTAACTACTCAAGTAAGTTACTCTTATTTGAGTACGTTTTTGACTTCTCTACCCAAGTGTTTTTAGGATTATGTATCATTTTTTTAAACTATTATCTTAATTTGAACCATTTTAGGCGACTAGATCACCCAATAACAGTCTGCTTTTTGTGTTGTTGTGGTACAAAGTGAGTTAGTCTCGCACAAGTTAACCAGACGTCCCTATTTACTCGGGACAGTGCCAGTTTTGAGCCCTGTGTCCCATGTCCCAGCGGATTTATCTAAAACCTTTGATTTGTCCAGGTTTTATACAAGAAATCCTCCAGATGTCTCTATTTTTGACCAGTTTGATCCCTGCCAACAGTAAAGAGAGACAAACATTGTCATTTGTTTAGGTAAAATGCAAAAAATCTGCTTAAAAACGACCAAAACACAAAGAAAATGTGACTATACTGACTCACATTTAACTTAATTTTCCTTAATTATGCACTCGTTTCACAGTTTTATTATTATGAACTACCAAAAAAACAAAAACAAGACTCTCTTAGTTTTTTATTTTGAAATTCTGGTCACCCTAGTCTTGTACCATGGGTAAAATTATTTTGTGTGTTTAGGGGACATCCAAGTTAAAGTTTAAGTCCTGTCGTCATTGAAAACAGTGAATTCTATCGTCCTGGTCATGAAAGTCTCAGAACTCTAAAGCGTGTCACAGACTCAAGGCCCCGTGTCGCCTTTAGCCTGGACTGGCCTGTAAATCTCCTGGTCTGGTGTCATCTGTCATGTCTCTGTCTAGTAGAGTCAACACAGGCGGGTCAGAGCGTTTGGGGCCCCTGTGACAGAGTGACAGGGCAGAGGGACGGGGACAGGTGCAGGGACCCTGTCTGACAGCTCAATGAACTCATCAATACTGAGCCTGAACTGGAGAACGTCTTTAGATTACACCGTCATGTATTCACTGTATTTGATTTTGACCGTGTCGCACTAATTCACTACACCCTGTATTCTCCTACAAACCTAATGTCTCTTTTTAAAATGAGCTGTATTTGCTTTAGTCTGTCAGAAATCCAGTCATAGTAAAATAAGTCATTTTTATCTAACTACTACTAACTACTCTATTTAAAATGTGTGTAAGAAATGTCATAGTCTCCATAAAAGTGCAGTAGTGTTTAGAGCTGGGCTCTCCCTGCACACTGTTATTTTTACATAACTGTAATTAGCCTTTGTTCTATCTAAAACTTGAGAAGTTTGATCCTCAGATGTTCCCAAACTCAAATCTAAGGCAAATGAAAGGCAAATTATACAATAGTCACCTTTACCTGAGAGGCTTTATGTTTTGTAATCACTTCTGTTCACCACTTGCCAAATGTTAAAACACACTTAATTGTCCCCGTAGGGAAATGTGTCCTCTGCATTTGATCCATCCTTCAGAGTCACTGAGGACACCTCATCAGGAGCAGTGAGCACCACAGTGCAGAGCTTGGGGACACCTTTTTACATCTTGACCTATTCTTGGTCTAGACTTTAGCTGGAGGATTTGAGCTGTGGTGCATGTTTTGGGTTGATGAGGGAGACCAGAGTGCTCAGAGGAAACCCACCCAGACACAGAAAGGCCCAGGCAATCCAGAGATCAAACCTGTAACCTTCTTGTTGTAAAGCTGATTAAGCTCTGACAGTTTTTCTGCACACATTTTATAAGTGTCTTTGGTATTTCTCATGGAGTGCAGAAGCAGCAGTGGGCAGGTGTTGCTGTACACCTGTCAGCCCAGCTCCACACTCCAGCTGAGGTCCTGACTAAGCCACAAGCAACAAGATCATGGAGATGGGTCTCCTGTGGTGCTCAGTGCTCCTGTAGGTGTCCCAGCGGCACTGATAATGGGTCAAATGACTGATGTCCCCATGGGGACAATAATGATATTTTAACCTATACAATGCTCACATTGTCCCTCTTCTCTCTGTGCTGCTCAGAGCCCCCTCCAGAGTGTGCTCCGGGGGGCCACTCCGTGCTCCAGGAGCCATACCGCAGCGCCACCTTCAGCTCCAGTTGGTTACAGCAGTCCTCTGTGCACGAGCTCATCTGTGACCACTCCCTCACAGCCGGATGGTACCAGTTTCAACTGTTCCACAAACCTGCCAGCATGCCCACACACTGTGTGCAGGTAATGTGTGTAACACACACTGTGTGCAGGTAATGTGTGTAACACACACTGTGTGCAGGTAATGTGTGTAACACACTGTGTGCAGGTAATGTGTGTAACACACACTGTGTGCAGGTAATGTGTGTAACACACACTGTGTGCAGGTAATGTGTGTAACACACACTGTGTGCAGGTAATGTGTGTAACACACACTGTGTGCAGGTAATGTGTATGTGTCATAAACTGTATATGTAAATAGGAAGTGACCATGGGGGTCGTCGTCGGTGTGTCGGCTGCAGTGAGGAGTGAAACTTGTAGGTGGCTCGTCCTCTGCCTGATCTCATGGAAATAGAAAGTTCTAGTACATACTGTGGAAAGTTCTCCAGGGCGATAGAATTGAAGCCTCTGCTGATGCCTCATCAGTATTAAAGTCATTCCCTCTGTTCTCCCTCTACACTGTGTTGTGTGCAGGTGAACCACTGTGGCACCCAGGCTCCGGTGTGGCTGTCTCTGGGTGAGGGAGAGACTCTGCCTGGGCCGGGGGAGGTGAGGCAGCTCTCAGCCTGCGCGGCGTGGCACCTTTACCCCAGCACCAGCACAGACTGCTGCATGTTCCGTCTGCCCGTCACCGTGCGCCACTGTGGGAACTTCTATGTTTACCTGCTGCAGCCAACCCAGGGCTGTATGGCATACTGCGCCCAGGGTGAGTCTGTCACAGGGTCATACCAGACACCAGGGCACTTGTGTGGGCTGGAGTTTAACTATCAGTAGATAATGGGGCAGTATTGAATATTGATACTGGACAAAGCGATATATCAAACTGGTATCAATATCCAGACCATTACTGGAACTGATACATCACACATCCCTAGTATTAAAGGTCCATTATTACAGAAAATAGACTCTTGTGAGCTTTAAGCTATGTTAGAATGTTGTTACCTCTAGTGTCGTAGGGCTGCTCTTCATCATAAGACTGGCCTTGACACCGCTTTTTTGCATTTTCTTGGTCTCGTCTCAGACTCAAGTGCATTTATTATTAGTCTGTTTTTAAAGCTCAAAATGCTCTGTTGCACCTTGTGATGTCAACTGAAATTACCCTAATGATTCTGGTGAACGTGTATGTTTAAATGAGTGGAGCACTTCCTGCATTACCACATTACATCACAAGGTGGAACAGTGTTTCTAGTTTGAGCGAAGAACTCATCATTTTGACTGAGTGAGCTCGCCTCTTCACAGATCTCACATGTAACTTGGCACTGTGGTGTCACCTGCTGTGTCTGTAGAGATAAGTAAGTGGAATGCCACAATGTGGAACATTCCAGACAACATCTCCATGAAAAGAAGCAGGTTTCAGACCCTCCACCAGAAAAGTTACACAGTGCACCTTTAAAGCTCACAAGAGTTAATTTTGCAGACCTTTACAGAGATTATGACAGGACGTGGGCATTGGTGCTGATGCTGTTTGTGCTCCGTGTGTGACAGAGTGGACAGTGGAGAGAGCGCCCTCTTGCAGCAGTGAGGAGCAGGACAGCGGTGGAGCGTGTCAGAGTGAGCCTCTCTTTACCCCTCTGTCTGTCTGTCTGTCTGTCTGTCTGTCTGTCTGTCTGTGTGTCTGTCTGTCTGTCTGTGTGTCTGTGTGTCTGTCTGTGTGTCTGTGTTGGACTGGAGCGTGAGGAGGTCGGGAGTTGCCATGTCGTGAGGAATGCACTGCCAGCCCTTCGCTGCTCCTCTTAATGAGCCCAGCATGTGTCTCCCTGTATCCACCTGACCTGGTCTCCACGGTAACACACAAAAACATGCTCCCAGTGACGATGTTTTACATAACGAGGAAGTTACACTAAACTGACTCTTGTGAGACTTAAAGTACCTGTATTATACTATTTTCTGATCTGTATTATAATGTTCTTTCCTCATCAGAACACACCTGGAGTTGTTTTGTTTCATTTGCCATGTTTACATGAGAGCTTTAATTCTGAATCAAAATCATTTAATTCTGAATAAAAATTTATTTTGCTTTAAAAAGACCATGTAAACACTTAATTCTTAATGAAAATGATTATTCAGAATTAAACTTAATTCAGAAGTAAGTGGGTGGTTAATCTGATTTTAAAGCCCAAATAATTTATACGTCGATCATGTTTATTCTTGTTAAAAATAATGTCGGTGGTTCAGCACATGCTCGTTGGGTCGCTCTTCTGACGATCCAGCTCCACCAGTCCTGGCTTTGGACTTTCCTCCACGTCCCCATTGGATTTGGAGTGGAGTGGGCTGAGGTAGAGCAGCCTCACACTCAGTTTGTCTTCTTCCTCTCTTCCCATCTCCTCCTCAGCTGACAGACGTAAAGCGTGATGAGAGAATTCTCCAGCTGCTGCGCAATTATCATCGAAACGACTACAGAAAAAGTTTGGATCATGTTTGTGTCCGTGGTGTAACGACAAACCAAGATGACAGAAAAGCCGGTAGCAGCTGAAGTGTGTGTTTTCGTCCTGTAGATGTAAATACTAGGGCCTGACCGGTATGGATTTTGTTGCGGCCGATATGATACGGATAAAATGGGAGTTGGAGGTGCTGATAACCAATATAATCGCCGATATATTTAGTGATATAAAAATTCACTGTAAATCTTGAATTGTTTAAAAAACTTAGGTTTGTTTATTTAGGCAACATTTATTGTTATTCTGACTCTTTACATCATTTACAGACAGTAGGTCGGACTAATGGTGTGTTTGAATCTTATTCTAGTAACAAGTAAAGAAAGTAAACTACCGCTATTAGCCTTTAGCGGTAAATGTGTGCGCGCCGCGGTAATTAATTACATGTGTAAATGTTGATCATTCACACCTCTATTCACAGCTCATTTACATATCAATGCAGGTCCAGTAACATACGGCCAATATAGTCACTTTACAGTAGGCCAATAGAAAACAGTCTGTTTATGTGCGGGAGCTACAGCAGCTAATCGCTAACCAATGAGAAATAACAAAAAAACTTCAAAACAGACATTTCCAACATTCAGCACTCACACAGGCTCCTTTCAGATCACAAGTCTGCACTAATAAATGTCCTTTTAATCCAGACCCAACCGATTGTCCGTAAAAAGAATATAATCTCAATGTTTGGATCTGTGTCTGTGGGTGTAAACAAACACACGTGAGTAATGTGACTCTGTGGTGTGTTCAGGGACAGTACGACACACACACAAATGACTCTGCAGATAAATCCTGATGCGGAGCCACATATGGGGATATTTATCTGTCTGTAAATTGGATTAAATGAACATAATGTAGAGAGTCTGAGCTTTATAACGAGGTGTAACATGCTCACGTCAAATATCGGCCCATATCGGCAAAATTTAGGCCGATTGCCGTTATGTTTCTAAGAACCAACCGATATATCGGTCGAGCCCTAGTAAATACGTTTGTGTCTCTGTCCAATCAGAACCCTTCAACACTCCCAGATGCTGAGCAGAATTAAATAAAAGCAGTTTAACAAGTTTTCCATGTAAAGCTCAATTTGGATTTAATATTTCCAAGTGAACTCGAAGGAGAATAATTGAATTCCAAACAATTTAATTCAGAACAATTCATTTGGAATTTAAAAACATCATGTAAACATGACCATTCACACATGTTTAACACACAAACCCTGCAGATTTAGACTGAGTTCTCTACAGAAAACAGTCTGTTCCACCTTGTGATGTCATGTGGTAATACAAAAGTGCTCCACTGTGTTTTTAAACTCCATACACCTTCACAAGAATCAGCTGGATAATTTCATCTTTGGAATTGCCAATCTCTTCTGTACTAAGGGTAAAAAGTAGCTGTTATCTTGAAAACTACCCCTTCATGACATCACAAGGTGGAACAGAGCATTTTGAGCTTTGGATGAATGAAACAAAACAAAACTGTGAGTATGTTTCTGAGGAGGTAACAACAATGCAAAAGAGTACATTTTGTGTAATACAGGACCTTTAAATTAGAAAATGTGACCAAAAAGGGAACTAAAGTCAGAAGATAGTATAAAATGTTCTTCACCAGTAACACACCTGCAGTTTAGTCCCTGTTACGCCTTGGACCGATCGATGGACAGTGTGTGTGATCATGTGACTTGTTCCTTGACAGAGGTGCCCCCTCCTGCCCCGTCCTCGGTGCTGATTGCCCCAGAGTCCAGAGGAAACAGCGTGTATCTGAGGTGCTCCTTCCACAGCGGCTCCAACAGCTCCGTGGGCTTCATGGTGTCCTGGTCCCGTCTCTCCGCTCTGGGCCTGAGGGAAGAGCTCAAACAGGAGACCACCCTCCACACCTCCGCCCTCATCGAGCTCGACGGGTTCAACCTGCGCCTGGGAGACAAGGTAAAACTCTGAGCTCCTAAATGACACAAAACTGACTCTTGTGAGCTTTAAGTCGTGTTAGAATGTTGTTATCTCCTCAAAAACAGACCTGGAGTTGGGTTTTGTTTCATTCACACGTTTGAGTAACTTTTTATTATTAGTCTGTCTACATCTCCAAAGCTCAAAATACTCTGCTCCACCTTGTGATGTCATGAAGCGATAGATTTCCAGATTACACCTTCTTTTAGGAGAACGCTTGCAGGTAAAAACAACAAAATATTTGATCAGAAGTGCCGTTTGTTTAGACAGTGAAAATCCGAAACCATCCTCCAGACTGGAAAAGTTGAATATGCTCCACCGTAGCGTTTCCGTCTACACTGCCCAAGACGCAAAACTCTGGTCAGATCTGCTCACGTCGCGTATGCATTTACGTTACATACATACAGTACACAGGAACAAACATGTTGGATTGGTTTCCATGTGTCGGACCTTCAAGTTGCTCTGGCAGCTCTAATAAACTTACAGGAGGCTCCCAACAAATGTAGAGAATCTGCAGAGATACTGTTAGTGAACAGAGAAGGATCTGCCATCACCTGTGTCAAATTCTGGACGCACCAGTTTGTCGCAGGCGAGTCAGACGGATAACCAGCTTCAAAACAGACACATTTTGGACACTCACCGCTCACACAGGCTCCTCTCAGATCACAAGCCTGCACTAATAACTGTCCTTTTAATCCAGACTCAAACTGATTGTCTGTAAAAAGAATATAATCTCAGTCTAAGCTTTATAACGAGGTATAACATGCCCACGTGAAATATCGGCCCATATTGGCAAGATTTAGGCCGAATGCCGTTATGTTTCCAAGAGCCCATATCGGCCGATAATATCAGCCAACTGATATATCGGTCGGGCCCTAGTAAACAGAATCTGCAGAATCTACAGAGATACTATTAGTGAACAGAGAAGGATCTGCAATCACCTCTGTCAAATTCTGTATGCAGCAGTTGTTCGCAGGCGAGTCAGACAGATATGGACAAGACCTGGAGAACCAGTCAGTGGTGGAACAACTTTGTGGAAGGAGTAGCTGATGAAAATGCTTGGCATGAAAACTTCCGTATGTTCAAAGACGCCCTTGTTGCTTTAAGTACAGGCAGACACAATCCAATTCCACACACTTTTGTGTCACTGTGTGCATGCAGAAAACACTCGTCTCAACGCGGAATAAAAAGTGAAGACGTGGCGCCACTTTTGCGTCTTCTGTTCAGACCGTCATCATATAAACGTAGCCTTAGTTCAGTAGAGAATGGTAGTTTCAGGGCTAAAATCATCCAATCTTGCAGTTATAGGAGCAAATTTGGAGCAGAGTTACATATTAGGAATAGGAATGGATTTACAGAAATAAAAAGCTCAGGATCATGTAGAGGAGGTTAAGGGACGGTCCTAGGCACGGGCAGACAGGATAGTTTAGGTTTGCCACTGAGCGGGTTAATACAAACGTTTTAAGACCAACACGAGGAGCCTGACAGAAGTTACAGAGAGCGAGGCGACAGTGTTTCAGTATAAAGTGAAATGGAGTCACAATCGATGGAGATGAAGCGTGCCCCATGCTCACTTCTGTTTGGTCATGTACTTTAAGTAAATATGAAATCAAAAGAGTAACTGTGTGTGCGTCTGTATCTCCGTCTCTCTCTCTCTCTGTGTGCGTGTGCGTCTGTGTGTGCGTCGGTCTCTGTGTGTGTGTGTGTGTGTGTGTGTGTGTGTGTGTAAACTGTGCTCAGATTTACTGCTCCAGCTCCAGTTTCTTCTTGGACTCTCCAGAGATCCACAGCCCGTCGGTGGAAAGTGCAGAGTTCTTCGCTGGAATCAGAGTATGTTACACTCATCTTTATTTTATGTCTTGTTTATGGATGATAAAAATAGACCCTGTTCAAACCTCACCCGTAACTCTTATATCTTGATTATAACTGTGGATATGAAATACCTGTTCATTTGACTTGAAATTGTGGTGAAATATTAAATATTTTTTATGTAATCATGCAGTTATTTACGGATTTTGTACTGATGTTCATTCATTCAAACTGTTTATTAAAGGTGCATTGTGTAACTTTTCTGGTGATGTATGAGGTAGTGCTTTGCCTGGAATGTTCCAAACAGCTCTACTTTATGTTTATTCAATTACAGGCGGTTTTATAGCTCAAAAATACCTTGAAAAACATAAATTCTGACTGTGAGCAGTGTCGCCTCTCCACAGATCTGACCTGTAACTAGCAGATAGAAAGGTTTAATGCCATACTGTGAAACATTCCAGAAACAGTATCTCCATGGAACAGATCAATGGACAGATCCTCCACCAGAAAAGTTACACGATACACTTTTAAGTCATACATTTATATTATTTTAAAATGTCTTTCTGAAATTAAAAACTATAAAGTGTTTTTAAATGAAGGACCTTGGGAAGACTAGCTGGCCTTTGGGTTCAACTACCGGAAATGTTACACAATGCACCTTTAAGTGCCACATTCTGTTATGTATTGCAGTTCATATTCAGAACATTTTTTGGGGGGATAATTCTGCTTTAAGGTTTGGTTCACTATTAAGGTTTTGCATCTGCATCACAAAAACACGTGATCTGTTGTTTATGCCGCCATGATGCAGGTCAAACTATCCATCTGGACCAACGTGTATTATTTGTGTATGATAAAATAAGAAGGACATGCTGTGCTTTTTTCACTTTCGCCGGCACGGAATTCCACCCACCCCGATCCTCACTTTCGCCAACATAGAATCTAACCCTCAATTTTCACCGCCCGAGGTCATTACGGTTTTGATTTTGACCCCTATTCTTCTTACCCTTAGCCAGGCTGGCGCCACCTAGTGCCTCCACTCAATTTCATTTCTCTCTAGCAACTAGGTCAGGAATTAAAATGCACTAGACAATTTGCAAAAAAACCCCAAAAGTGCAAGTTCGGGCACCAGCCAATCAGTGAAGAGCCATACATTCAGTGTTGTCAACTAATCCCGACATCGAAGATTTAAAGCCAGAACAAAGAGAATGTTTGGTGAATTTCATCAAGGGGAAAGACGTTATTGTCCTTCTTCCTATGGGATTTGGGAAAAGCTTAATATACCAGTTAGTCCCGTTAGCAGTGCATTACACACTTCACAACCAAATAGCAGTGATTGATTAAATGATAACAAGTACCCGCCTACTATCGAGCGAATGAAACCTAACACTGCGAGGTCAGACAGTTTCTACGAAGTGACACGAAGTGAAACCAGCTGATGAATCAGGCTAACTTCCCCTGGCTGTTATCAGGAGCAGATATGATGTTTGGTGATCAACAAACATCTCACGCATCCAGCTCCAAAATATTTATAAGCCTCTAACCCCTTGTAACTTTTCAGTTCTTACTCGGTGTAGGACGATGTCGAATGAATTAAGTAGTTATAAATATCTGGATATTGGAGGTTGAGCACAGAGTGAGCGTCGGAATTAGGGATCTATTCCACAACCCAGGAGGATGACTTTAGCTTTATATATTTCTAATGACGGCTGATCTAACTAGCTGTCAATTATGGACAGTTTTAAGTTGTTTGCGCTCATTAAAGTCACCGTGATTATATTGTAATAACTGAATAACACCTTGCAGATCAACCCCAACCTTGACCTGCAGTATTGCCGCCAAAACATTAAGTCACACGTAAATCCTTAATATCACACTTAATAATCTGTAATGGCGACATGTTTGTGGATGATAAAACGTCCGGCGCTCTGTCCTGTTGTGTCCGTTGCAGTTGAGAGCCGCTCAGAGCCGTGTGTCTGAGGACGGGAGACTGTACGAGCTGCTAGTGGAGAGCACAGTCCCAGTGCCATGTCTGAAAGAGAAAGACTCATCTCCACACGACTGCACCCTGAGTCTGGACATCAGCACCAGCAGCCAAGGTTTGGTTTTTATTTTTATTTATACAAGGCAAATAACAGCTATGTGTATGGACGATCATTTATTTCATTAGATTTTGAATTTTAAATACCAATGGATTTCTCACTTCTCACTAAAAGAATTGAGGTTTTAATGAAGCTAATTCTGACCAATCAGATCGCTTCACTACACCATTTCTTGTTTTTTAATCAATTAGATCGGATCACTTTGGATAGATTGCTTCTGCCTTGACATCTTGGATCTTTCCTGCAATTACTTTTTTCACTGCAAATTTCATACTCTGAATTTTGACTGTTGAATTTGAGGGCTTGATAATATTTGTGCTGGTTAATTTTTAAAAAGGTCATTTTTAAAATATTGAATTTTAAACACTTTAAAAATGTACACATAATTTCATTAACTGACATCCAGAATAAAAATAATTCAAACATGTTTTTATAAGAGTTAAAATATTCAAAGTGAGAAATTCAGTGGCATTTTAAGTTGAGGATCTGAACAGATCTGGAACAGTTTTGTCTTATTCAATTTTTTGTTTTTGTGGAAATAAATGCAGTTTTCAGTCTCTGGTATCAGCTGATATTGGGTATCGGCAGATGCTTAAAGTTATAGTATCGGAAATGGAATGAGAACTGAAAAAGCTGCTTCCTTAGTTCCTAACGTCATCACAAACATGTCTGAAGAGGTTTTAGATGTCATCCATGCATGTTTGAGTAATCTTGTGATCTCTCCTATGCCCTATTCTGTAACATTTTGTCCAAGACTCCGCCCACAAGCCTGCATCACCCACACTCCCACACGACAGTTCTTCATAAATATACAAAAACATGATACAAAAGAGTGTCTAGTTTGGATACTACCACAGTTTGAGAAAGATGCTCTAAAGTGTGGTGTTGTTGTTTCAGATGAGGAGCAGTTGGGATCAGACGTGTCGCTCTCGTCCTGTGCCGTGGAGCTGGGCGTGGGGCCGTGTGCAGAGGGCGTGTGCAGTCAGGCTCTGCTCCACTTCAGCCCCGTCACAGACTTCATCCTGGACGGAAACCGAACCACCAACATCTCTGTCAAACCCATCGCCACCGACAACTTCCTGTGGAACGGATACACCCCAGAGTCTACTCAGGTGAATGGATTGTGGAGTAAAGCAACAAATAGCATGCTAACATGCACTTCCTCATTGTCAAACAAAAGAAAATGCATTCTTATTAGATGAACAACCCAGAGAGGATGTATTTTGAACTCAGGAACTGCTTATTCAAATATATTGGTACTAGGGCAAGACAAACTGCTCAAATACAAGGAAATAAACTCAGGAAGGCTACATTGCCTTTAAATGTGTTGACTTCTGAATGTTAATCTTTATTTGAGGTGTTCTGGTCATAGCGCACTAGGCTGCCAGAGTCTATAAGCAGGTAAAGTGATACCATGATGTGAACAACCTCTGAGCACTGAGCAGACTCACGTCTTCTGTGGAGAATCTGCAGAGAGGAGACGAATGGAAGCAGACCAAAACAGATGAGTCAAAACGAATCATTTGAACATCAGTGCTATTTTGTTTCTATAGACGCTCAATAGGTGCACGTCACCACCACTTTAAACACAGTTTAGGTTTGCATAAAATAATGATCTGTTTTCGATTTTCACAAAAAAGAAAACACAAAACACTTTGCTAACATTGCTCTGTCACTTTGCCAAATCAATTCTGACACAGAATTAAACCAGGTCTAAACCAGGTCTAAACCAGGTCTAAACCAGGACTAAACCAGGACTAAACCAGGACTAAACCAGGACTAAACCAGTAAACAAGAGACAACATATTTTCCAGCATTTGGGGGATGGGCTGTGGGCTGGATTAGGCCTGCTGGAGATTCTCCTTTTACCGTGTGTTATATGACATAATATATTTATAGACTGCTTCAGCTCAGGTCTGATTAAATGAATCAATATTTGTGTGTGTTCATTTCAGATTACAGTGACAGATGTCCCGTCTGCCTACTGCTATGTCTTCACAGATCCTCACACTGTCACCTTTGATGGAAGGTAACTATTCTCTAAGTACGACTGTATATCATTTCTAACCTCCCTCCTCCACACTCCCTGACGTGCTTTTAATCTCACAAGAGTCAGTTTTGTGTAATGTAGGAAGGACCTTTGAATGATTGGTCTAATCCATCAGATGTACTTAAAGGAATGTTGCTCAAGTTTCTCCTGTTGAATTTCCACATCCTAAAGTTGTTGTGATTCTTCCAGGTCTTATGAAAACTACCAGATTGGCACCTTTGTTCTGTACCGGAGCGTGGCGTGGGCGGTGGAGGTGCACGTGCGTCAGTGGGAGTGTGGCAGTGTGGAGCACGCCGCCTCCTGTGTCTGTGGGTTTGTGCTTCGAGACGGACACGACGTCGTCTCCTTCGACATGTGCGACGGAGAGCTCGGAGAAACCAAACCCCAGCTGTCCGTCAAGAACAAGGGTCTGAACAAGAGCAGCCTGCGCATCACAGAGTCCTACCAGGGACGAAAGATCACTGTGAGTCAAAGACACAACTGGACTATACCAGGACTGGACTTTAGCAGGACTGGACTCTTGGAGATTGTCTTTTTGGCTCTATGCTTCATCTATGACCTTAATATTTTGATTAGTTTATTTGTGCTTTGACAGGAAACTTTTACCAATTCATGTTTGATGTGGATAGGCCCAGTGATTACAGAGATATTAATCTTATACTAAGACTACACATCTGCAATTTATTCTACCATAGACCTGACCTGCCCTTCACCTGCAGCTGCTGTGATGCCACATGAACCCGATCTAATGCCTCTTGTTCTCCCAAACTTGATTTATTATTCTAATTTAATGTTTGTCATAAATTTTCCTGTATAACGGATTTGAAGCTTTTGAAGAAGACTGGCCACAGTTAATCTTGCACAACAGGATAGATTTTCTTGTGAGTTCACAAACTCACAAAAATCCACCTTGACCCCTGCTGGTACGACAGGGCCCAGCCTCTGGAGGACAGACCGATCACAGAGCAGCTTTAAGGAAGCCCAAATGAACCAAAACAAACATGGTGATGCCAACAGACGTACTTCAGCCTCTTTGATCAGAAATAGAGACTTTTAGAGACAGACATTTAGTTTGTAAAAAACATGCAGAAGGTAAGAGCTTTGTGTATTTGTGAACAGGGGAGATGTTTGTGCTTTTCTCTCAACTGGATTTAACTAAAGTTTGATCTTTCCGCTTGTTCCACTGTTGAGACGCTTTGACAGACAGATTCAAATACTAGTATTTCCCCATCTCTTTCACTGAGAAACACTCCAGACTGATAAACTTGTAGAACTTCATTCAGAGGGACACACAGATCAGTCTAGCATTAGCCAGTGAGAAAAAAGGTTCATGTAGAGATATTTGTGTTTTATACTAAATGTGGACTGTGTGCAGATGAGCCTCTCGTCTGGAGCGTTTGTCCGGGCTGATGTGTCCTCATGGGGGATGAGTCTGACGCTGAGGGCCCCTGGAGCCGACAGGGGCCACACCCAGGGCCTCTGTGGGACCTACGATGGACAGACTCATAATGACTTCCACTCAGCAGAGGGCGCTCTGCTGCCAGATGAGCACAGTTTTATCTCAGCCTGGAGGTCAGTCATGGGTAGGGGACGTACGCAGTAAATATGGGAAGGTAGAAAGAGACACGTACGATTCTCTGAGTTTTAATTCCAAATAAGAGAAGTACAGTTTATTTGTTTTAGTTTTTTGTTAGATTTTTAAGTTAAAAAATCTGTAGTTAAAAAAAAAAAAAAAGTATATATGCTAACAAAATGAATTAAAAAAATAAATTTTATATTTTTTAATTCGGTTTTGATGCATTAAAACTACGTAAAATCTATAAATGATATCATATTTAGACCTCAAGATCTGTTTATATAATATATCTGAGGCATTTTTTTCAAATACATGAGAAAAAAATCGGGTATAGAGTCATTTTTCCTCAGTTATTTTGAGAAACATGACTATTACATTTTTTAACTTTGCTTTTCTTTGCTTTACCTCTGCAGACTTCCTCCTGGCAAGAGCCTCTTCGACTCAGTCCCGTCTTCTCCTCCGACCACAACCAGCCCCCGCAAGTTCTGCCACTGCCAAACCACACCTCCTCCAACCCCCCACAGAGCCCAAACCCCTCTGACCTCTGACCCCTGCTCTCACCTGGGCAACGTCCGCCTCTCCTCCCTGATCCCGACTCTGGACGTGACGGCCGAGTACATCTCCTCTGTGGAACTCCTCAAAACCCACCCCCTGCACCCGAACAAAGCCCAGAGCCTGAGCCAGTCCCATTTAGAAGACTTCACTTACTTCTTCCCAGAGGACCACGAACCAGCCCCCCGGCAGCCCGACTCTCCCCCGGCGTGGCCCACTCACTCTGGGTTGAGCGAGGAGCAGGCCAGGGCGCAGTGCCGGGGAACGCTGGTGAATTCCAGTATCGCTCAAGGTTGCGCCAGGCTGCTCCAAAAGTCTACGCTGGATCAGGCTGTGGAGATGTGTGTGTCCGACCTGCAGCTCAAAGATGAAGACTCGTGGTTGAATGGGACGCTCCCCCTGCTGGAGAATGAGTGCGAGCGCAGGCTGGTGGAGCAGAGGAGGAGGGAGGACTATCCTGAGGTCCTGGCAATTCTGAGGTAGTACTTTAAAAATATATCAGAAATATACCACGTTTTAAAAGGTCCTTGTTACAACCCAGCTTGTTGGGATCAGGGAAGTAACAAAAATAAACCAAGATGGAAAAATTTAATAAATTAAGTAATGTTTAATTAACAGGAATGTAAAGGTAAATCAACAAAACAGACTAAAATATACAGAAAATAATTTAACTTAGGCTGCGTTCAGACTGCAGCCTGAAGTGACCCAAATCAGATTTTTTGGGCCCTTTGTGACCTGTATCTGATCTTTTAATGACAGTCTGAGCGACAAAGATTCAATTTTTTCAAATGCGACCCAGGACACTTGGATATGTGCTCCTGAAACAGATACATATCTGATCTTTTGACATGTGACTTCAGTCTGAACAGCCAAAGTGCATTCATTCGACCTACACGTTGTCAACGAGCCACAAACGTCACTATTCTGCACTGAAGTAGGCGAAAATTGTTAATGAACTCCGTGTCACTGAAGTGAAGCACATCACCACTCACGGCTCCGTCTCTGCATCCACACATTCCTTTCAACGGACGTTGCCCCACAAAACACCACGGCCAAAAACCTCGTCCTTCTCAATCTCCTCCTTAAAACAAGTAAGTTGTTCATGTTCTGGCTCCGGTACGAGAGGAACTTTAAAATCTCCAGGTGCTCGATGCTGCGTCCATGTTTGGACAACTTCCGTAAACACAGAGCACGCTCGCTGCGGTTGACGTTGTCGTGTCTCCAGTGCACATGTGGGACACTTTTGAGTCGTTTACTGTTCACACAGGGGATCACATACAAGTCACATTTAATTGGAAATGTGAACGACCTCGCAAAAACATCGGATTTCACAAAAAAAAAATCTGAATTGAGCATTAAGCCCTGCAGTCTGAACGTAGCCTAAGATACAGAACAACAGAATTAACAAACGAGTTTTGTGCCACAAAAGGGGTCACGCAGGCTTACACAAAACGAGTGGTAAAACTAAGGGACACACACAAAACTAAACAAGTTCCCAAAATTAAACCACATAAGCCCACAAACAGAATCGAGTGACCAAATTTAAAAAAGGCACAAAACAGAACTAAACTGCAGACCTAACAAACATACACACACAAACACAAAATGGCAGAGTGGCCACCAAGGCCAGCAGCCTCGAACAGGTGCTGCCAATGTTCTTAAACAGGGGGAGGTGGCTGCAGGTGAGGTGGGCATAGACATGCTCCACTAATCACGAGCCAGGGCTCCCACAGCAGGAATCAGGGAGTGCCAGCAAAATATTTTAAGACACACAAAACAAATTACAACTACCCCATAATAAAAGAGATCTTTGGTTGTGCTAACTGCTGGTATGTCTTGCTCTCTCAGGTGTCCCAGTCTGTGCAGTGGAAATGGGCAGTGCTCAGAGTGGGGCTGCGTGTGCTTCCCTGGCTTTGGCTCGTACGACTGCAGCTCTCTGTCTGGTAAAGTACTTAACATTCCCCATTCTGTGTTTATGGAGTCTATAAAACACATGGAGCTGTAAAAGGTACATGCGCCCACTCACTGTAGGCACTAAGTACACGCGAGAACAGACGTGACGTTAGAATCCACAGCCCGTCAGACTGAGTCGGAGATATCAGGAAACGTTTTAATATTTTGACACTTTTTTCCTTAAAGGTGCACTGCGCCGCTTTTCTGCAGCTGGATGTTTCTGATTTTAAACAGGGCAGCTCTGTGTGATGTCACCAGCTACTGGAATAATGAAAATCTGTCTAAAAATATCAGCAGAGTTTATCGGCCATCAGTTGCTCTGCATTGTATCAGTATCATTGTATCAGTATCGGGAGAAATTTAATTTGTCAACTGTCCATTTGACAAATTAAATTTCTCCTGTGCCATGGATTTTACCTGAACGTCTGAGAGATTCTAAACACATATTGTTTTGAGTATTTACTTTTTCCGTTGGAAATGTAATATGTGAGTAATGTGCAGTGTTGTCATGATACTAACATTTCAAACTTGATTTTAATACTAACGAACAGACTCGATACTCAATACCAATTCTAATACCACGATAATAAAAACACTCTTTATTAGATGGTTGAGATGATTGTTCACGCTTTTATTTCATCTTTTGTTTAGATCTTTGTCGTTTTGATTTTTGTTTAGATTTTTGTCTTTTTACTTTTTTTAACACATCCACATTTAAGCGGCTGCAACTTACAAAACGCAGCTGTAGGGTTTTTAACAGGGACTAACAGGTAAAAATGGTTTTAACTTACAGAGCTCTAAATGATCAGGCACCCCAGTACATCAGTGATTTACGGCTCCCCTACACCTCATGCCACACCCTGTGGTCCTTGATGGTCCCAAAGACCTGCTTTAAAACACGGGGGGGGCATCCTTTCAGGCTGTGGCCACCATATTATGGATTTATAGAAAGCAGCTCAAGACACGGCTGTTTAATTAAGCTTTTGGTTGACTGTGTCTGTATGTCGCTGCAGGTTGTTTATTGCACTCTATTAAGCACTTTGTGATTTTTTTTTTATCTGTGAAAGGTGCTCTATAAATAAAGTCTTATTTACTTGAGTCTTACTTCACTAGCTAGGACCACACCAACAACGACATAGTGCGAGAAGAAGAAGAAGTTTATTGATAATGTATGAAGCGAGGCAGAGATGGCTGGGTTAAGACTCTAGGTGGGGGCTCCGTCTCAATCTTCAGTTGGCCCAGCCAGAACAGGACCCCCCCTTGTAGGAGTCTTATGACTGAAAGACACAATAGGGGATGGGAGGGTGGGGTTGAGTTCGCCGAGACAAACTGGGATGATGGGAAAGGCTGCCACAAATAGGCTTCTGGGAAATTAGAGGCGTGGTCGAAGTGAGTTGTGGTTCGCTGGTGAGATGATACATTTTTCAATCATATTAACTACATTTATTTAGACAGCAGAATGTGATTTTCAACATTAAATTGTTGTTGCTGTGAATGTGACTTTTTTGGTACTGACACCTGCTCAAATATCTAGTTTTTGTATCTTTTAGTATTTGTATTTGTATGTGTTCTTGTGAAGATCAGATCCCGGAGATCAGTGAGCTGGAGAGATCCGGTGTGTGTGACGTGCGACAGGCCGACTGCAGCCGCGTGCGTGTGTTTGGACACGGCTTCAGAGACTCGTATCAGCTCAAGTGTGAGTTTGTCCAAGAAAAGGTACTGTCCCCTGTCCTCTGTCCCGTCACACACTCACTCACTCACTGTGTTTACATGCACACGGGGGTAACACACCAAACGAGCCTCTTTCTAGACACAATCTGGCCAGTAAGAGTTGATTTTGTTAGAATTTTTCAGTTTTTCAGTTAGTCACGTTCACCTTTTTGTTGAAAATCAAACTCTTGAACAGGATCATGAACGCTCGTATTCATCACAAGCTCCTGAAATGTTTTTGTCATTTTTGTGCATTTGTCATCATGGTAACTCCTAAACATTCCACCATAGAGATACACGTAGAAAACGCCTGCCATGATGTCGATGCAAAGTACGTGAGCGAGTGTGACGTCGCCCAGTCAAATGAAGCTCATCGAGGCTGCAGTTACAGAATGTGGCAACGTGGCAACTGTCTATTTTTTTATTATTTTTTAAGCCATTATCTATTATCTGTTTTATTGCACGTTACCTTTTTCCTGTTGTTCTTGAATTGTGAGTTGCAACACTGGAATTTCCCCACTGTGGGACTAATAAAGGCATATTTTATCTTATCTTATCTAAGTGGCGGGTCAGCTACCGTAAAATACCAAATAATAGCCGGGCGTTTATTTGTTTCAATCTCTTAACAGACCAGGCTTTTATTTGAGACCAGGCAGCAATGGGGCAAGTGATTAATTCCGTCCTCACAAAAATCCTGCTCAGCAAAACTGGGAAAATATGGTACTCAAATTCTTTTAGCCCATATAACCATAATTTACAGTTTTTATGGCACACCTCGGAGGTTATACGATGAACTGGAGACTGCTTTGCCTACAGTTCCTGCCTCCTCATCCTCTGCCTTTCTCGCCCCTTTGCCACGACTTTCCTTTTACACCACAGCAGCTACGATGACATCGCTGCTTCCTCCGAATTGCCAAACTGAAGTAATATTACCAAAACTCCTCAAAACTGCTTCCATTTTCTGCTTGCAGTGTTGCTCCATCTTTTCTTTTTTACGTCAGTTTGAAAACCGGGATTTTGCAGCAATGTTATCTGTTCCTCCACGTTTTCAGTGAAGCTGAGCCTGATCGGATGCAGCGCAGAGAATCCAGCCTATCCATTCCAAGTCGCACAGCCTGTTTGGTAAAAGCAGGACTGAACTGAAGTCAAACTGCTCCTATGTCGTCTGTAAACATCAGGCTCTTTGTGGCAGTGTTTCCCAAACTTTTTTTCTGGGGATCCATATTTTAAAAGACACAAACCTTCACGACCCAAGTCAATAGACATTATTCGTAAATCACTTAATAAAGGTAGATTTGATCATTATTAAACATTAATGAGGATATTTTATTGTTGCCTGAGTGATCGTGTCTCTGAACAATTAGTATTACTCCAGTTTAAAACAATGAAAAACAGTCATTGAAGCAGCAATAAAAGGATCCATAAGTCGCCTATTTGGACATTAAATGTACAACTTTTATTTTTCTTTTCAACATTCAATTAAACCAGCAATACTGGAACAAAATAGTCATAAAATAATTATTTCTCATGTGTCAGACCTGTATATCACAGACTCAGTGTTGGGGAGTAACAGATTACATGTACCAGAGTACAAATTATGAGTAACTGTATTCAGTTACAGTTACTGTTTCAATGAGTGGTAATTGGATTACAGTTACTTTGTTGAAATAAATGGTTTACACGGCAGTGTTTTCCTGTTTTCACATTTGGGGCTATATCCTCTTTTTTTTTTTTTTTCCTCCGGAATTCCACTCATTGGCAGAAACTAAACCAGGTCTAAACCAGGTCTAAAACAGTTTTTAACAGGACTAAACCAGGTCTAAACCATGTCTCTACAGTTAATTGAAACCCGGCTATTATTTGGTATTTTACAGTATGTCTGTTTAAATATACAGTCTATGCTCTAGTTTTTATTTCATAGTTTTAAGCCTGTTAAAAGTGCTTAAACCGAATGGAACTAGAGTCTATATAAATTGAGACAACAAGCAGAGTGCATGTAAACACAGCGTCAGTGAGTGTAGCTGTGAGCGGTGAAATGTTTCTGTCATGTCTCTGTCTGTGCCCAGTTTGTCGATGGTGAGTGGGTTTTGGATGAGCCCCGGTTGGTCCTGGCCTCGTTCCTAGATGTGACTGCTCTGGAATGCCAGCTCCCCCTAGAGGACAGACGGCTCCCCGCAGTCTCTCAGCAGCCAACAGCGGCAGAAGCCAACAGAGCCGTGTCCCGCTGGCAGATCCGAGTCAGTGCTGTCTCCAGATAACGTGCCTACCGAACGCACTTACATTCTCTCCACTACACGTCTCTTTCAGATTTAGACTCTCTTTATTTAGACAACAGAATGTGATTTTCAACATTAAATCATAGTACTTTCTTTTATATTCCTATGTGCCCCTACATCTGTGTAATCCCTCAGTAATCCAGGTAGGTTCCACAGTGGTCCATGGGCACACACAGAAATTACACAATAGAGTAGCTCACACTTCACAATATATTATAATAACAAAAAGTAAAAATATAAATGGTAATGATAAGTTCAAAATAAGTAGCAAAAATAGCAAGAGACAGGTGTCCAATAATGCATCATTATATACATGTATATTTTTCACTAAGTCTGTAGACACGCACTGTACAAAATATGTACATTTTTTCCTTTCTTTTACCTGTTCTTACTGGACTGTGTGAAAAATCCCTCAGTCGTCCAGGTAGAATCCATGGCAAAAGGAGAAGTTCAATTTGTCAACTGGATAAAAGTTTATTTGATGAAGACGTTTTGCAGTTCATCCATGCTGCTTCTTCAGTTCTGGTCAAAATGTTGATGGACACTTTATATCTGTTTGCAGAGAAGAGCTAATTACAGTGAAACTACTCTGAAACTAACACACCTACTTGTTTACAGTTTCTGTTTGTTAACTCGGCCTATTGAACTGCACTGAGTGTGGCCTCCTATTAGTAGAATCATTAGGGCTGTAATGGAGCTTCCACACCTCTGGACCTGACCTGACTACACCTGTTGTTCTCTTGTTTGTTTTGATTTAGGTTTGAGGCTGGAGTTGTAAATAGGAGATAGATGGTGTCCAAGTCCCCCTTTGCTGTTTAGAGAAGGATTCTCTTTCTTAAGAAAAATGGCTTCTTTAACTCCCCTCTCAAAGCAATTCTTTTCTCTGGCTCAGATCTGTACCTCACTATCCTGAAAAGTTATAAGGAAAGGAATAAGATCCCACACTCAGTGCAGTTGAATAGGCCTAACTAACAGAAACTGTAAACAAGTGTGTGTGTTAGTTTCAGAGTAGTTTCAGTATAGTTAGCTCCTCCTGCAGGCAGATATAAGGCAGTGTCCACCAGCATCTGACCACAACTGAACAAGCAGCTTAGATGAACTGCAAAACATATTTGACCAAATAAACTTTTGTCCAGATGACAAATTGAATTTCTCCTATTGCCTGTTCTTACTGTAAACACATGGAATTCTTGAACTAATTTAGCAGCTTATATCTCTCAATTAATGTTTCTGGAGTTGTGTTTTGTTTCATTCACACATGTTTAACACACACTTCATGGAAGTTTCACTTCATGGAAACCATCTGATGCATTAGGATGCAAACCATCACAGCATTAGGATTCGTTTGCTCAATGGTAGACGGGTTCTTTTTTTTATTTAATCAATCATTGCCATTTTGTCGTGACACATGTGATGCGCTGGAATGCTCAGTGGTGTCCAAGTAATTGCCGACACAAGAGCAAACAAAACAGAGAGTGAACATGTGTGTCAACGATCATTGTCCTTTCTGCGAGGTGAACTTGCGAATTAAAGATGCACACAGAATGTCTGTCTTTGTCTACATCCATCTCAACACTTTGTTTACTGTTGTGCTGTTCTACAAAAGGGACACAGACAGACGCGACAAGTTTAATGTCTCATGGCTTCACAGCTCACAACTGATTGGCCGGTGCGCAGTCTACAACTTCCAGGGTTCTTGCAAACCGTCTAGTGTATTCTGATTCCTGACCTAGTCGCTGGAGAGAAATGGAATTGAGTGGAGGCATTATATGAATATAAGAATAATGCATGCACAGTAGTTACCTTTTTGTCAGTACAGATTAGACTTTTCTGTGGATCCTTGATTTAAAAACCACATACACACAAGCACATTAAATAACCTATATGTTGTGACAGGTTTCCAATGATGGCTACAGCTACAGTAACGCCAAGATCGTGACGCTGTATGACGGGCGCTGCCACATCTGTAATGCCGGGACGGAACTCCTCTGCACGCTCAGGGTAAGATCCAGGATGGGACTTTTTAGTTTGGGTTCATCACCATTAAACAGCCCTTTCTAGTATTTATTAAATTACAGATAAAAAATACTTAGACAAACAAACTTTCTGACTGTGAGTGGGGTCGCCTCTCCACTAGAGTGACCAGATTTTCAAAATAAAAAACTGGGACATCCCTAGTTTGGGACGGTTGGTAATAATAAAATTGTGAAACGAGTGCGTAATTAAGGAAAAGTGTTCTGCACTCGGCCCATTCATGACTAACATGTGATCCGGTATAGTCACATTATCTTTGTGTTTTGGTTGTTTTTAAGTAGCTTTTCTGTATTTTACCAAAACAAATGACAGTTTCTTTACTGTTGGCTGGATCAAATTGGTCAAAAATAGGGACACTAGGGACATTTCTTGTATAAAACTGGGAAAATCACTGGTTTTGGATAAATCTGCTGGGACAGGGGACAGGGTTCAAAAACTGGGACTGTTCTGGATAAACAGGGACGTCTTTTCACCTTACTCTCTACAGATCTGATCTGTAACTTGGTTTGGTGGGATAGTACTTGTGGTAAATATTTATCATAGTTTTACATCAGTGAAGTTGCAGCTAGTCTCCATGTCCGGAGGTCTGGTCGCCGAGGCCCTCGCCGTCGACTGCTGCCCCGATCCCTTTGCACCGACCCCATATGGCTCCTCCCGCGGGTGGTGGGCCCACGTGAGGACGGCCCCATGTCGCTCCTTCGGGCCGAGCCCGGCCGGGCCCCGTGGGGGAAGGCCCAGCCACCAGGCGCTCGCTGGCGAGCACCCACCCCAGGCCTGGCTCCAGGGTGGGGCCCCGGTGACGCCAATCCGGGCGACGTAACTGGCCACGTAACTGGCCAACTGGTCATGAGCTCTGGGTAGTGACCGAAAGGACGAGATCATGGATACAAGCGCTTGAAATGAGTTTCCTCCGCAGGGTGGCTGTGCACTCCCAGAGATAGGGTGAGGAGCTCAGTCACACAGGAGGAGCTCGGAGTAGAGCCGCTGCTCCTCCACGTCGAGAGGAGCCAGCTGAGGTGGCTCGGGCATCTGTTCCGGATGCCTCCTGGGCGCCTCCCTCGGGAGGTGTTCCGGGCATGTCCCACCGGGAGGAGGCCCCGGGGAAGACCCAGGACACGCTGGAGGGACTATGTCTCTCGGCTGGCCTGGGAACACCTCGGGGTCGCCCCGGAGGAGCTGGAGGACGTGTCTGGGGTGAAGGAAGTCTGGGAGTCCCTGCTTAGGCTGCTGCCCCTGCGACCCGGCCCCGGATAAGTGGAAGAAAATGGATGGATGGAAGCTGCAGTTTATGCGGAAACAACTGAAAAGAAAAGCAGAAAAATACTGATATGTTGTCAATCAAACCTTTTGCTAACACTTGCTGGAGCGACCCCTTCTTATTTGTATGCTATTAAAGTTCATATCTTGATGTACGGACACAATAGCGAAATAAAAACATTAGGATCCTGTAGAGTGGGTTAGTACAAACACTTTAAGACCAACATGATGACGCTCACAGCAGCAGTTACACAGAGAGAGCTGACGATTTTTCAATACAAACTGAATTGGAGTAGAAAGAGTCAATGGAGCCTATGGTCTATGGTTCGATCCTTCTCCACAGTTAGTCCAATGAGGTTCATTTGGTCTTTCTATAATTTATGTTATTAGGTTCTTTTTTCTGACCAAGAGTTTGTTTTCATACCTGACATTTTGGACTTCTACACTAGTGCGCTTTCTCAGAGTGGTGGCAATCGTACAGAAAACTCGTCCACCCAAATATAAAATAGAACCAGAGCATAAATATAATGTCATATACGACACACCCTGCATGTCCTCCAATAAAACACACATCGGGGAAAGAGGGAGGATGTTCAGTCCACGAAAAAAAGAACATAGGACAGAATGTGAGAAAGAAACAGTGAAGGCGAAACACGAGCAAGAAAACACAAAGCAGAACAGGAACAACTCAAATCGGCCTTTCTGACCACTGTAAAAGAGAGAAGCACATTATGGATTGAGACAAAGCAAACATCAGTGGGACAGAGGAAAACAAACACCATCGCTGGATTAAAGAGACAATCGAAGTATGGAAACATGCCCACGGGACGATAACAGAGACTAGGAGGCTTTTTTACTCTCACACACCTGGGATACTGTCCTGAGGAAGTGGGACTGCAGATGGCGCTGTCTTCCTACCAGTGACAGTGGCATCAAAACCTGTTTAAATCAGTTGACCGAACACGTCACGGCAATATCACGTGATCACTCTGAGGAAGAGCACCAGACCAAAGACCAAATTGTCAGGTACGAAAACAAACTCTTATAACAGAACCTTATACTACTCCACAATTGTTTCTTTGTTTTGTTTTTTGTAAACTGTTGTTACTCAGGATAGACTGGACTACACTAGTATTTATCGAAATTGTTTCCAGCCTGCTCACCTAACTCTTTGTCACTCTCTGCTCTTGTTGTTCTCAGGAGAAGACTTGTTTTATCTCCGGTGTGTGTTACGGTGAAGGGGAGATCAGTCCCATCAGCCCCTGTCTCTCCTGCCTCCCTGACTCCTCCCCCCACACCTGGTCCTCTGCACACAGTAGGTTCATCACACATATACGTTCTATATGTATGTATATGGCAGAATGTCCAGCAGTTACCATGGTGACGCGATGCACACGTGAGGAAACACTGCCAAAAAGAGTTTTAAAATTGTCTGAGACTCAAGAAAAAAATACAAAAACAGCACATTTTCAGGAGCCTGTGGTCAGTCCGAGCATTCATGGTTCTGTTTAGGTTTGTTATTTCTTTATGGTCAGATTGTGTTAAAATAAAGCTCAGATTAAACTTGAGTAACAGAGCTTCAGACAGAGCAGTGCTTACAGTTAGTATCACAGCTCCAGGGAAGGCTGCAAAGTATCAAGAATTGTCCAAATCTGACCTTTTCTGACGTCCACAGCTCTGAAATGCTGCAGGTGCCTCTGTTTTTCACTGACACGACAGTTAAGCAATTCTCCATAAATACACAAAAACATGATACAAAACTGTACATGACAACTTGTCAGGTCCACACAGGAAAACTGGTTTGAGTCGTGTTTATTCAGAATGTGAAGAGCCTCTCCAAAAAAGTGCAGTGCCAGACGGATCCGGCTCTTGGGCTCTGTAACCGTTTAAAGAAATTTGAACCTGTCAGCAAGAACAACACACACGAGACAGGATTCTGTGTCTCTGAACGGAAGGAGGGGTTGAATAGAGCTCTGGAGAGATCACTAAATTACTTAAACATGCATGGATGACATCTAAAACCTCTTCAGACATGTTTTTGATGAGGGAACAATGTTATAACATGATAGAACATTTTGCATAATACCCCCTCTTTAGAATGTGCCCTACTTTGAACTGAATCTTGTGTATTTGTTATGAGTGGAGTTTGCATTGTTATTTTTTTCTCCTGATCAGAGAACCAGCCCCCTGTGTTCCAGTCTCTCCCCCCTCTCCTGCGCTCCTTCTCTGGGGACAGTCTTGAGTACCAGCTGCAGGCTCTGGACCCAGAAGGCTCAGCTCTGGTCTTCAGTCTGGTCTCCGGTCCTGACGGCGCCTCTGTGTCCCCCGGAGGTCTGCTCACATGGAGGACCTCGAACAGTGAAGGGGACGCACACACGATAAGAGTCTCTGTGAGCGACCGCTGTGCAGCTCAGAGCACAGCGCAAATACAGGTAAGTGCAAAAAAATTCCAAACAGAAGAGTGACGTGTTGTAAATATATAATCACCCTCAAGCAGGTTCCTAGAGAAATGACTGGGACTAGCAGAGGCAACATAAGAACTAAGTTTTCATTGCTTACATCAGACATGTCAAACTTAGGCCTGAGGGCCAAATTTGGCCAATGATATAATTATATTTGGCCTGCGAGATCATATCAAATATGTATTAGAGCTGCCCGCTGGCTACATATAGACTATAGAGACATTATTTATTTAAAATGTTGTTATTATTTTATATTATGTTTGTTCTAGATTCAATGTTTAAGCAAAATTATTATTAAACATTTATTTTAATAAGAAAAGGTTTAACATTACATATCTCGAAAGAAGAGAAAACATGCAAATGTTGTTGAAATTTTTCAATAAATATTTATTTTGACCCACATTTAGTCACAATTTTTAATTTGGCCCTCTGTGAATTGAGACACCATTGGACTAGTGTATATATAATACAGGAGGCAGCACAGTGCCCTCTAGTGGGACAAAAAGATTCCATGCAGTGCAATGACATTATTGAGTATATTAACATTTATACAAAAACTTATAATAACACATGGATGGCTCTGCCCCTTCTTCATTTGAGTTTGAGAGCCCAGGACTAGAGGGTAACTTTCTCCTTAAATTCTAAATATTCTTACGTGCATGGCGATGTGGGAATACTAAAGACACACAACCCTTTAGCTTTCATTATCACCAGTAATTTCAAAATGAAGAAGCATCAGTCACCAAAATGGAGTTATTTTAAAACCAATGATAGTGATTTGTCAGTTGCTCATCCTAAAAGAATTTAAAATATATATGTTTAGTAATATGTACACTGTACGCACAGAATATAAAATAGTAAAAAAAAAAGTAAATAAATAATGTCTCTATAGTCTGTAGCCGGCGGGTCAGCTCTGATACATATTTGATATGATCTCGTGGGTCATTGAGTTTGACATGTCTGCACTAGTCAGTGTCACAGGATTCAGTCATTTTTAAAGCTTTAACTAGGGGTGAGTCGAGACAGAATTCTCACAAGACGAGACTTGACATGAGATAAGGTCCACGAGATCGAGACAAGGTGAGATTTTGATTGAAATGATAATAAACTGTGGCGTTCAGTTCACAGTTTTGTCCTTTACATTTTTATGTATTTTGTGGATTTTTTGCACTGCCTTTTGGAACTACAGCTTCTCAAAATGTTAAGTCACCTGCATTCAGTCCTTTTTTGTCCAATCCAAATGTAAACATGATGAAAAAAATCTCACGAGTATTTCCTCATCCTCATGGAACCTCATTATTTAATTTCGTGACTAATCTGAAGCCCTGTTTAAGCTGCAGCCTCGTGTGTGTGTGTGTGTGTGTGTTGGCAGGTGTCAGTGCTCCCGTGCTCCTGTCTGAACGGGGGCACCTGCGTCCCCTCCCCCCTCCTCCCCCGGAGCACTGGGGTGTACGTGTGCGCGTGTCCCAGAGGTTTCAGAGGGGGGCGCTGTGACGAGGACATAGACGACTGCAAACCCAACCCCTGCAGATACGGACGCTGCATCGACGCGCCGGGCTCCTTCTCCTGTATCTGCCCCGCGGGGATGACCGGTAACCACACACACATCACCAAACACACACACACACACACAGATTTATGTATTTCTATTTATATATTTGCTCTTTGTTATTGTAATAGAATGTGATGCACGAGCTACTGTGTCCAAATCATTTCCTTGTGGATCAATAAAGTTTGTCTCTTAGCTCTTAACAGTATTGCAATCACAACTGAACCTTTGTCTCTAGAGCCTTAACCTGCAGACAGAGACACATCCAAGTTTGTCTCTTTCTCAGTCTACAGACAGACAGAGTGTTTCCCAATCGCCAAGATCCGCGGCTTCTGAAGCACTTCAGACAGATCCTCATCCTCAGAGCTCCGCCAAGTGTTGTTCCAATCCCCCCAAAGCCCTCGTGTCCTCTGTGCTCCACTCCTCCGTTTGGCTCTTTTACCCCGGATGCACAGTTGCGTCCTTGGCCGTCTCGGAGCTCTGCAAATTGCCCATCATTTTATTTAAGCAGTAAATGCATTTTAAAAACTCATTCTACAATCAAAAAGCAGTAAATGCTTTGCTATTTTAGCCACATTGCTGCAGATCAAACCATTATCAGATCAAATGAATTCAAATCAGGACAAATGCAGCAAAATGTCTTAAAGAAGAGGATTGGGAATACAGCCCTTCAACCGAAAATGTTTCAGCCTGTGTATTTATTTCTTTAGGCTAATTATCAGTCTGAATAACTCGATAAGTTGATTCACTCAGTCTTCATTATTCACATGTTTTAATGCATGTGACACGTAAAAACACCCCAGAACACTTTATATTTGTAGAAGCTTTGATGTTTATTAAAACTCAAAGTTTTGTTCTGTTTGATTTGGTCACGTGATACGATGCAGTTGCTTCCTCTGGAGCCTACTCCACAAGTGTTCCAGGAGCTGTGAGCAGGACACTTGCCTCTGCTTCAGAAGAGCTGACTCTGGAGGAGTGTTACAAAGTGGACTTTGGAGGAAGGATCCTGGGAATCGAGAAACAGTCTATGGCTCATGTGAAGCTCAGAACCTCCAGAATTCCCTCCCTGGCTGTTGTTGCTGGGCTTTAGGTAGTGACCATCAGATCAGAGAGAGAGAGAAATGAGAGACTCGAGAGGCTCATCCTGCTTTCTGATTTGATAATTGTTTTGAGAACCAAAACAGCAAATTACAACATAAATAAATTTGTTTTGTAATTGAGAATAAATCAGCATTACAATTGATTTGATTTGAACATGTTTACCTAATTTCACAGTTTTAAATCTAAATCTAAATCTTATATACAGCTCCTTTAAAGATGCACTATGTAACATTTTATTTGGGAGTTCATCACCTACTTGTTTCTATGGATACGTCATTGCTCTTTTTGGAATGTTCCACAGTATGATACCTTATATTTATTCAGTTACAGGTGGTTTTCTTGCTTAAAATACCAAAAAAATACAGGCGTTCTGACTGTGAGCAGGGTCGCCTCTCCACAGACCTGACCTTTAACCTCACTTGATGTGTTTTCAGGTCACACGTGCAGAGAGGACGTGGACGAGTGTCTGTCTCAGCCCTGTTTTCCTGGAGTGGGCTGTAATAACACACTGGGCTCTTTCACCTGTGGACACTGCCCCCCGGGGTTCAGTGGAGACGGGAGGAACTGCACACGTAAGGAACTCTACTGTCACTCAATACATGAGAAGAAAACATATATAAAACGTGCTTAAAGATAAATTTGAGCATTTTAAATTGGAATATTCATCTGAAACAAGTCCTCTGAATTCCAGTTTGGAAAATTGTGAAGCATAAATGTTATAACAAAGTGTGACTCTTCTGGATTAGGCTCTGCAGATCACACAATCACCACGTTTAGTTTTTTTATTTTTTTCCATTTGTGGCAATTACTACCTGACACTGCTGAATCCTACGTGTATCACTGATCAATAAAATTAAATTGGAGAACAATGTGGGCTTATTGGAGCAATGACGTCTTGAATACAGGAGAATAAAGATTTCTCAAACATGCATCACAACAAAATATAACTTCAGAGGGTAAATGAGAGAGGGAAACAACTAAAACATGGCTTTGTTTTACAGAAAAGGTCTCTATTTTTTTCTGTATGTTCAACATCAGGGGGAGCTCTGTTTCCATCGCGGCCCAAATCCTCCAGGCCTCTGTCTCCCTCTCCCTGCAGCAGGAGGCCCTGTCACCCCGGGGTGCAGTGCTTTGAGAGCGTCCATGTCTCTGCAGGATACGTCTGCGGGCCCTGTCCTCATGGTCTCCACGGAAATGGACGCATCTGCAGAAGGACAAGTGAGTGTGATCGTGAGCACCATCGCACATGTGCCTATGTCATGTCGTATGATTTCAGTTCTTCCCGTTGTGTAGTGTGACAATAATCTTAAAAGACGAGAAAAGATCATGTAGTGGACAATAGGCTTTAGAAATGGAAATATGGGTCAACCGATATATCAAGCTGATATTTGGCTACAGGTCTTAAATCTCCAGCAGACGCCAGTATTTTGTTTGGGTCAACCAGCTGCTTAATAGTCTCTATTCACGCTTGTCACAAACCAGGAAGACATTTGGAAACATGTGATGACAACTTCTGGCGGGCTCTGTTCGCGGTAGTAAATCAACAAAGGTTAGGTTAGGTTGCTTTATTCGTACCCCTAGGTAAATTTGTTTTGCAGATTTGAGAGGCTGGTCCCACATTTCAAAAACACAATTACAAAATAAAGTGTCACAGTGCTCCAGTGCAGAACAGTTTGTTCCATAAAGAATGAATTAAATTCATCCATCACACTTGGCTAAGATCACAATAAATATTAAATATATATATAAAAAAACACACGGACACCATATTAAATTGACAGATAAAGAGATTACAATTTATTAAGTATGATAGCAGCTGGAATGAAGCTCCTTTTAAAACGATTTGTCCTAGATTTTTGGACTACAAGCCTCTGACCAGAAGGAAGCCTATAAAACTGCATTTCAGTTGAACACTTTAGTGCAAAGAGTACAAACGGTGACTACGCAGCTCTCTTATCCAATGTAGACTAAAACAGAATAGTATATGAATTTAGAATCAATTTAAGTTGTATATTTGGGGAAACAATTTCAAAATCTATCCTACATATCATCAAAAGTATGGGTCTTGGACTTGAAAAAGAGAGAGAACTTTAAGCCGGCGGAGCAGCGTGTTCACAAAGAGCAATCAGCAGAGCTCTGTGCTGGTCCTTTCACCTGTGGTCACCTGACGGTCTACATGGATGCACCTCAGGGCCCATCCCGACACTCGGAACTGTAACGAAGCCTGGCACGAGATCTACCGATCTATATGTATGATCTTAATCTATACTGTGGAACATTTTAGACAAAGCAACATAGGAAATCAGAATTTTCTGTGGGTCACTCTTAAAGTTGAATTTAAGTAGAAAAGCACATGTTGTAACAGTGTCAGTGTTTTCCAGACCAGAGAACAGTCCCGGGTGGAGCTGACGGACCTCCCCACGTCATCACACACAACCCGCCGCCTCCCACCAGCTCCAGCCTGCTCCGGAAACAGCCCGACCGAAGAGCCAGGCCAAAGGACAGAACCACAGAGAGGAATCAAACTACAGACCTCTCCCCCGCCGTCCACAGAGGGCAGCCCCGGGGGACGCAGCTGACCCCTGACCCCGGCGCAGGGGAGAGGGGAGGGGCATGTGAGGAGGGGACCTGCTTTCCGGGAGTCCCCTGTGAACCCACTGCTGCTGGGCTTTACAAGTGCAGCTCCTGTCCCCATGGTTACGCAGGAGATGGAGTAACATGTCAAGGTCTGCATCTTTTTTTCTAAAAGTCCATTACAGTTTCCATATTACCGTATTATTTGCACTATAGGGCACTCTGGATTATAAAGCGCACTGTCATTAAATGGTCTATTTTTTTACTTTTTGTACATATAAACCGCACCGGACTATAAGGCGCATTAACCGAAACAAAACAGTTAGATAAGTCAGTCAAACTTTATTTAAAGGTTGTATGGAGGATTTTTTTTTTGTTTTTTGTTTCAAATTGTCAATGAAAGTTTAAAATACCATTACAGAGATGCAGCAGGCTTGTAATTATGATGACCAAAAAAAAAAAAAGAAGGAAAATCTATCAACTGTGGACATAGTGAGGCCAGATAAACATCAGCCAATAGATAATGAGGCTCACTCTTTATCTATTGGCTGTTAGGTTGTCAATCAAACTCCCTAGTGTAACTGACTCGCCGGCACGCGGGGATTACGTGGTTTATGCAGTGGTTCTTAGACCACCAGACTGTCGCTTCCTCGCATTTCGCACAGAGTTGTTGCGATGGCGGACAAGAATCTGTGACCAGTTCTCCACCAAAGAAAGTCGGTTTTTGAGGTCGCTGAAAGAAGAAGAGAAGTGGAAAAGGAGCGACGACAAACTGAGGTGATTCTTGGAGATTCCTTCCAGCGATTGCACGACTGAAGCAGACGAAGGCTCTAAAAACTGATGCATCCTTTGCAAAATTATTTCTAGACAGGTCGCTTCAACAGTAATTCTGAACACGCACTGGCTGTAAACAAGTATGATTTCTAGAGTAAAGAGACGGGAGGAGGTGTTTCTACTGAGGAGCTGTGGAGGAGGAAGGTGGTGTCACGCATGCACAACATTTGGAAAAAAGGACTGTCGCTGTATTTCTCTTCCCTTAAAAAATCCTCTATACAACCTTTAACACGTTTACATTAACTCTCAACTTTGTTCAATTGTAACTCGTAAAAAAAATATATATATACTGTCTGAGACGCTAAATTGTTAGAATATTCACAGTAACTCATAATAGTTCAAACAGTTAGTCATTCTGGCGTCCACACGTCCACATCCCTCTCGTCATTATCCGAGTCAGTGTGGTTACTGTTCCCTGCAGTTCAATGATGATTCTGTTCTTGGTGAAAGTTCGGACCACAGTTGATACTGATCCTTAGTCCAGGCGTCCACGATCCGTTGGCAGATCGTGGCGTAAATCGCTCGGCGCTGTCTCTCTGTCTTGGTGAATGTGTGTTCTCCTTCTCTCATCCACTGCTCCCACACACCTCACACTTTCACTTTATAACAGCCTTGAGTTTAAAGTCGGTGTTGTAAATGTGTCTCTTGACAGGTGCATTTTGATATTAAAATTAATCACAGTATGTATTACTCCTGATGCTCCTGACTACGGGAGCTGTAATTCTGCAAGTGGAGCGGCTTTGTAGTTTACTAAAGTCGTACTAAGACACTCCAATAAATTCATATATAAAGCGCTCTGGATTATAAGGCGCGTAGTCGTTTTTTGATGAAATGAAAGGCTTTTAAGTGCGCCCTGTAGTGCGGAAAATACAGTACACCATTTTCTGATCTGTTCTAATGTAGTTTCCTCATCTCAGACCTGGAGTTGTGTTTTGTTTCATTCACATGTTTAACGCACAAACCCTGAAGATTTATGCTGAGCTCTTCTCTCAAACTGAAAACACTCTATTCCACCTTGTGATGTCATGTGGTAATACACGAAGTGCTCCTCTGTGTTTTTAAATACATTTGGATGATTTCAGTCCTGGAATTGCCAATCTCTATTGAACTAAATGTAAAAAGGTAAATGTTAACTTAAAAACTTCATGACATCACAATTTGGAACAGAGCATTTTGAGCTTCAGAGAAATAGACAAAATATAATAATGAAGCAGAGCACATCTCCAGGTCTGTTAAAGCTCACAAGAGTAAATTTTGCATAATATAAGATCTATAATTTATCTTTGTACTTATTTTATATTTTTAAAAAGTCAGTTGAAAGTGCTGAAGCCATAAAATTAAAGAGGAGGTATTTTAATTCTATGGAGCTATTAACTGCTAAAGCTCAATTTATTTTCATGCTTCAAATTGTCTACACTTAACCCCCTCTGCAGAGCGTCTGCGTTAAGTGATGTGCATCTCTGAAATGTTGTAACTACACATTGAACCCGTGCAAACAGCAGGGAAGTGACACAGACAATAAGGGCTGTGATTGGTCCTCTCTATTTCCGGTACTCCGCTTTCCCGCTTCATTTTGTAAACACGAACGGCATTTTTAAATCCGAGCCTCCTAGAGTTGCGGCGGTGAATTACTTTGCGGCGCATAGACCTCAACGCAGACCCATAAATCAAAACGACGGCGAAACAGTGACGGCGGCAGTGTGTTGACGCAGAACCATAAAACACAACATATTTAGATCACCATGTTACCTTCTGACAACGCTATATTTCCCCCAAAAAAACAACGTATCAACATGTTTTCTAAGTTTCACATGTGTTTTTGATGCTTTGAGTCCCTCCTCCCTTTTCTCTCCATGCTAAGTCACTCCCCCTTCAGAGTGCTATCACATCAGCATGCATCTCGTTAATGAAACTACTGCGCATCACATCAGATTTGTCAAATTGTAGTGTACAGTTGTATATCCTGCTTTTGTATATTCATGAAAAATGGCCTTGGGGAGCACGGGTGACGTAGGCTTGTGGGCTGAGCTTTTGTCAGGACTGTAGTGTTTGGTTTGAATAGAGCCCAGGAGAGATCACTAGATTACTGAAACATGCGTAAAACTTCTACAGGCATGTTTTCGATGAGGGAACAATGTTAGAGCTGGATAAAAATCTCCAAAAAGTCAATTTTGCATAGTACAAGGAACCGTTTGAGGCAGGATATGTTCCAAAAACGTATTTCTACTTCCTCTGAATAACAGCTTTTTGTGTTGTTCAAAGTAATTCAATAAATATTTGTTGTTGTAGCCCAAATAGACCCATGATTGACATGTGTTTCGTGTGTTTCAGCTGTGTGCAAATATCCATGTGGAAGGAACATGGAGTGTTCTCTGCCCAACACCTGCACGTGTAAAGAAGGCTACACCGGCTACAGCTGCCATATTGGTAAAGGCCAGAGTGTGGCGCTGTTCTGCTTAAAGGGTCATAGGATGATATTTTCCTCATCACAAACAGACCTAGAGTTGTGTTTTGTTTCATTCACACATGTTTACTCTGTTTAGACTGAGTTCTTCTCTCAAAAAGAAAACACTCTGTTCCACCTTGTGATGTCATATTGTGATACAGGAGGTGCTCCACTGTCATTTTAAACTCCCTACACTTTCACTTGAATCATTTGTATCATTTCAGCTCTGGAACTGGCCATCTCTCCTGAATTAAAGTTAAAAGGAGCTGTTCACTTTGAAACTACAACTAAATGACATCACAAGGAGCATTTTGAGATTTTTTTTATTTATTTAGTTTGTTTACCTTTATTTAACCAGGAGGTCTCATTGAGATTCAGAATACAAAACAGTCAAATCACAAAATATCACATTATAAAACCATTTGCATCTCTCAAGAAAAACACACACACGTCTCAGTCACCAGATTCTTTACAAGTTTCTTGAACTTATCAAGTGACACCAGAGATTCCCATTTAAAATCTTTCTGTAAATGATTCCAAGAACAATGGAGCTGTAGGAAAAGGCAGATTTTCCAAGCTCATATAGGCACCGAGGGACAGTGAAGAGGAACTGTGAGGAGGAGCCAAGCCAGTAACTACCTGAGCTCACATGAATAATAAAGAGTTACTCAAACATGTGAGAATGAAACAAAAAGCAACTCCAGTCTGTTTCTGAGGAGGTAACAACTTTATAACATGACTTAAAGCTCACAAGAGTCAATTTTGCTTAATATGAGACCTTTGAGTCTAATCATATTTCTTTATTTCATGACGTGTGTCGTCTTCAGCTGTGTGTCGTCCAGACTGTAAGAACCAGGGCCGCTGTGTGAGGCCCAGTGTGTGTGAGTGTCCTCTGGGATACATTGGACCCACCTGTGAAGAGGGTAAATCTGATAATAAAGCTTTGTATATAAACCATATCTATATGAAGTATACTGTATATGTGATGATGTTTTTCTGTGTAGCCCACTGCGACCCCCCCTGTCTGCACGGAGGAATCTGTGCAGCCAGAAACCACTGCACCTGCCCCTACGGCTACGTGGGCCCCAGATGTGAAATCAGTGAGTGGAGAAGTTTAAGTAATAAGAAACAAGCAGCAAGATAAGAACAGTTCTGCTACATTAAAGCACTTTTAAGATTATTATATTTAAGAAAAAAAAAAAGCAGAATTGTCAATATTTTAGGTTGGAAATCGTGACATCACACTAGGGCAGTGGTCTCCAACCTTTTTCCTCCTTTACAAAACAAAATGCCAGAGAGCTGATCATTTTAGCCGCCACAAGAAATTGAGGTGATTACAAGACAAAGGGCAAGCCTTTGAGCACAGTTACATGCCTATGAAACATGAACCATTATCCATTTATTAGTGCACAAAGTTAATAGTAATAGGCATTTAATTAATCAAATGTGTGTTATTTAGCACAGTGGTATCATTCTGAAATCCCTTCGTGAGCTATTTGAAAGTGGGTGGTAACACAGCTAACCCACCTTTGTTTCCAATTGACTTTACATTTAAAAAATGTCCCCCCTCTCTCTGTAACTGCTGCTGTGAGTAAGGGGACCAGATTTTCTAAATCCAAAATACCCCCTGACACCCCTAGTTTGTGGTGGTTGGTTATAATTAAGGGAAATTGCTCTGCACCTGGCCCATTTAAGACATGTGAGTCAGTATAGTCACATTTTCTTTGTGTTTTGGTCATTTTTAAGCAGCTTTTCTGTATTTTACCTAAACAAATGAGAATGTATGCCTCTCTTTACTGTTGTCCCAGTCCCAGTTTTGAGACAGGGCTCAAAACTGGGACTGTCCCGGGTAAATAGGGACGTCTGGTCATCCTAGCTGTGAGACTCATCATTTTGATCTTAAAATGTTCACATTAACCCGCTCTACATGATCCTGGTGTTCAGCTAGCTTGTCCATAAAATAAATTCATCATCCTACTATGGATCCAGGCTCCACTCCTAACTCCAGGCCTTGGTGAGCTTCATTTGACTGGAGCTGAACGCTGTGGGTGACATCACACACCCTTAGTCCACTTCTTTATACAGTCTATGGCCAAAACTCCTCTAATGTACACAGAAATACTTATTTGCCAGAATGATAAGAAAACACCTTTCTTTTGTTGAAATAATGTTCAAAATATGAGTTTTTTTGTGTGTGTGTGTCACTGGTTCAGTTTTTTGTGTGTGCCCTTTTGATTCTATTCCCCATATGTTTTAGAACATAAAGCGTTTTTTTGTTTTTTGGTTTTTTTTTTGCTAATTGCTTCTTGATTGGTGTAAATCTGTAATTTATATTTACAACAGGCATAATCCCACCACATTAATCCAAAACCTGTCCTAAGCACTTTTCTGTAAAGGTAGTAAACATAAACAGTTGTATGTCCATCCTCTTGTCTGTGTGAGCAGTGGTGTGTAGCCGTCACTGTGAGAATGGAGGGGAGTGTGTGTCTCCTGACGTGTGCAGGTGTAAAACGGGCTGGCAGGGACCCACGTGTGCTTCAGGTACAGACTCAACTCATTCTCCGAACACAAACCCCCGTCCCCGCACCTGACACTGTTCTCTTCTGCTCCTGTCAGCTCTGTGTGACCCTCTGTGCGCCAACGGAGGAACGTGCATCAAACCCAACTCCTGCGTGTGCCCCAGCGGCTTCTACGGCGCCCACTGCCACATCGGTCTGTAGTGCACATTCAATACTACACTACATTACAGTATGCTACAATACATTACAAATATTTATAGAACTTACACTGAAAAGTTCAAAAGTTTTCGATCACCCTCATTTTTCCAGTTATTTATTGCTATTCAAGTCGCGCAAAGGTAAGAACTGAACAGACAGAGGTTAAATAAAAAGATAAGATACAAAACACAAGTCCAAGTTCTGCCAAAACTACCTCAGGAAAAAAGAACAAGATGGTAAAGCTTGAAAACCTGGAGTGTCCAGCAGCACAGTGTCCAGACTTAAACCCCATCGAGCTGCTTTGGGATGAACTGCACAGAAGAGTGAAGCAACCTACAAGTGCCACACATTTATGGAACTTCTGCAACAGACTTGGAATCAAATATTGTTCAGAAAGTTCTTCCCTGTTGTAAAAAGAACGAGCCATGAGTGTGTTCAGCTGTTTTATCTGACAAAGGTGGACACTTTCATGAATCAAAAGTTTAGAATACATTTTGATCAACAGTAAACAATAAAAAAAAAAAAACCTGAAAAAGTGTAGTGTTCTAAAATGTTGACCGTTTGTGTATATCTTCGTTGTCTGTCTTTCAGCCTTATGTAACCCTCCGTGTAAAAATGGAGGCCAGTGCATCAGGAACAACATGTGCTCGTGTCCAGAGGGCTACACAGGGAGGAGGTGTCAGAGGAGTAAGTGAGCGACACTGGACTGTGACTCTTACGTGTGATGATCAGGATGTCTATCAATACTCGTGTTGATTCAGGTCACAATATAATCTTAAAGAAACGGTATGTTCCTTAAACATGTGTCTCCAGATATGAGTTAACATTTACTCTACATGTCAAAGCTTTTACTGAGGACAAAAACATTGGATATGATGTCCCATTTATTGATAGTATTTATGTAATAAGGCAGTTATCCAATCAGAAAGCAGAATGAGCCTCACATGCGTCTGTCGTTTTAAGTTGCCAGTTTCACTGCTGAAGTCCAGTTGGCTGCTCTGTGATTGGTCCACCAGCTGCTATGTCAATTTTGAAAAATACAGCAGGAGAATCTCAAGATGGATTTTTGCAAATTGGTGAACGCACAAATATTATGCAAGGCTCATGAGTCATGGCCTAAGAAAAACTGTGTGTGTGTTCCTCTATCTGCAGGATAAGTCACTGACAGCACACGTCCAGTTGTAATTTTGGTAGTTTTTAAAACAGTAAGAGTACAGACCATATAAAGTTCTATTTTAGAAGCAAAATGAAGTAATTTTCATTGAATCTAGACTCTAAAAAGTACAATTAGAATGCCTTTTATCTGTCTGCTTAAGGCTTATTTTCTCTGATTTCATAAAGTTGGTCTCATGTTATCAGTAGGACATCATGTAGGACATTGGAAACACTGAACATTAAAACTGATATGGTGGTTTGTTTGTTTGTTTGTTTTGTGTTTAGGTGTGTGTGAGCCCATGTGCATGAACAGGGCCAAGTGTGTGGGGCCCAACACCTGCTCATGTGCGTCAGGCTGGAGCGGAGACAGGTGCAGCAAACGTGAGTCACTGAAAAACCTTATTGTACACTGCTCAAAAAAATGTAAGGAACACTTTGAAAACACATCAGATCTCAATGTGAAAAAACTGTTGTATATGTATACAAATCTGGACAGGGCAATGTCTTAGGAACAAAAGGATGCTCCTGTTTTAAAGGAAATGAACAGCAGGGGCACTAGAGCAGCAGCAATGAGAGACAAACCCCCAAAACAGGATTGGTTTTACATGTGGAGCTCATTTCAAGTTTCTCCCTCTTGGTGTTTTTTGACTGGTTTCCACACGTGCTGCTTTAGTTAGACTGATCATCACTACTGGGAGTATGAGGCCGTTCCTTAAACCTACAGAAGCAGATTGTCCATCTTCTCCAGGATGGTACATCTGGACGTGCTTTTGCAAAGAGATTTAATGTGTCTCCCTGCACAATGTCCAGAACATGAAGATTTCAGGAGACAGGCAGTTCCTCTAGGAGAGCTGGACAGGGCCAAAGAAGGTCCTCGACCCATCAGCAGGACCCATATCTGCTCCTTTATGCAGGAGGAAAGGCTGAGCACTACACAACCCTGCCCTACAGAATGACCTCCAGCAGGACACTGGTGTGAATGTCTCTGCCCAGACAATCACAAACAGTCTTCATGAGGGTGACTTGAGGGCGTCACATGCTGTAATGCCCCTGTGCTCCATTGGCATTTGCTAGATGACACTGAAACTGTCAAGTCTACCACTGGTGCCCTGTGCTTTTCACAAATTCACCCTAATCACCTGTGACAGACGTGAAAGAGTCTGGAGAAGATAAGGAGAAAGTGGACTAATGTGCCACATCATTATTTCACTTTGATTTTCAGGATGTCTATTAAATGAAGCCCTCTGTAAACTGAACACTCTATTTCATGTACTTTCATTATTCCATTAAAAGATGTGGCATTCTTTTGTTCCTAAGACATTGCCACGTCGATATTTGTATAGATATCCAACATCATGTATCTTTTCACTTTGAGATCTGATGTGTTTTCAAAGTGTTCGAGCAGTGTATTATAGTCATTAAGTTCTGCTAAGAGAGGAAATGCCATCTCTAACACCCACTGACACATGTGAGGTTTTATTTCTAGTATTTAGTCATGAACTGTCACATTTGTAGATCATGTAGTTTACCTCCTCAAAATGAGACCTGGAGTTGTGTTTTGTTTCATTCACACATGTTTTAGTAATCCTGGCTTATTAGTCTGTACATCTCAAAGCTCAAAATGCTCTTTTCAACCTTATGATGTCATGTAGTGGTAGTTTTCAATAGCTAACCTTTTACATTTAGTTTACCTTTAGTTAGAGTTCGCAATTCCAGGGCTGAAATAGAACAGAGTGTTTTCTGTTTGAGAGAAGAACTTAGTTTAAATATACAGGGTTTGTGTGTTAAACATGTGTGAACGCAACAAAACACAACTCCAGGTCTGTTTGTGATGAAGAAACAACATAACAGATCAGAAAATCGCGTCATATGGGCCCTTTAAGATAAACATCTCAAATCCCTGATACTATATGTTTCCTTTCTCTGTGCAGAAGATTACAGTGATAAAGCAGATTGGTTTGGAGAGTTTAGTTTGTTTCCATGTTGCAGATCAGCTGTTGTTTGTGCTCCTCAGCCGTGTGTCTGCAGAGGTGTAAGAACGGAGGGGAGTGCATCGGACCCAACACCTGTCAGTGTCCGGCCGGGTGGGAGGGGCTCCAGTGTCAGAGCCGTGAGTAGCTGCACTTTTACACTACGACAACACTTTTGGCAGAACATAAAACAACACACCAATCAACTATTTACAGTTTTGACACTTTTATCTGTTGAAAGTTTTGGGAGGAGCTGCACTGCAGAAGTCTGACAAACTGTGTGTTTTTGCGTTTGCTTTCTCAGCTGTGTGTAAACAGGCCTGTCTGAACGGGGGGAGGTGTGTGCTGCCTGATTACTGCCACTGTCGCAAAGGATTCAAAGGACTCACGTGTGCAATAAAGGCAAGAGACACAAGACACACACTACAGCTGGCAACTTTGAGTGCAGTTCTCTTTAGGTTTCACCAGGAAATAAGAAAGAATAAGTATGAGTAACTAATCACTTGCTTTCATGTGTAAAATGCATTGGCAAAGTGTGTCATTTATTTATTTAAATTAAGGACGATGCACAGAAAACATTAATCTCAGAGAAAATAGATGCTCTGTGCCAGATTTAGCTACAAGCTCCTTTCCATCTGCAGTCCTTGAGCAGATACAAAATACATAAAAAAAACTATTTACACTAGACCAGGGGTCACCAAGCCTTTTTGTAACTGAGAGCTACTTCATGGGTACTGAGTCATATGAAGGACTCCAGTTTGAAACACTTTTCTCAAATAACACATGTGCTCAGTTTGACTTTACTTAAATATTATTAATAATGATTCATGATAATCATCTGTGTGAAGACACTGATCATTCATTACCTCCGCCAAGGAGGTTATGTTTTTGCCGGCGTTTGTCTGTTTGTTTGTTTGTTTGTTCTGTTTGTTTGTTTTGTCTGTTAGCAACATAACTCAAAAAGTTATGGACCAATTTTGATGAAATTTTCAGGATTTGTTGGAAATGTGAAAAGGAAGAACTGATTTCATTTTGGGGGTGATCCGGAAGAAATTCTGGATCACTTTGAAATTTTAGTTAACATTGTGGTAAATGGGGCCAAAAATTTTGTTTCTCAATATCTCGGTTAATTATTGACCAAACCCCATGAAATTTGACTCAGGGATGGACAATCGGATCCTCTTTCATATTCCAAATTGAAAGATACAAGACAAATATTTATGGAAAACACAATGAGGGGGACTGTAGTCCTTGGCGGAGGTCTGCGCTCTCTGAGTGCTTTTCTAGTTGTTCATGATTTCTCACAATAATCATCAACAGTGACAGCGAGGTGGGAAACAGAGATCAATATTCAGCATTTTCACTTTATTCATCTCAGTAATTGTTACATTTTTAAGTACAGTTTTAGCAGTTATCATCATTGCTTCTGTGAGTGTGTTTACAGGCACATCCTGGTTATAAATGCACTGTCCCAGTTTGTTGACATAATCTTACAAATGCTCAAAGGCAGAAAATATAGATTTAATAAACCAGGAAAAATACAAACAACCATGAGCTCCTTTAACAGGTTCCTCACCAGTGGACACTGCACAGATCCACATTTCCAAACACTATTGTACAAGTTCTACTGCAGCAGATTCTTCATTAAAATCTTCTGCAAAGAGGCAGATCAGTTAACACAATAATCAAAACTAGGATCAAACAATTCAATCAATTATATTGAATAAACTAGTAAAATTGAATAAAAATAAATAAGTCAAGCTAAAACCAACTAAAGGAAACCAGTAAAAATGTGTGCGAGCCTTATCTTCTCAGGCAGGTCGTTCCAAAGGCTCCCAGACTGAAAAGGCTCTATCTGCCTTCGTCCAGAGCCTGGACTTTGGAACAGCCACAAGGACCTGCCTGAGGATCTACTCATACGGGGTTAAAAGTTCTGAAATGTAACGTGGTGCAAGAAATAAACAAGCTTTAAAGTGATCAGTAAAATCTTCAAATCCATTCTAAAACACACAGGCACACAGTGAAGGGAAGATGAACAGAGGTAATTTGTTAGTGTCTGTTAAACCCAGTGAGGAGCCGAGCTGGAGGCAGGAGATGGATTTGATGTCGAGGCCAAAAAGGAGAGAGTTACAACAGTCTAGACGGGAGAAGATGAGCGCGTGGAGGACTATTTCCAGATCAGGGCGAGAGAGGATATGTTTGATTTTGCTTATTGTGCAGAGGTGGAGAAGACAGGATTGGGTGACTTTTTTTGAAGGTTCAAGTTGAGGCAAGAGTATGTACTAACTCTATGTCCCACTGCTTCTGTGTGCAGGCCTCGCAAACATGAAGAGAGACGGATCTGCGGAGTGAAGAACGAATGAAGAACAAAGGGTTACTGAGTGCGTGGGTGGGTTTTTATCGCATTGTGGAGACTCAAATCTTGGGGACCTGCCTCCCTTTTATGGACAAAAATCAGATCCTCATGATATAAATCCTTTCTCGTTAGATCAACAACGCGGTTTAAAGTTCAGATGTGGGTTAAAACAGCTTAAACTTGGGTTGAACCTTTAGCCCCGCCCACTAAGTTCTTTCTACATCTGTGACATTGCCTATAGATAATATTTTACAGCTTGAATGTTTTCCTAGTTGCACCTTTTCCCAAACAGTGCATGAGTAAAGAGCGTTTATCTTGACAAGAATCATTTCAAATCAGGTACAGACTCTTTAACTTTGGTTAAAGAGGGGGTGTTACACAAAAACTTTCTACCATGTTTTAGCGCTGTTCCCTCGTCAAAAACACGTCTGAAGGGGTTTTAGATGTCATCCGTGTATGTTTGAGTAATCTAGCGATCTCTCTGGCCCTTTTCAAACCCAATACATTCTGCCCACAAGCCTCCGTGTTCCTATAGATATTTAAACGAATGATACAAAACAATACACAACAACTTTACAAAACATTTATTAGCAAAATACACACAGACTGTGTTGTGATAAGCGCTCTGAAGTAAGAGTGACTTAGCACAGAGAGCGTCAAAAGCAAAACCGAAGCTTATAAAACATGCAAAACGATAAAAGGTAACACGGTGATCGAAATATGTTACGTGTTACCGCAGAGGTATTGCAGGGAGGTCGAGAAATCTTTAGTCGATGAGACGTTTTTGTTTTTTTTTGTAGGATGAGAATGAAGTGGTTTTCAGTGGGTTCTGGCTGTTCGCTCCTTCATCTGTCTCTCTCTCTTCATTCCCTCGTCTCTCACTCTCTGTCAAACTGCAGACACGTCAGCATGGACTTGATCATTTCTTGTTAGATACATGTGAAAAGGTCCAGTACAGTTTCACTTTTATGCACAGTGGAACTTAAGCTCCACATGTACTACCACACATCGGGAAGGAGTCAGGCGCATTAACCAGGCCTCCTCTCTACCCGTGGAGCAACCAGGAGCGAGAGGGAGAACAGCCCTTAGATCAGAATGACCGGAAATGTTCAGTGTCTCATATCAAACTCTTGTCTGTGCGCGCTGTGGCTCATCTCTCGTTTAATCAAGTCACACTTTGAGCCCATTTTCCGTGATGTCGTTGCTCTGTTGCTCTTTTCTTCTCAGAGTCACCGCGAGCACAAAGCACAGATTAAACTTCAGGCCTGAATTAGCTTTGGTCAGACTCAGGTTTATTTCTGTCATGGAAGTTGAGGCTTAAACTGGAGATAGAGCAAGTTTCAGCTCAGGATTTCAGTATAAGCCTCAAATAAATCAAATAAAGTTTGATTTTTATTTGGACTTGTTAAGCAACTTTGATGGAAACCCCCCTAGTATTGAATGTACAATAACAGAGTAGCTGTTTATACAGCCCCATACTAGGCCCAATTTAATATAAAACACAATTGTATGCCATATATTTAGTAGGGGTCCCTGCTCCAGCTCTCCATCAGTTTGGGGGTCCCTGGCCTGAAAAATATTGAATACCCACTGGAAAAAAAACAATATCTAGTTAAGTTAAAATTAGTTAAATTAGGAACATTTGACTTTATTTGAGTCGATTCAATTTGACAAGTAAAATGATCGACCAGTGGAATATGTGGTTTTTTCTTAATTCAAGTAAAGTTCGATTTAGTTTCTTATTTTAAGTGCAAAAAGTTGTTGTTTTTGTTATTTTAAGAGTAGCAAGTACCTGTTGCCTCCTGGGCCAGTACTCCCACCTCAGGAGGTGTTCCAGGCATGTCCCACTGGAAGGAGGCCCCAGAGAAGACCCAGGACACACTGGAGGGACTATGTCTCTGGGCTGGCTTGGGAACACCTCGGGGTGCCTCTGGAGGAGCTGGAGGAAGTGTCTGAGGTGAAGGAAGTCTGCCCCCGTGATCCGGCCCCAGATAAGCGGAAGAAAATGGATGGACGGATGGATGGAAGTGTTGCAAGATGTATTTTCATATTTTAAGTCCAAAAAGTCTTAATCCACTGGCAGATCATTTTACTTGTCAAGTGAAATTTACTCGAATCATGATCAAACTTTCCTAATTCAAGTCATCTTAACTTGACTAGATTTATTTTTTTGCAGTGCAACTGCGTTACCACTTAATACCCCGTAGTCAGTGTTGGGGAGTAACAGATTACATGTACCTGGAGTTACGTAATCAGAGTACAAATTATGAGTAACTGTATTCAGTTACAGTTACTGTTTCAGTGAGTGGTAATTGGATTACAGTTACTTGGTTAAAATAAATGGATTACACGGCGGTATTTTCCTGTTTTCACATTTTGGGCTATTCCCTTTTTTTCTTTTTTTTTTCAGTAATTCCACTTCTTGCCGGACACTTAACCAGGTCTAAAACCAGGTCTAAACCAGGTCTAATCCAGGACTAAAGCAGGACTAAGGCAGGACTAAACCAGGACTAAAACCAGGTCTAAACCAGGACTAAACCAAGAATAAACCAAGAATAAACCAGGTCTAAAACAGGATTTAACAGGACTAAACGATGCAGACTGTGTCTCCTTTTCTTCTATCAATAATATTTTTAATATGTTTAAGTAAAGTCTGGGCTTTTTATTTTCTTTTATCAGACAAAACATCTTGTGTGAAGATTTCCTCGTCTTTGCTTCTCTACAGCAAATCCAGTAATCCAAAGTATTCAGATTACGTTACTCACTTTAAGTAATTTAATGGATTACGTTACAAACTACATTTTGGTGTATGTAATCTGTAATCTGTAGGGGAATACATTTTAAAAGTAACACTCCCATCACTGCCCGTAGAAGTGTAACCCCCCTCTTTAACGTTAGGATCAGGCTCCAGGAGATAAATTCAAATTAATGCCATGTCCCAAATGTATGGAAACCCAAAGTGTGTGTGTACGTGTGTGTACGTGTGTGTGTGTGTGTCTCTGATCTATTGCACTTGTCTATTCCCTGTATATTGTTACTACCTCATGACTCCACACATGGTAAGTGCGTTAGTGCGTTAGAACGTGGACAGACTGAAATGTACCAGAGAAAAAAAAACAGGACAAATGGATCTGTGAGGATTCAGGATCAAGAGTTCCGTATATAAACTGTCTACAAATCTGAAGTGGTGGTTTTCAGGTTCTAGAATGTGATGATGTCTGATTCCCAGATACGATGAAGGGGAAGAGACGGTTTTCCCAGTGGATTACGTTGTACTTTGCGGTGAAATTTCCAAAAAGTAAAATCACAAATGTTGAATCGGATCATTTTTATTAGCGACTAGACTCTAGATTTTGGACTCTCACTCTGGACTCTATTCACGCTTACATCACAAAACCAGAAGACGTTTGGAAACATGCGGATGACGACTTCCTTTGAACTCTGTTGTCGTTAGTATCTAAGACAAAATCTGAGAAATCTGAGAAAATGGCCTGGTTTTCTTCATCTAGATGTCATTGTATTCTTTCTTTTTCCTTTAATACACTGCCTATTTATTTGTGTATTATAATTTATCTAACTTATAGGGATGGTTCAAGATCTTGTGAGACAAAATTGCCACAAGATCGTGCACACAGAAGAAAAAATATCTCGTGAGATTTTTCCAAGTGTTCACATTTGGATTGGACTAAAAAGGATCACATATTAGTGACTTACATTTTTTTTTAACGGTTCAAAAAAGCAGAACTAGAATGGAAACAAAAAATATGAAATCCAAATTGATTTGATTGAAAACCAAAACTGGAAACTGAATCATGAAATGTATATATTAGAAAGTATGTTAAAATCTCATTTTGTCTCGTTCTCGTGGACCCAAACTCGTACCACGATTCGTCTCGTGGAAATTGTGTCTCGTCCCATTCGTACTTAACCATTATGTTCAGCAGATCAACAGTTCCATCCAGCTGCCTGTAAGTGACACTGAAGCTGCAGTTAGAGTCCCATCCCTCATGGAAAACATGGCAGGTTGTGAAGACGCTGCTGTTAAATCCATGCAGGGTTCCTGCAGGGTGATGGAAATCCTGGAAAAGTCATGGAAACTGAAAATGTCATTCCGAAGGCCTGTAATAGTCATGAAATTTTGTAAATTCAGTGAAAGTTTTGGAAAAGTCATGGAATTTTAATCTCTCTTTCACACAACTACAGTGTTCTGTTAAGTTCTCATGAGACTATTCTGATTATTTCTGAACGTCTGCGCTTTTTGTTTAAAAGAGACGATAATTACTGCACTGACAGGATTTTGAATGTTAAAAAACTATAATCTCAAACCATGAGGAGAGTGGAAAGGTTAACATCTCATATTTAGCTCTACACATGTAAAGTCATGGAAAATTCACTTTAGGTCATGAAAAAGTCACTAAAAAGTTTTGAAATTTTGTCAGTGAAAAGAGTGGGAACACTGTCCATGGTTTTATCACATGCTCAGTGTTGGTAACTTCACCAAAAGTCGCCATCTGCATGTTTCCAAACATCTTCCGGTAAGCGTGACTAGAGCCTATTACAACAAAAAACCTGCATTAGAACTATTTATCTAGCTGCCCTCCATCTGCCTGCACTCACCTGCACCCTAACACACCGTAACCGTTAAAGGTGCATTGTGTAACTTTTCTGGTGGCGGGTCCGTCCATGGAGATGTTATTGCTTTGTCTGGAATGTTTCACAGTATGGTACTAAACCTTTCTGGTACTGTGGTCCAAAGCAAGAGATGATCTGACGAGGGCTTTTTTCACTTTCTCTTTTCACGGAAACCAAACCAGACCAAGTTACAGGTCAGTTCTGTGGAAAGGAAACCCCAGTCGTAATCAGTTTGTATGTTTTTCTAGGTATTTTTGAGCGATAAAACCACCTGTAATTGAAGAAATGTACAGTAAGGTGGAAGTGTTTAAAGTCATATTGTGGGCAGAGAACCTTTAACTTCTCTGCTAGTATAAATAAACAAAAGTTAAAAGATTTTTTTCACAGTAGCTTCAGAAAGTAGTGCCATTATTCAACCCCAAAAACAGACATCATCAGATTCTAGAACGTTTATAAAGATTACATATGATCATTGTGGATATTTAGTCTGAAAATAAAGATGTCGGATTGTGTTTTCTTCTATGTTACGAACGTTCCAAATGGCATTAAACAATCACACAGCGTACAGAAAGTCATACATATTTTTATTGCATTTGATAATACACTTTTGAACTTTTTGTGTACTTTCAGTTTCAAATCAACTGTTAAAAATGCACATTTACATGCTACGTGGTTTCATACAAATAAAAAGTCACATACCTGTATTCACAAGTTTACTTTACTTTACCCGCTACAGCTATTACTATTAGTATAACCACTACTGCTACTACTACTGCTACTACTACTACTATTACTACTACTGCTGCTACTTCTGCGGTGTGAGAACTGCTTTTGCCTGTGAGATGAACACACTGTAAATAAAAAAATCCTATAGATTATTAATACAAATGTCCAAAGATTAATGTCTACATGGTTTTAAAGTGGGACTAAACACCTAAACTCTGACCACACGCATATTTCAAACAGATCTGCTGCACCTGGAGGACTAAAGGGGAGAGTGAGGGGGGAGCAGGGGCCCATTTTGTACTAAAGCTGGCAAAAAGGAACAGTACGTAATGTTATTAAAACACTAAAACACCATAGACTGGAATGGAACGGTGAGTTACATCTCTTTAACGGTTCTAAAAAGCAGAACTAGAATGGAAAAAAAATGAGATCAAATAAATAAAACAATTGTGAGGCCAAAATTGGAAAAAGAATCATGAAATGTATATATGTTAGAAATGATATTAAAATGTCATCTTGTCTCATCTCGTGGACCCAAACCCGTATCTCCTCTCGTCTTGTGGAAACTGTGTCTCGTCCCGTCCAGACTTAATAGTTTAGTCCAGGGGTGGGCACTTATTTTTTCTATGGGAACACATGAGAAACATTAAATACTGTGGAGGGCCAAACTGCTTAACACAATTCTGCATAATATTAATTGTATTTCTTTATAAAAAGCAGTAAATATGATTGTTTTGATGAGCTGGTCAGACTGTAAGAGTTTATGTTATGACTAAGCAATGAAAAAGTGAGGTCACCTTACAAAAAATGTCATTTAAAAAAAAAAAAAATAAAAGCATGCATGAGGTAAAATGATAAAATATGTTTATTTTGTAATTCCAGATGATCTTAAACAGGCTGGTCAGGATCAACCAAAGGGCTGTATGTGGCCCTGGAGCTGGACAATGCCCAGGTCTGGTTTAAAGAAAATGTGTTTAAGATGATTTAGTGTTTAGTTCCACTTTAAATAACTTAGAATATACAATATTAATCTTAATTTGAGCACTTGTACTTGAAAGTCAAACAATCTATACATGAATACATCTTAAAGCCACAGTATGTCACTTTTTGGCCAAGAAATATACCAGCTTCAGGTTCGTGTTTTTCATTTTGGTTGTTTTTATTGCAGTGAATAACATCTCCAATGTGTCTTGCATCTCTACAAACCTGACTCTTATTTGGCCCGGGGGAAGGCCTCCTGTTGTTTCCATGGAAATGTTGTTATATTGGCAATAATGTTCCACAGTACGGCATAAAACCATCGACCAACTCCACCGACTCTGACTCCAGTTCACTTTCTTTTATAAAAGTGTTGCCCCTCTCTGTCAGCCTAACATTTTGGTCTTAAAATGTTCATACTAAACCACTCTACATGATCTCTGTGTTTTTATTTCACAATTTTATCCTCTAAATCAATTCCTATTCCTAATATGAAACTCCAAAATTGCCTCAGTGAGCTTCATTTGACTGGAGCCAGACTCTATGGGTGACGTCACACTCCCCTAGTCCACGTCCTTATACCATCTATGGACCTTTATCTCCATCTATCTTCATGGAGAATGTTCTGTAGTCTGGTTTTAACTTTCTATTTCCATGGAAACACACAAGGGTGACATGACACCTCCAGAAAGTGACATACTGCTCCTTTAAATCTGAATCTCAAATCAAGATTACTATTGTGAATTCTTGTCAAGTACACTTTAGTAACACAGTGAAAGTCCCGCGTTACTTCACACCTAAAGTAGAAAAACACCAGCTATTCCAGTCAGACGTGTTATTACTCTTATGGCAGTTACAGCCCCGTGTCAAGAGCGGCCTGTGTGACCTTTAACCCCGGGTCAGGTGACATCAGTAGCTCTTCTTCTTCTCTTCACAGTGCGCTCCGGAGAACGGCGGGCGGCAGCGGCACTTCCCTGGAGCAATACACTTCCCTCCGTTCAGACAGGGCGTCGCACACACAGCTACAGGACGAGAGGCACACACACAGTTTAACCACACACATCTGACAATATATATATAAAGTCTTTTTTTTTTTTTTTTACATACCGGTGCGCAGAGCAAGGTGTGTGTAAACAACGTACTGCTCTGGCAAAAATAACTTTTATTTGTGTGTAAATGGAGTGAATCCTAATCTGTTACGAACAGGAAGTGAGCATGGGCACATTTCCAGCTCCATTGACTGGCTCTAATTAACTTTATATTTTAAAAAGACCCCTGGTGGTTCATATTAAGTTAAGATAAGATAATCCTTTATTGTCTCCCATGGGAGAAATTTGTCTCGGGACAGGGGGTAACATGCTTTATCAAAAAACAGGACAACACAACACAAAGCAGCACATAAACAAACACCATAGAACAAAATAAATATGAGACCAAGTCTGACCACGAGTGATGCACCAACACGACCATAAAGTGAAATAGATATTGAAAGTACACTGTACAACTTTTCTCGAGCAAAGTCCTCTACCTGCTTGTCTCCATGGAGATGTTATTGCTTTACCTCGAATGTTCCATAGTGTGACATTAAAGTGAGTGGGATGGATTAACATTTCATATTTACGCTAAAAGTAAAGCCAGACTGGTGCCTCCTAGTGTCTCCGCTCAATTTCATTTCTCTCCAGCGACTAGGTCAGGAATCAGAATACACTAGACGGAACCCCGGCAGTTGTAGACGGCGCCCTGGCCAGTCAGCTGTGAGCTGTGGAGCCATGACGTCAAACTCATCGCGCCTGTCTGTGTCCCTTTTGTGGAACAGTACAACAGTAAACAAAGCGTCGAGATGGATGTAGACGAAGACAGACATTCTGTGTTGGCAATGATTCCCGAGATCGAGGATTTAAAGCCAGAACAAAGAGAATGTTTGATGAATTTTATCAACGGGAAAGACGTTATTGCCCTTCTTCCTACGGGATTTGATGCGTTACATCACGATCAAATAGCAGCGACTGGTTAAATTAAAAAAAAGTACCCGATTACTGTCAAGCAAACAAATCCTAATGCTCCGAGGTCAGACTGATGGAGCTGATGAAACAGGTTACTAAAAGTATGCTCAATTCTACACATGTAGGTGCCGTAAAATCATAGAAAATTCACTTAAGATCATAAAAAAGTCATGGAAAAGTTTTGTAATTTTGTCAGTGAAAAAGAGTGGGAACCCTGTAGACTTCTCATTTCCTGTACATTATAAACTATAATTGCACAGTACACACATTTCATTACAAAACAAACAATTATTCATTACGGGTGTTTCTATTGCAGTCTTTCTTTCTGTGAATCGAGGCGACTCTCCACAGATCTGAACTGTAATGTGCGTAGTGCTGTAACCTGCTTGTCTCGCTCATAATAAATCAGTTTAATCTGTACTGTGGAACATTCTAGATCCTGGTGTTTTTATTTCACTATTTTGTCCATAAATTAATTCCTCTTCCTAATTCAGATAACTCTGCTTTCAATTTGTCCCATAACTGCGAGCCTTGATGAGCTTCATTTGACTGTTTTAGCTCACACTCCCTCGGTCCACGTCTTTACACAGTCTATGGATTAAACATGTGTGCGACGGGAAGAGTAACAGACACTTTTCACACTTCATTCAGTCACTATAGACGTGTGGGTGAAAACACACTGTAGGTTTAGTTTTTACATCTGGGAAAACGCTCAAGTAATGCAGACGGTGATGAATAAACATGAACCAAAATTATATAATCCTTTTGGAACCGATCGAAAAGTAGAGAAGCCAGAAAGACCACCTCCAGAATAGAGACCGATATTTGCACTTTTTAAAGTATATTTTGTTTGGCCCAACCAGCTGCCTAAAGATGCACAGAGATTATATGCAAGAAGTTTTATTTGAACGTTTTAGTTTAAAGAGAGCACTGCAAAAATGTGACTACACTGGACTCTACAGAGTTTGCAGTAAAAGAAGATTGTGGATGAATTTGTGCTTTATTTTAATTAGATCACTGAGGAAAAATGATCCTAAATCAGCTCTTCATAAAATATCGGCAGAGTTTATTGGCCATCGTTTACCGGGCATCGTTTCCTCTGGATTCTAAACAATCAGTATTGACATCAGTTGATTATATAATACAGGGTGTCCCAAAACATTTTACGTAAGTTTGTAGGCCAATAATTCTAGAAATTCTTGATGAAATTATCTCAAATTTTCACAGAATGTATAGAAACAGATCAAGATTGTATACTTAATATTTTATTTTTATTGTATTCAGGTTGAGTCGTTCACTCCCATAGAGAAGTCATTTTGCATCTAAGAATCCGCTCACCCAAGACTGTGTAGCCTTCAATGCAAAATTTGGAAAAACTTGGTACCAAATTAGACTTGGCACCAAAAATTCAAAGAGGAAGGCTGTTTATGCAGGGCTAAATGATCTGGTACGACAAACCATCTTTTGAGGAATCTGCATTTCCAAACTTGTTTTTCACCCAGACTTCTTGGGGGTTCGCAAGAGTTTTTCATAAGCTTGCTTGACCTTCTCCTCCATTAGCCCTGCATAATCAGCCTTCCTCTTTACATTTTTGGTACCAAGTCCAAATTTGTTTGCCAGTTGTGGAAGTCTTTCCAAATTTTGCATTGAAGGCTACACAGTGTTGAGTGAGTGTGTGCGAGCAGATTCCAAGACACAAAATGACTTCTCTTAAACAGAACAAAAATAAAACAGTCTGTTTCTATACATTCTGTGAAATTTTGAGGTTATTTCATCAAGAATTGCCAAAATTACTGCCCTGTGAAATGATGTACATTTTTTGGGACACTCTGTATTATGTAATCGACTCATGTCAATACCAATTGTTTAGAATCCAGAGGAAAAGATGATCATTTTAGACCGATATGCAGCGCAGATTTGGGTGATTTTTCCTCAGTGATCTAATTAAAATAAAGTACATCCACAACCTTATTTTACTACAAAGTGTGTAGAGTCCAAAAATAGAGTGGCGTGTGTGTTAAAAGCACATGCTGGAATAATTTTGCTAAATATTTAATTGCATTTTTTGGACACTGCATTGATACTTCTCAGTTTGAACAAGAGTATTATTTAACATGTAATTGGTCACATTTTTATACAACACTTTTCCACCTTCAGCTCTCAAAGCGCTTTACAACAAGGAACCACACACACATTCACACACACATTCACACACCAGTGTACACAGACACTGGGAGCGAGGTGGGTCTTGCCCAAGGACACAACGACAGCAGTCATCTGTGGGAGCTGGAATCACACCACCAGCCTGTGGGTCAGTGGATCTGACCACTCAACCAATGATGTCGAAGATTGAAGCTGCCAATCTTTGGATCAATGAGTAAACTCTACCAACTAAGGCTACGTTTATATGATGACGGTTTGAACAGAAGACGCATCTTCACTTTTTATTCCGCAGTTAGATGAGCGTTTTTGAGAGGAAATCTGAATGCATATGGTAACTCAAAAGTGGGTGGAATTGGACTGGGTATGCATGCCAGGCGGCTCGGTGGTGACACTAGGTGGTGATGTATGTCAGTGTTTCCCAAAGACTGGGTCGTGACATTCAGGTGGGTCGCAAGAGTTTTTTTTTGGGTCGCCTTGTCACGATCTGCATGTAGGTCTGCGATATACAGTTCTGATGTTCTACATGAGAGAGAGAGTGAATCAGCGAATCCTCTCTGCCTGCCATGAACGAGCTAAAGTTAGGAAATACTGGCTTGGTTGGTTGTCCAAAAAGAAGATGATGAATCAACAAATGTCAGTGCACTTCAGGATACTTACAGATCCTTTTATTGCTGCTTCAGTGTTTTTCAGTGTTTCAAACTTGAGTAATGCTAATTGTTCAGAGACACGATCAATGGTCAAATCCACCTTTATTTTATGATTTACGAGTAATGTCTATTGACTTGGGTCATGAAGGTTTGTGACTTTAAAAAATATAGGTCCCCAGAAAAAAAATGTGGGAAACACTGATGTATGTGACGTAAACGTGTACGTGACGTGAGCAGATCCGACCAGAGTTTTGCGTCTTGGGCAGTGTGGACGGAAACACTACAGCGGAGCATATTCAACTTTTCCACTCTGGAGGGTGATTTCAGATGTTTGCATTTTGAATTCCCAAAAACGCTGTGACCATCTAAACGAAAGGCACTTCTGATAAAAATGTTGTCGTTTTTACCAGGCCCTTAGATACTGTTGCCCACGTGAGAGAAGACTGAAATCTGAATCTAATCCATGAATCCCAAGAGTTTCAGAACACAATGGACATGTTTGTGGAAGTCTAAAACACTGAACTTGCATTTGTCTGCATGGAGTGTTCATTCTTTGCCTTGAATGTTCCACAGTATGGCATTAAATATTGTGTTAAACATTGTGTTAAATGTGTATTGTGCGTGTAGAGTCTCACCGGTGTGGCAGGCCCCTCCCAGCCAGCCGTCCGGACAGCTGCAGATTCCAGGGGCCACGCAGATCCCTCCGTTTCTACATCCCTGAGGACACAGAGCTGCAGACAACACAAGAGAAACAAAAGATCTGATCAGGAGCAGAGCAAGAACCACACAAACCAACACAAAGCACTTTTAGGGTAACCTTTTGGATTCCCCTGCCATTATACCGTTATAACACTGTTTCCTCATCAAAAACATGCCTGAAGAGATTTTAGAAGTCATCCATGCAGGTCTGCGTAATCTAGTGATCTCTCCTGGGCCTGGGTTACCTGTATGAGCCTGTCCAAGATCCAGCCCGCAAGACTACAACTCCACAAACCAGATGAGATGTGCAGTAGTTTCATTAGCGGGATGTACTGTATGTCGACTGTCATGTGATAGTGCTCTGAAGGGGGAGCGCGGGGAGCAAATGTGAAAGGGGACTTGTCAAAAAATAAACTGAAACTAATTACACTTTTTAATACGTTGTTTTCACCTAATACAGCATTTTCAAATCAATAAACGGTAACATGGTGATGTAAATCTGTCAGTCTGTCCCAGGGCAGCTGTGGCTACAAAAGTATCTTACCACCAGTGAAGTGGAGTGAATAAATGCAGTGCTTTGTATTATTATTAATACTTAGTAAAGTAAAACTGTCCATTTTGAAGTAAAGTTGCTCTTATTTTAGTACATTTTAGTTACTTTACGCACATTCAGTGTTGGGAGTAACTTGTTATAAAAGTAACAAATTACTGTAATGCATTGCATGTGGTGTTACAGGGAAAAAAAAGTTAATATTTTACTCGGTACAAATGTGAGTAACGCGCTTTACAATGCTTTTTTAACCTGAATTGAAGTGGTGGGTTTTTCTTCATAGAAATTCGCTAAAATCGCCAGAGGTGCGCCCGCGTAGACGTGAGTTAACCACGGGCGAAAAGACAGACGCAGAACTCTACGCTGTTTAGACCTGGTTTAGACCTGGTTTAGACCTGGGTCAGTTCTGGTTTAGACCTGGTTTACAGTCGTCCCTCGCTCTATCGCGCTTTCACTTTTCGTGGTCTCGCTGTTTCCCTGATTTTTTTAGTGCAATTTTGCATGCTTTTTGTTTTTACAGTGTATGAACACATATTGCGTTCCTCCCGCTGCGTCCTGATTGGCTAAGGGACTCCTGTCTCCTGTACAGTACAGAATGTGTTGTCGATCTGTATCAGTGTGATTCTGAAGTGCTGTATGTTTGTAAGTTTTCTCCCCGACAAAACCCACAATGTCGACGAAACGTTCTGCACTGACAAAGTCTCCTGCGCTCACACCCAAAAGGCAGAGGAAGATGCAAACCATTGCACAAGAAGTTGGACTTCTGGACACGCTGAAGGAAGGTAGAAGTTACGCGCTATAGCAGAGTCTTGCACCGGGTTGGGTATCTGCAAATAGTTGCTGAAATCAGGGCTGCGAGCCCGAGCAGCAGGTCTGTGCCAATGCGGTCACCTCCTTCGAGCCCGTCCCGACAGTGAGTCCTGTTTTAGTCCGAGTTCACTTCTGGTTTAGTCCTGGTTTGGTTCTGGTTTAGTCTTATTTTAGTCCTAGTTCAGTCCTGGTTTAGTCCTCCTCTTCAGTCCTGGAATCAGTCAGAGGTTAGTCCTGTTATAGTCCTGGTTCAGCTCTGGTTTAGTCCTGGTTTAGACCTGGTTTAGTCCTGGTTCAGTCCATATACAGCGCAAAAGTTCAGCATCTTCGCAGTTACTTTGGTGAGAGTAACTTAAAGTAATGCAATAGTAATGTAATGTCTGACATTTTAAATGCAGTAATATTGTAATATATCGAATGACTTTGAAATGACAGTAATAAGTCATAAATAAAACATTACAGTTTTAAAGTAACTTGCCCAACAGTACTCACATTCACATACATTTATAAGTTCAGCAAACTTTGACCTGTTCTATCTGAACACAGTGAAGCGTAAAGTAAGAGTCACATGATCTCACCCTCCTGACAGCGAGCTCCGGTCCAGGAGGAGGGGCAGATACAGCGGGGCACTCCGTTCACCGCAGAACACTCTCCACCGTTCCAACAGCCTCCATCACACGTCACTGCAGCGGCACCGCAGCAACACAACACAACACAATATAATATAATACAAGACAATACACACTGGTCATAGTCACATGTTCTTAAATGATGTCCTCACCTTTATGACAGTACCGTCCTCCGTATCCCTCCTGACATCTGCACTTCCCAGGCCTCAGACACACTCCTCCGTTCTTACATTTGGGAAAACACGTCGCTACAACAACAAGGATTTATTGTGAATGACTAAAGTAAGAGCAAACTAAACTTAAACTGAAGCTAGAGTGTAGACTGTAGACCAGGAGTATTATACAGGAGCGTCTAAGCACCAGGTCCAAACCTGCTGTCAAACTAACACAGTAATAACCAGGCCAAGGGATAAGACCAGGACTCCAACTAACAAGTATTTACTTGTCCACTACTACTATTGTTTTTCCCCAAATTTTTCAATCGGTCAACAAATTTATCTCTATTGTACATTGATTTTTTTTTATTTTTTTTTTATTAATACATTATTAACCAAATAAACTTGCAAAATGGAGACTGGAGGATTCCACAGAACAGCCTGTATATAAAAATGTGAATGCATTTATTTTATTTATGTGTATTTTTCAGATGTGTTTTAGAGTCTGAACAATCCAGATAATGATTAGGATTATTATAATATAACTACTGTAATTATATATATATATATATATATATATATATATATATATATATATATATATATATATATATATATATATGTGTGTGTGTGTGTGTGTGTGTGTGTATAGTCGACTAGTCACGATTAGTCGATTAATCGTTGCAGCCCTGCATAAGACTCTAGAGCCCCTCCAGAAGTAGTTTTAGACCATGTTAGACCTGCCTGAGTCCTGATTTAGAAGTGGTTAGTTCTTGGTTTGTTTGCACCAGTCTGAGAAAAGTCTGAGCACGTGTTGCTCGTGTTCTATCAGTTAGTCCATCTACTGCAGCAAGACCATAATGCAAATAAGAAACCACTTTACCACAGCGACATAACGAGCCGGTAATTAAGGCTCACCGCGGTGGTAGAGTCCACATGCACATGCACATGCACATCCATACACATCCATACACATCCATGCACATCCATACACATCCATGCACATCTCACCGAACTGGCACGTCTCGCCCTCGTATCCTCGGGAGCAGAAGCACGTGTTGTTGCGGATGCAGATGCCTCCGTGTTCACACCGGGGCTCGCACTGCGCCTTCGGGTCAAACACGAAGCCCAGAGCCACCCCCCGAGGAGCGTCCGAGCGCGCCACGCACAGCCCGCACAGAGCCAACACCGCCCCGCACACCGCCAGGACAACCGCCGCTCCACACGCACGACGCTCAGCCATTGTTCCTAAAGTGGGACACAGGGACACGCAGGGACACAGATGGACACGGAGCCGCTCCTGGAGCTCACAGAGTCCAGCCCAGGTTAGAGCCGAGAGGGCGGGGAGTGCGCGCTCTCCGGGGAAGAGCTCAGAGCTCAGGACAGATCTGCTTTTACATGATGATGCAGATTTAAGGGAGTTTGGGTGAGCAGATTTTGAAAATCCAAAAGTGAGACACACCGGGGTTGGGATGGTTGGTATGAAGAAAACTGCATTTTTGTTTATGGTCATTTGCACGGTTATCAAACACGGTTTTCAAACAAATTACATTTTATGCTCCTCTTTAATGTTTCCAAGCATCAGATTAGTCAAAAATTGTGATAGTCCTGTTTCAGTCCTGGTTTAAACTTGGTTCAGTCCTGGTTTAGACTTGGTTTAGATCAAATTTGTCAAAAATAGGACACTTGAGACATTTCTTTTAAAAAATAAATAAATAAATCGCATCATGGGACAAATCACTGGTTTTATGAATCTGATTTGAGACAAGGGACACAGGTCTCTGAACTGGGACTGTCCTGGGTAAATTTAGTCAGTTATTTATTTTAAACCTGCACAATTCACATAACAGCATAACAATACACAGATACAAGTTTGCATTTGAAAAGGGGATGGATGAAGCAAACCTTTTACTTTTCCAATCCCCTCCCACAAAAGGGACGTCTGGTCACCATAATTTAAAGAACACTGCTTTTTGTGACGCTCCCAAAAGCAAACTAATAAAAACATGAAAAAACATTAGACATTACAAAAACTTCCTGTCATATACAAAACTTTGAGAACTTTTTCCCATTCAAAAGATACAATAGCCTTTTAAATTGAAAATTGTTTATCGCTATGGTAACAGCCCTAGATTCTCATCATTCTGAAATCCATGGACATAGGGCTATAATCTGGCTACATTACACTCTCGTCCTCTGCTCTAGGTTAGTTAGTTTAGTTGAACCCATGGTGAATTAAAGGTCCTGTATCACGCAAAAAGGACTTGTGAGCTTTGAATCGTGTTCTAATGTTGTTACCTCCCCATAAACATACTTGAAGTTGTGTTTTGTGACGTCATGACACTGTAGTTTTCAAGTGAACAGCTACATTTTACCTTTAGTTCAGTTGAGATCGGCAATTCCAGGGATGAAATTATCCAAATGATTCTAGTGAAGGTGTATGGAGCTTGAAAACACAGTGGAGCACTTTCTAAACAGTGTATTTTCTGTTTGAGAGAGGAACTCAGCGAGTACACTATGAATTAAGAGGAAGAGGTACATTTAAAATAAAGACAGTGAGAAGAGAACCACCAGAAAAAGCAAATATGTATCTGTGGGTTTGCAGAAAATATTCACAGCTTCAAAAGAAACTATAAAGAGTTTTAACTTTCACGGTATAAGGATGAGAGACAGTACTGGGTGATCTAAGAAAAAAAAAAAAAAGTATACAGATGAAATAATAACTGTACAACATAATACAAAACAATACAAAAAAATTAAATCAAATAAAGAAACTGGGTTACAAATATTTTTAGTATGGAGAGTGTGTCATTTATTTAGCTCTATGTAAATATTTGTAAAGTTTTGTGGATCGTGAATACAAGTGGCTGAAATGAGTTTCCTCCGCAGGGTGGCTGGGTGCTCCCTTAGAGAGAGGGTGAGGATCTCAGTAACACGGGAGGAGCTCGGAGTAGAGCCGCTGCTCCTCCATGTCGAGAGGAGCAGTTGAGGTGGCTTGGGCGTCTGTTCTGGATGCTTCCTGGACGCCGTTCTCAGGAGGTGTTCCGGGCATGTCCCACCGGGAGGAGGCCCAGAGGAAGACCTAAGACACACTGGAGGGACTATGTCTGCGTTCACACTGCAGCCTGAAGTGACCCAAATCTGATTTTTTGGCTTCTATGTGACCTGTATCTGATCTTTTAATGACAGTCTGAACGACACAGATCTGATTTTTTCAAATGTGACCCAGGACACTTGGATATGTGCTCCTGAAACCGATACATATCTGATCTTTTGACATGTGACTTCAGTCTGAACGGCCAAAGGGCATTCATTCGACCTACACGTTACCAACAAGACACAAATGTCACTATTCTGCACTGAAGTAGGCGAAAATTGTTGAACTCCGTGTCATTGAAGTGAAGCACATCACCACTCACCACTCTTGGCTCCGTCTGCACATTCACACGTTCCTTTCAACAGACGTCACTGCCGCTGTCCCACAAAACACCACGACCAAAAACCTCGTCCTTCTCCTTCTCAATCTCCTCCTTAAAACAAGTAAGTTGTTCATGTTCTGGCTCCGGTACGAGAGGAACTTTAAAATCTGTCCATGTTTGGACAACTTCCATAAACACAGAGACGCTCGCTGTGGTTGACGTCGTCGTGTCTCCAGTGGCACATGTGGGACACTTTTGGGGCGTTTAACTGTTCACACAGGGGATCACATACAAGTCGCATTTAATTGGAAATGTGAACGACCTCGCAAAAACATCGGATTTCACAAAAAAAATTGGAATTGAGCGTTAAGCCCTGCAGTCTGAACGTAGCCTAAGTGTCTGGGCTGGCCTGGGAAAGTCTCTCGGGGTTTCGGGAGGAGCTGGAGGAAGTGTCTGGGAGTCCCGGCTTAGACTGATGCCCCTGTGACCCGGCCCTGGATAAACAGAAGAAAACTGATGGATGGAAGTTTCATGATCAATGTACATAAGCAACCACATCATTTTTGAAACATGTCATGAAAAGAGGTGTGTTAAAATAAGTTTTTTTCTTTCCGCTCCTTTTCGAGAAATGTGCTTTTTTGTTGTTTACAATGTACTGTATATTTAGTAGGCCTATGTATATGATTATTGTTTCTTTCTTGGCCCAAACATCTAATCTAATCAGCCTAAATGTGCAGGGTTTGTGTGTTAAACATGTGAATGAAACAAAACACACTCCAGTTGTGTTTGTGACTAGGAAACATTAGAACACAGAAAATAACATAACATGGCCTCTTTAAATTGCCATGTTAGTTTAGCATCACTGGTGAGTCCTGGATCCTCAAAGTAACCGGACACTGGCTGATACATGTCTTTCATTGTGTTGTTCTTGAAAACCAGGTCGAGCACATGATGACTATTCCAGACACGTCACGTCACGAGTCAGAGGGTTCAGATCTCCGTCTTTACATCTGTAGAAGAACTTTAAAGAGCTCGTGTTACACCGTTTTCTGATCTTCGTTATAACGTTGTTTCCTCATCGCAAACAGAGCTGGAGCTGTGTTTTGTTTCATTCAGTTCTTTTCTCAAACTGAAAACACTTTTGCGGTAATACAGGAAGAGCTCCACTGTGTTTTTAAACTCCGTACGCCTTCACTAGAATCATTTCAGATCTGGAATTGCCGATTTCTACAAAATAAAAAGGTAAAGTTTAGGTTTTAACTTGAAAACTGCCGCTTCGTGACATCATAAGTTGGAGCGGACAGACTAAAAATAAAAGGTTACTCAAACGTGCATGAGTGAAACACAACTCCAGGTGTGTTTTTGAGGAGGTAACAGCTTTATAACACGGTTTAAAGCTCACAAGAGTCTGTTTTGCGTGGTATTTGTGCACAGGACTGCAGACTTGGGAGCACGGACCGGGCTCGTTCGGGCTGAGTCTGACCTGGATTCAGCAGGAAGCGGCGAGCTGTTACAATATAATGGATTTTGCAGATGTACGCGCCTCCTTTAACGCGGAGAGACGAGAGACGAGCTCAAACTGAAGGGAATCTGCGACAGACTCAACCGACCCTGGTTTAGTGTGACGACCGGTGACCTATGACCTGTGACTAATGAATCAGTTTTATTTATGTAGCACATTTAAAACAGCCCGAAAGTGGAATAAAAACATACAAACATACAAATAACAATAATAGACCATGTTAAAGGGCTTGTCCATATCCAGTGTTGGGAAGGTGACTTTTAACATGTATTCCCCTACAGATTAAAGATTACATACCACAAAATGTAGTTTGTAACGTAATCCATTATATTAATTAAAGTGAGTAAAGTAATCTGAATACTTTGGATTACTTGATTTGCTGTAGAGAAGATGTTTTGTCTGATAAAAGAAAATAAAAAGTCCACTCTTTACTTTACCGTGTTAAAAATATTATTGATAGAAGACGAGGAGACATGTCCACACAGCATGGTTTAGTCCTGATAAATCCTGTTTTAGTCCTAGTTTAGTCCTGTTTTAGTCCTGGTTTTAGTCCTGGTTTAGTCCTGTTTTAGTCCTGGTTTAGTCCTGTTAAATCCTGTTTTAGTTCTGTTTTAGTCCTGGTTTAGTCCTGGTTTTAGTCTTTGTTTTAGTCCTGTTTTAGTCCTGTTTTAGTTCTGTTTTAGTCCTGGTTTAGTTCTGGTTTTAGACCTGGTTTAGTCCTGTTTAGACCTGGTTTAGTTTTCGGCAATGAGTGGAATTACTGGGAAAAAAAAAAAAGGATATAGCCCAAAATGTGAAAACAGGAAAAATCTATTTATTTCAACAAAGTAACTGTAATCCAATTACCACTCATGGAAACAGTGACTGTAACTGAATACAGTTACTCATAATTTGTACTCTGATTACATAACTCTGGTACATGTAATCTGTTACTCCCCAACACTGTCCAGATGTCACTCATCATTGTATTCTGTGTGAAACTCTGGATTGGTTACTTCCTGGTGCAAGAATGCACTTTCATTGGTTTCAGTTCATCTTTAAATGCATTTTTCTTTTCTGTCCATCTTACCTTCAACAATACTTTGTTCCATTTTCATCACAATACTCTCTCAGACAATTAGACCATCCTTCCTTTGTAATACCCAAGACGTCCAGAGTCATCGGACGAAGAGCGTTCACATTCAAAGCACCATCAGACTGGAACAATTTGCCAAACTCTCTGCCCTCCACATCATCATTTCATATCTTTAAGAAAGACTTATTCATTCATCTTAAAACACAGTGTGACTGCTTTTAGTGAGGGATCTGTTTGCTTGTTATATTGACGTTTCTCTATGTTTATGTTTAATGTCTGTTTGTGTCTTTGTATTTTGTCTTATTGTTTTGTGTTTCTGTTTCTGTTGTTTTGTTTTTGTACTGTTTTTGTTTTTGCTTGTTAGTATTTTTGTGACTTGTTGTTGTATTCTTTGGATGCTAAGGATCCCCCTCGAAAACAAGATGACTCACCTCCTTAATAAAATAAACATAAAATAATATTACATTGTTTTCTGAGCTATGGTGGTCGTTTTGAATGTAAAACTGCTGATTCCATTTTGTTCAGCAAAAAAACCCTTCAATTTCAATAGAGAAATGTGTCAAAGCAACAGGAAAAAAAAGGATTTTCAAACAAACACACATGATGTAGGATGTTACAAAAGCTGTGTTGTTGTATTTCTGATATCTTTTTAAATGTGTTCAGGTAAAACGCAGTCAGATCTTACAAAAAAACGCTCAAAAAACAAGCCTCTTCCGGTCCAGAATTCATGTGTAAATTATAGAATTTTTATTTGCAAACTTCTGGGCAGCCTGAGGTTCTGTGTGAGCTCTTTTGCAAATTTCAACTGAGCTTCATACTTGCAAATACTGACCTCTAGTGGTGAATCCAAAGCTCTACAAAAACACTTACAGCTCACACAGGAGCTAGTGCACAAAGGTGGACTATGTCACTTTTTGGTTGGGGTCCGTCTCCTGCGTGTTTTTATGTGTAGGAGCTATTTGCTTATTTTGCTTATTCAAAAATGTGTTTATTATTTTTGTTTATGTCAATTTGTTTACTAATTTAGTTTTTTGTCAATTTGCATATTTAATATATTTTGGTATGTTAATATTTCTAATCTTTTCACATTTGTTTAGTCCAATTTGTTATTATTTATCTTAGCACCTTTTGTGTTTTTGGTTTAGTCCATTGGGCACTGTGGGGATGCACTTGGGTGGGCCTATGGTTAAAAAAATAATAATAAAAATAAAAAGCGAAAATCTCTAATTTCAGTCATATACGAGGGTCACGCACATGTATTTGAACTCCATGATCATGTCCCGTTTCTTGTCCTGTATGACGAGCTGGTCACAGGTGCAAAACAGCCTTGAAATGTGTTGAATCATTGTATAAATGTGTGGTTAAGATTCAGGATAAGAAACCCTGACAGAATCACCACTGTCCTAGTCTTGCAAAATACAATTTATTACATTTTGAAAATCTAATGATATGTGCAAATATTTGTTTGCTTTTCAAAATTCTGGTGCTGCCCCTCTGAAGGGTTTTGTTTCATTGAGCTCCGAAAAACATCTCAAGTAACACGCTCATCCTCCAGAACAGAGTAAAAGTTTGTAACGCAGCAGCCTAATATCTATTTTAATTTATTTTTGGTCAGTTTGTCTGTATACACTGAATCTGTACTTCCAGTGTTTCCACCAACCTGCTCAGGGACTGCATCCATACTATAACCTGAACCAGCATTCTTCCTATGACTTCTGTCTTGGTTAATGTGTTGTTATGCACTGTCCCTGTACAAATCAAAAACATACAATACCATACCAGTCGGCTGAAGAGGCAGCAAGTAGGCCTGGACATGTATCCTTGTGGTTTGCCTGTTAAACCTGGAATAAATCTTGGAAAATGCAGCCCTGGATCTGGACATTGATTTTGTTGTACTTTACTATTTGAACCACTTCCCCATGGTGCCCAAAGGTGATTATTTGAGATATGTTTAGTTCTAAGTTTGCTCACGGCTTTTGCTCGTTAGTTTTCGTTGACAAATAGTCACTACAACACACTGCACTGCCCTACAAAGAGAAAAGAACTTAACTCTCCAGCGTGAGTAACTGAGAAAAATGAATTCAAAGTTTCTGTTTTGTCCAGACAAAAGTGGAATAAGTTGAGCTCCAAAATTTGACAACTAGTTGCTCTAATGAAGAAATATTTGTATGTGAAAAATATTGAGCTCAAAATTGACCTTTGACCTTATTTGTCAGTTCCTGTTCTCTGTGTTTGTATCATGAGACAAAAATAAGTTTTCGTGCAAAGACAAAAGGCAGAAACTGACATAATCGTGATTTGTTTGATTTTCTTCAGACTTCATCCATTCTAAGAAAAACACATCACCAAGCTCCAGTCGTCATGTGTTTGTTTGAAATGATCTAGAAGAGTTTTGGATTTCCTGTTTAGTGTTGATCAGGATCGTGCGGTGTCACTTCCACAGTCAAACTGTTTGACACAGTGACTTTGCAGTACAGTGTGTACAGTATGAAAAAATACACACAGTACTTTCACATTAAAGATCACTGAAGTATAACTGAATACAAAAGTTTATTATTGAATGTGTTCAGACCCTGAGCCACAACAAAAAGAAGGAGGCCAGAGGTTGGATTTGAAAATAAAATATATTTATGAACTAAATCACAAACAAAACATCCATTGTTTCTGCGTTTTGTTTTTGCACGAAAACTTATTTTTGACTCATACAAAGGCAGAGAATAGAAACTGAATAATAAGGGTCAAAGGTCAATTTGAGCTCAATATTTTTCATATTTATACATATGATAAAGGAGGTCTCAAATACAAACAAAATGACATGAACTCATTTTGGACCAAACATGATGTTATGGCGTTCTGTAGGGCATTATGGAGATGTCACTGCTCTGCCTAGAATGTCCCACAGTATGACATTAAACAGCTCTGGCTTACAGTTATTAAATTACAGAGGTTTTTCTAACTAAAAAATACCCTTGTATGGTCCTATATTATACAAAATGTATTTTTTTTGTTTCATTCACACATGTTTGAGTAATTTAGGTTGCATTGAAAAAAATGTCGCCCCTCTCTCTGTACCTACTGCTTTTAGACTCATCATTTTGGTCTTAAAATGTTCTTATTAACCTGCTCTACATCATCCTTCTGTTTTTATAAATAAATTCCTATTCCTAACACAAAACTGCCTCCAAATTCATCCCTAAAACTGCCCACCTCAATGAACTTCATTTGACTGGAGCCGAGCACTGTAGGCGACTTTACGCTCTCTTAGTCCTCTTTTCAGTCTGAGAGAAGAACTCTGATGTTTGAAGATGTTTTCACATTTTTATATTACTTGGAAATCCCAGAGTTTGTGCCTCTATCATCTATCATCTATCATCTATCTATCTATCTATATACCTACATTCCTTCCTTCTTTTCTTCCTTCTTTCCTGCCTTCCTTCCTTAGTTCCTTTCCTTCTACAATTCATTTCTTTCTTGCTTGCTTGCTTCCTTTCTCTCTCTTTTTTCTTCTTTCCTCTTTCTTCCTTTCTTCCTTCCTTGTTTTCTGCTTTTCTTTCTTTCTTCCTGCCTTCCTTCCTTTTATCTTTTCTTCCTCCATTTCTTCCTTCTTTCCTTTTTTTCTTTCTTTTTTCCTTCCATCTTTTCTTCATTTCTTTCTTCTTTCCTTTTGTCTTTTCTTCCTTTCTTGCTTCCTTCCTTCCTTTCTTTCTCTTTCTCCCTTCCTGTCTTCCATCTGTTCTTCCTTCATTCTTTTCTTCCTTCTTTCTTTCTTTCTCTCTTCTTTTTTCCTTCCTTCTTTTCTTCTTTTCTTTATTTCTTTGTGGGTTGCTGTTGGTTTTTTGTTCTTTTGTAGGATTTTAAGTAATAAGTGACATAATAAATCTATTGTTAAAATTTGAAAGTAGTTTCTTCCTTCCTTCCTACCTTCCTTTCTTCCTTATTAACCGGCTCTACATGATCTTGGTGTTTTTATTTCGCAATTTTGTCTGTAAATAAATTATTTTTCCTCACACAGATCTGCCTCCAAAGTCGTCCCTATAACTGTCCACCTCGATGAGCTTCATTTGACTGGAGCTGCACATTCTGGGCGACGTCACTCTTGTTTTGTCCTCTTCTTTACACAGTCATTGGTTTTGTTCTTGTTTCGCACACTTGTTTTTACAGAAGCACATTGTCCTCTGTTGCTGGGAGACAGTTTTGTGTTTTCGCTGCTTTCGTCTCGTCCATTGTTCGACCTGCGGAGATGTTTCCAGGAAGGAGGTTTCATTTTACAAGAACTTCACCTCTTCAAACTTTTCAACCTGCCGCTGTGTTTCTGAAGCCTCACTTGACTCCAAACTCATCTCGAAATCTCAAATTTACATTTTTCCAAATGACGACATCACGTTTTTTGCCAATTCCACTGTCGTCCATTTCGTTTGAGGACAAATTCCACTTCTCCTCCAGGCAGACTCTCCCGTACGCCAGACGCAGACGTTCTTCTCCTCCCAAAGTCGATATCTGGAACGTCAAAGCGCCTGATTTCTCCATCAGACTGTACAGGAGCGTGTCAGAGCCTAAGGAGAAGAAGAAGATGGAAGTTCTACCAACACCTGCAGAAGAAAAGAGGGTGAAGCTGCCTAAAGTTACGGTGGAGAAGAAGAGGAGGGTGGAGATACCGAAGTTTGAGACGTACTACAGAGCTCCTGACGCCGCAGAGGCCGAGATGATGTTTGTGAAGAATGGGAAGTATCCAAAAGAGAAGTACAAGAACCCGACTCCACACAACTTCAGACCTGTGAGTATCTCCACGAGAAGATCTACGAATCTGTGATGGACCCTGAACAAAAATGAGTCATATTTAAAGGTCTTACATTATTAACATCTTCTTTCACTTTTAGTTCAGTAGAGTTTGGCAGTTCCAGATCTGAAAGTATTCAAATGATTTTAGTCAAAGTGTATGGAGTTTAAAAACACAGTGGAGCACTTCCTGTATTACTACATGACATCACAAGGTGGAACAGAGTGTTTTCAGTTTGAGAGAAGAACTCTGATGTTTGAAGATGTTTTCAGATTTTTATATTACTTGGAAATACCAGAGTTTATGCTTCTACATTCAGTCCTTTCTTCCTTTTTTCTTCCTTTCCTTCCTTCCTTCCTTCCTTCCTTTATTCCTTCCTTCCTTTTTCTTTTTTTCCCTTTCTGCCCTCCTTCTTTCCTTCATTCCTTTCTTTCTTCCATTCTTTATGCCTTCCTTCCTTCCTTCCTTTCGTTGTATATGACATGTCATTATTTGAGTTTGTGTACACAGTGTTATTAGTGTGTGTTTGTTAGTTGTGTCCACACGATGGCGCTGTGTCTTTACAAACTCTTCTGTTGTGTTTTCCAGTTGGATGAAGAGCTCCCACACTTCATCACCTCCTACAACAAACACCCCGACAACCTCCAGATCACACTCCACACTCTGGACACAAGTGAGTACCCCACACACCAGATATATATATATATATATATATATATATATATATATATATATATATATATATATATATATATATATATATATGCCAGTGGAACAAGACCTTTTGTCCTTAAAATATGAAAATACATCTTGCTAAACATAAAAATAAAACAAAAAAACTTTTTGAACTTAAAATAAGAAACAAAATCTAATTTTGCTTGAATTCAGAAAAAACACTTATTCCATTGGTAGATCATTTGACTTTGTCAAGTTGAATCGACTCAAATAAAGTCAAATGTTAATTTAAGTCATTTTAACTTGCTAACTTGCTTAGAGATTGTTTTTTTTCCAGTGTATTTAAAAGTGCATGTGTAAGTTTTTGGTTGGGGGTTTCTCACGTGCTTGTTTCTATAGAGATGTCATTGCTCTGCCTGAAATGTTCCACAGTATGGCGTTAAACAGCTCTATTTTACATTTATTCAACTACAGGTGGTTTTATAGCTCAAAAATACTTAGAAAATCAGGCATTCTGAGTGTGAGCAGGGTCGCCTCTCCATAGATCTGACCTGTAACTTGGTCTAGTTTGGCCTCCATGAAAATAGAAAGGTTTAATCCCACACTGTGAAACATTCCAGACAAAGCAACAACATCTCCATGGAGAAAAGCATTTGACGGACCCTCCACTCGAAAAGTTACACAACACACCTTTAAAATGGCTCCTTTTACGTTTGTATGTGTCTGTCCAGTCCACACTCCTTCACCTCCTCACACAATCAAACAGAGGAAATCACAGTTGGACACCTTCAGACCAGCAGAGCCGCAGTGGGACCCCAGTCTGCTGCTACCGGCTGGTCCCTGGCCTCCTAAGTCCGCCTCCTACACGGTCTGTACATGAGCTTCACAATCCTCCGTAAACACATTCATAGAGTTGTGTGTTTGTGTTGTGAAGTGTGTGGATGTGTGGTTTTACAGAGACACAGACGCAGAAGAGGAGCCTACAGCGCCTTCTTGGAACGTGTGGAGGACAAACTCACAAGGTCCTGGCAGAAGTCATGATCCAGATGTTTTTAAAGAGCCTAAATTATGGTATTTGATGAAGTTCTTAAAGTAGTTTCCTCATCACAAACAGAGCTGGAGTTGGGTTTTGTTTCATTCACACATGTTTAACACACAAACCCTGCACATTTACAATGAGTTCTTCTCTCAGACAGAAAACATTCTGTGTCACCTTGTGATGTCATGTGGTAATACAGGAAGTATTTCAGACTTGGAATTACCGATCTATGCTGAACTAAAAGGTAAAAGGAGCTGTGATCTTTAAAACTACCACTTCATGACATCATAAGGTGGAACAGAGCAATCTGAGCTTTGGAGATATAGGCAGACTAATAAATAAAGAGTTAAAAAACAAACGTGCACTGGAAAAAAACAAAACAGATCTAGTTAAATTAAACTGACTTAAATTGATTTAAATTAAGAACATTTGACTTTGAGTTGATTCAACTTGACAAGTCAAATTTTCTACCAGTAGAATAAGTGTTTTTTTTGTTTTTTGTTTTTTTAATTCAATCAACATTAGATTTTGTTTTCTTATTTCAAGTGCAAAAAAGTTGTCATTTTTCTTATTTTAAGTGTAGTAAAATGCATTTTCATATTTTAACTACAAGTCTTGTTCCTCTGGCAGATCATTTTACTTATCAATGATTTGAAACTAAATCATGGTAACACTTTCTTAATTCAAGTCATCTAAACTTGAGTAGATTTTCTTTTTTTGCAGTGTGTGAATGAAACAAAACGCAACTTCTGTCTGTTTTTGAGGAGAGAACAACATTACAACATGATTTTAACACTCAAGAGTCACTTTTGTGTAATATCGGACCTTTAAACGAGACATATTGTGCAAAATTGACCGTGTCATGATCATTTTTCATCTCATTTACTCTCTGCAGTTGTATTTAAACTGATTCACACATCATCTTTGTTCTCCTGTATGCAAGACGTCGTTTCTGATCAACCCATATTTTCTCCACAAGCGGCACACGCCCACAGCTCTGGGCTTAGTGCATTTTGAGAATGAAGTTTCTTAATCAGTAATACACGTAAGATACTGCAGTGTCACGTCATTTCTGCACAAATGAAAAAAAAAAAACAGCCCAGATACACGGGAAGAAAATCGGGTGCAGGCCCTTTAGCTCACTTCCTGACTGAAACTGTTGTTGTTATGAAACAATTGTTATCAGATCTCAGTTTTTAAAAGAAATGAAACTTTTTCTTTAAAATTTTTAATGAATCCTACACTGATTTATGTCGAACCAGCACAAGTGAAGGCTTTGTGTACAAAAACATTTAACATCATAACAACAGTTGTATTTTTAAATTATTGGGGTATAATGTTTCATTTAGATTTCAGTTTCACTCATTTTGAACCATTTTAAACAGATCTGAGTCTTGGCCATTTCTATGGAGTAAGAAAGCTTTCAGAGATATTTGTGAGAAATCTGTGCATATTTTGGAAATCAGTGCATATTTGTCTGTAGTTGAGCTTAAAATAAATATTTGTAAACTCTCAAATGAGTCCAGTCATACATAAAATGTGTTGGGTGCATTTTATCCATCATAATACGAATTGAAGAGTCAAGAATTACAGTCACAAAATGAAAATTTACGATTGCACTTTTTTCAGTATGAATATGAATTCACCTCAAAGGCAGAAGAAACATCGATCAAGATGCCCAACTTTAGCGCCGCATACAGACTAAACCAGGACTAAACCAGGACTAAACCAGGACTAAACCAGGACTAAACCAGGACTAAACCAGGACTAAACCAGGATTAAACCAGGACAGAACCAGGACCTGTTATGGTTTGACAAGAGGGACCCCAAAGCAGAGCCGGGACTCAGTCAAGTTTTAAACTGTTTATTTTCCAAACGAGAGGCAGGCTGAGGAGGCAGGGAGCTGGCCGGCTTTTCCAGAGGTAACGGCAGAACCCACGGAAACACCTGGGCAAAAACAAAAGCAGGTAAATCCCAGACAAACATCAAAGCAGCAAACAAAATGGAAATATTTCCAAGAGCCTGACTGAGCATTACCGAACAGGACGGAATTATCTGGCAAAGTGGTGATGAGAAGACCAGGGCTAAGTACAGAGGCTGGTGAAGGAACTGATTGCAGGTGTGTCTCATTTGCTCTGGGAGAAGCCACGCCCCCTGTCACACTCAAGCTCTGCAAAACAAAAGAGGGACTAAACCAGGACTAAACCAGGATTAAATCAAGACTAAATCAGGACTGAACCAGAACTGAACCAGGACTGAACCAGGACTAAATCAAGACTAAATCAGGACTAAATCAAGACTAAATCAGGACTGAACCAGAACTGAACCAGGACTGAACCAGGACTAAATCAAGACTAAATCAGGACTAAATCAAGACTAAATCAGGACTGAACCAGAACTGAACCAGGACTGAACCAGGACTAAATCAAGACTAAATCAGGACTAAATCAAGACTAAATCAGGACTGAACTAGGACTAAACCAGGACTAAATCAAGACTAAATCAGGACTGAACCAGGACTAAATCAAGACTAAATCAGGACCGAACCAGGACTAAATCAGGATTAAACCAGGACTGAACTAGGACAGTCTAGTTGCGTCTGTGAATTCATACTGAAAAAAGCATAACAGTACATTTTCATTTGATGATTGTAATCCCTGATGTCATAACTTTTCAATTCATATTCTGATTTATAAAATACACACAACACATCTTATGCACGGCTGAACTCATTCCAGAGTTTACAAATATTTATTTTATTCTCAGCTACAGACAAATATGCATACAAATATTTCTGAAAGCTTTCTTACTCCATGCATTTCTTTCTATGTTTCGTTTGTAGATATAGTTGCTCTGACGTTGGCTTTCATACAAATAAATGTAAAAAGAGCCGCTATTTTGAACGACTCTTTAAAAATTAACAGATGCAAAAGATTCGGATCTCTTAAAGGAGCCAAAAGTCCCATTTGATTTGATTTGATTAGATTTGACTTTGATGTAACTAGGAGGTCCCTTTGAGATTCAGACTCTCTTTTTCAACACAGACGTGGCCAAGGAACAGCAACACAATCAAGACAAAACAGTCAAATCACAAAATATCACATGATAAAACCATTTGCATCACGTCTTTACGATTTCCTTGAACTTATCAAGTGACACCAGAGATTCCAATTTAAATGGAGTCTGTCAGCAAATCCTTCACTTTACTGGAGCAGGTTTGTGAAGTAATCCTCCGAGCAGTGGTTAGCACATAGGAAAAGCATCGTGGACGTGTTCGTAGGCACATTTCCCCGAAAAATAAAGGTAATCCAAGTAGTTCTCAGCGGTTCTGTGGCTGGAGGTCGGTGTAACGATACATGCTGATTAATAAACCAACAACAGGACACTACAGCTTTATCAATGTGCACTTTCTTCATCATGTTGCACTTGGATTACAAACCAAAAAGAAGATGACAAACTCAGATATCACTTAAACGGAAGTGATTGAACTTGTGAACGTCTGAAATTCAGTGACATAACAGATCGTGAAAACGTAAGAGATCAGAGAAAATGGCATACCTACACCGGAACTGAGAGGTGTCTAAAAAGTATGTCTAAAACGTAAACTGTATGGTTCAAATTGAGCATTTTTGAGTCAATACGGACCTTATATACACAGGAAACACTATCAAAAAGCTGAAAAAGTCCATTTAGAATAATATGGGCTCTTTAAAATCTTTCTCTAAATGATTCCAAGACCATGAAGCTGTGTATAAAGGTAGATTTTCCAGCTCAGTGGGACAGTGAGGACAGTGAAGAGCAACTGTGAGGAGGTTCCCCAGTATGTCTTTGTAAATAAATATTAACCAATCCATCACTAATAGGATTCCTTTTCAAGTATACGTATGATTTGATGCATAAATAAAGTTGTTTTTGTTTTGGTTTTGTCAGCGGTATGGAGTTATGAAGTTATGAAGTTCTGGAGTTATGAAGTTATGCGGCGTTTGGGGCGCGACCCGGTTCTGCCCTGACCCCGCAGAGGTCGTGTGTCTGAGCTCTGACAGGTGTCCATTCCTCTGCACACATCACTACGACAGGCATGTGGCCCTCTGCACACGGCACACACTCATTACATACAGAACATGTCGAAATATAAAGAGCACACTGCAAAAACATGAATGGATCTGTTAAAGCTGCACTGTGTGACTTTTTAGCCACATCAAAACAATAACATCTGCAGCATTTTACCATCTAAAAACCCACAAAAATCTAAATCATAGTGTCTAAAGCAGAGTTGGAGAGATTTATCCACACATTTGTCTCCAGTAGTTTAGTTTTAGACCAGTGTTACCTAAACTTTAGACCAGTGTTACCTAAACCATATTTTAAAAGTCACAAATCTTCATGACCCAAGTCCACAGACATTATTTATAAATCACAAAATAAATGTATGACCTTTATTGAACATTAATGAGCATATTTTATTGTTGACTAAGTGATCGTGTCTTTGAACAATTAATATTACCCTATTTTTTGGACTATAAGGTGGATTATAAGATGCATTAAGTGAAACAAATGAATAACTCTTGACTTAAACACAACAGATTCCAGGCACTCCAAAAAGTAGAAAAAGTAAAAAATCGCATGAGGAAAAATATAGTTAAAAGGTCTTTATTTGAATGGCCAAAGCCGACATGTTTTGACCTTAACTGATTTTCATCAGGGCTTAATTAAGACAGAACATGGGCGTGGCCTTCAAGTAAAACACATCAACCAATAACAGACTAGAGTCGATTGGAGGCAGATAAAACAGGTGCACAATCAGCAGCACAGGTCAGTGCACACTAATATAATAAAGAAAATAAATACATAAACAAAAAACATAAACATTATCATTAATGTTTCCATTATTATTGTTACCAATAATTTATTATTATTTATTGTTTTTATAATTATTTTTATTGTATTTTATTATATTAGGCAAGGCAAGTTTATTTGTATAGCACAATTCGTACACAAAGTA